GAGATCTTGCTCTCGATACCCACAGAGTAACAATATCTCGTGAAATGTGACATTCAAGCTTCTTGGATTTTTTTAAAAATTATCATCCTCAAAGATCATCCCATCTCAATATTAATCGCTTAAATTATCTTCATCCCCAACAAAAAATGATCAATCATCATCAATCATGATCATTAGCCACGGCCATGCAGTGGCATGAGCGTGCCACAATACATCGAGCTCTTGCGCTTGACACTTTTCATCACTTGTCATCACTATGCAACGGATTTTGTTGTTGTTGTTACCAAAAAGCAAACTATTGGAAATCTAGAGGTCAGAGTGAAAGCCCAAAACATACTAAAAGCTTTGAATTAAGACACTTCATTGAGACACATCATACGATCGTAAAAATAATAACATACAGCCCCTTGTCAAACCACCACTGAGATGAAGGCCCCTCCACGCTGTTCCAGTTATGGGGGCTATTTGATATATAGTACTTCAGTCTGCTGAGTATCGGTTGAAGGTTACCAAGGACCGATTCAGACATTACTCAACACTGATGTTAGCCATAGCTGAAAATACAACGCGAGCCGCTGGGTACGTAGCGCAATGCGCTGTTAAGCACTGTCCCAATGCTCCCCCGAGCTTTGAGTTCGCAGAGTAAAATTTAAATGCAGCCGTCTCCAGCAGTCGCCCAATGGGGGTAAAGATGCCAATGCTCTCAGTGTTGCGACTGATGGTGCGGATGATGTCACCAAGCCTCGCCCATCACCTCTCATCCCAGCGGCACACGTGGGAACGGAGAGGATTTTTTCTTCAACTATTTTCGTGTCATCCGCTTTGTCGAGCAATCGAACCGATAAGCGGTCGAGTCATCGATTTCCTAAAATTATCCGATTACAGCCCACTTCTAATAAAAGAACACATTTCACGACTGAACGTGTCACGTGCAATTGCATTATCGGATTGGCAACACTTTTGAAATCTAGACATAACGATATTCGAGACAAGATACTTAATTTTGTTTACAGTATGTGATGCGTATGAAATGTGCTTTGTGCGCTTGCAATGTCAGAAGCCTTGCGAAGGAATGTTAACTAACTGGCAGTGGCAAAGTTAAACTAAACAATTTTTATTTTACCAGGTAAGGCCCCACTGAACTATATAGCTCTTTTTTCTGAAGCGACCTGGCCACAAATGATAGCTCAACGAAGCGGCTTATTGTCTGGAAGCTTATAGCAGCCAAATATAAAACGCGCTCGTTGCTAAATGTGGAGGGGAAAATTGGAGGACCCAATAAAAAATCCACGTGACCACGGAGAGAAAATGCAAACTCCAAATATACAGGCTGCCTCCTGTATGCCCGGCAAGATAGTTAACATCTCGCTACCGTGGCGAGTGTGCAGGCGGTGCACCGGGTCACGTGGGTCGGAGGGCTCCAGGCCCCGGGCTATGAAGAGGAGGGAAAGGCGGTCGGGGGCACCGTTTGTTTCTGTGTACCCGGTGGAGGGGGGAGGCAGGAGAGCGGGCATGACAACCACGCTAGGCCACTGCCAATGGGCTTTGAGTCGCAACGTTTACGTGGACTGCGAGAGGTGTTTTCACCTTCTTGGTTCTTTCGGTAAAGTCAGGTAGAATGAAAAAAAAACCGTAATAAAATAATGTAATAAAAGGAAATAATATAATTAAATAATATGCTATTATATTTTAATAATATAATAATAATATTTTTTATTACGTTTTTATTTTTATTTTTTTGTATTTTTTTATTTCCATTCTACGTGACTTTACCGAAAGAACCAAGAAGATGAATCCCTGCAGTCACGAAAGCTTTAAATCGAGGTGTTTTCACGTTGAATGGGAAGTCTGCACCAGGCTATGCAAGCGGTGAGGAGAGACGCATCACTGCCAGTGTGTGCGGCGCTTTAATTCGGGTGGATTTTCTTTTTTTATATATATTCTTATTGGAATGTCAAACGTGACGTTATTCTTTGGTTGTTATTCAGTAAATAACAACATCTCATTAATAACGGTGAATAACAATGTAACAATGTTATTCTCAGAATTACAATGTAAGCAGATTATTGTAGAAAAAAACCCAGCAAACTTTGCAATTATAAAATGAATGAGTAAAGTTTCGTGAATAAAGCTGAAAATGCAATTTTTCCTTGTAATATTTAATTGTCACACCCGCAGACACGTGTGTGTGTGTGTGTGTCAGTTGCCTTCTATGACCTCCAGTCACAGGTGCTAGCTAAAGTGGCCCATCGGGAAAGAGTCATCCTGTTGGGTGACTTTAATTCTCGAGTTGGTCATGATGCTGGTACCTGGTCTGGAGTTATTGGAAGGCAAGGGCCAGATCAGCTAAATAACAATGATAGGAGGCTGCTAGACTTTTGTGCAGCCGATGGGCTTGTAATTACCAACACGCTGTTCTGCAAATCGGCGCATGCACGCAACATCATGAATGCACGTCGGGTCCAACACGAACATCTGCTGGACTTACATAGTGACGGAACAGTGGATGCAGGCCCATGTCCTCGATGTCAGGACCTACCGTGGAGCTGATCTACCCACTCACCATCGGCTTGTCATCAGTAAGATGCGCCTGCCATTTTTCCATTTCGGTGGTGGGTGTACATCCAGGACCCTATTCAAACCCACAGTGGCATGGTCTCAGGTAGCTGATGAAAGTTGCAAGCGAGGATTTCATCATCGCTTGCAGCTAGAGTTGGCATCGTCCCTCACTCCTGATAATGCCAAAGGGAAATGGGCAAGGTTTAGGACTGTGGCTCATGCAGCTGCAATGGTTGCTTTGGGTACATGGTCCAAACCTCACTAGAGACCCTGTCTGACAGAGGAGTTGTTCAGGCTCGCTGAGAAAAAGTGACAGACCCACTCTCACCATCTACAGCATCCCACGTCAGAGAATGAGGAGGCTTACCGCAGCCTTCCTTTGGAGGTTCAGAGAGCTGTGAGGCACTGCAAAGATGGGTGGTGATCGTGGGTTGCTGAGGAGATGGAGTCTGCCTCATTAAATCACTCTTTAACTCCATCAAAAAAGTAACTTGCAGTGCCACACCTATCACTATCATTCGAAGAAAGAGAGGTGATCCGATCTATAACCCCTAGGAACAGGTTTGCAAATTTGCTGAGTATTTCTGTAAAGTCTTGGGGGAGGGGAAATCCCTCCACCTGGAAAACATCATGGGGCAAATTGGGGATGAACCTGCTAAGGCTGCTGTGCCTCAAATATTGGAAGTAGTCACCCCCTGTGAGTGTCTGGCTGAGGTGCCATCTGTTGAAGAAGTACAGAAGGTGACCCAGAGTCTGAGACCAGGAAAAACACCGGGCGGAGATGATCTCCCAAGCGAAATGCTGAGGGAGGGTGGCGTTTGTGCGCTGACTGCCCTACATGACATCATAATAAGAGTCTGGACCACTGGACGGGTCTAGCAGGATTGGAAGGATGCCCTGGTGGCCCCCCTCTTTAAGAAGAGGGACCGCACAGACTGTAACAACTACAGGGACATCTCCCTCCTCAGTGTGCCGGGAAAAGTCCTGACAAGGATTATTCAACATCGCCTTGCCAGGCACAGCTGATGAGAGGCTTGCAGAGCCCCAATGTGGTTTCAGGAAAGGGCAGTTCTGCACAGATGCCATATTTTCTGTCAGTCTACTGCAAAAGTGGTATAAGGAATTCTAACAGGACCTAAATCTTTGATTTATTGACCTGGTCAAGGCCTATTATACCATCAGTAGGCCTGGGCTCTGGGTTGTTCTTCGGCCTTTCGGAGTCCCTGACTCTCTGCTCACAATAATTTAAGGACCTTCATGATGGTGAACAGGCCTGGGTAAAACTACGTGGCCGTAAGTCGGAGCCATTCCCTGTTCACCTTGGGGTGCAACAGGGATGTCCTCTGGCTCCCACATAATTTAACAGTCATTTTGACCACGTAGTTCGTGAAGCCTTCGATGGCTATTCCAGAGGAATTTCCATCTGGTACAGATACAATGGGAGACGAATCGATGCCCGGGTGCGATCAAGGGATGGCTCCCTATTGGTCGACCATGTTACGTATGCCAATGATCTGGTGATTGCTGATCACTTGGAGGAGGAGTTTGAGGCACTGCTGCTGAACCTGGAGTGTGCCACCAAAGAGGTGGGGCCTTACCATCAGCCCCACCAAAACTAAGCACCTGCCTGGGTATTTTTTACCATCAGACACTCCACCCCCACAACTCCCAATTGGTGATGGGGCAGTTGTTGAGAGAGTGGAAAATTTTCCATATCTGGGCAGTGTGCTCATGACCGGCTCTAGTTTGATAGCAGAGATCTTGCTCTGAATCCGTAGAGCGGCATTATTTTTTCATCTGCTGCGTAACGCTGTGTGGAAGCTACCTGGTCTGTTGCTCCACACGAAGCTTCGGGTCTTCTCGGCCACAGTCATGCCCTCCCTTCTCTATGCTTGTGAAACGTGGACTCCCTCCCAAATGGATCATCTTCACTGGTTAGAAACATTTAGGCTAGCCTGCCTACGATCCATCCTGGGTTTAATCAGGCTGGATTTTGCGGTATGCCGTGTGGCTAAACCACACCAAGTTGGCACAGTAGGGGGCACAGGTGGTGCTCTGGCCAGTCATCTCGGTCGGTCAACCCATGGCACCTGGGTCTGTCCCGCGACCTCCTGCTAGTGGGGCGTTCGACGCTTAACATGGCCATAACGTGCACATAGCACACATTGGCACAAGCGCCATGGTGACGTCACCACCACTTGGTGGCGAATGGCAGTTGTTGTTGTTGTTGTGCACCACCATTCGCCAGCAGTGTTCACTTCAAAACGCAACTGTTTCAATATTTAATAACTCATTACATTTGTATCGTGGTTGCTGGGGCATGGGCCCCAAAGGCCCTGAAAACATCATAGTGGCCAGCAACAAACAGCACCATTGAAGAAAGGAGTTAATGGAACGATCAGTGTTGTCATTTCCAATCTCGTTCTTTTTTTTGCTTGCAGGAATTTGTGAACGACCCGCAGTTTATCGTCGACGGGGCGACGCGGACGGACATCGAGCAGGGGGAGCTTGGTACGACACTCGCGAACCACTTCCTAAACTAAACATTTCTTTTTTTTTACCAGGTAAGGCCCACTGAGCCTACAGCTCTTTTACAGAAGTGACCTGGCCACAAATGATAGCTCAACTAAGTGGTGGCTCATCACGTGGACATTTATAGCAGCCAAATACGCACATTAATTCTAAATGTGGAGGGGAAAAACCGAAGGTCCCAGAGAAAAATCCATGTGACCGCCGTGGGAAAAGAGAGATGCGGACTCCATATATATACAACAGGCATCGTCAGGGTCGGGATAAAACCCACGACATCCTGCATAGCAGCATATGGAGATAACATCTTGCCACCGCAAGCTCAGACAATGAATAGGGAATGAGACGTGACCATGGGGACAACACGAGCACTCCAGATATACAGGCGTCAGGGTCACAAAACGAAATGTCCATCCGTTAGTTCAATCCATCGAGTCATGCGTGCAGGTGCCAATTATATTTTTGCACAACACCGTCGATTCAAGCCGTGGGTTTGCAAACGTTTCAATCTGTGGATAAAATGGAAATTGTTAGAAGCTCTCGCTGTGCCGGGTCCGTGCGACGGGCCCGGCTTTCTGCTGCTGCCACTGGGCAGGGCGTGTCCGTCAAAGTGAGGTGACTCGAGTGCCATTTTGGTATGTCGGTCATTACCAGAAGGATGTGACAGGGTCACACACAAGTGGGACGGGTTATGTAACTGATAGGTAAAAGACCTCCGCTGGAAACAGCCAGCAATACAAATAAGACAGACGGCCATTCCGTTTATGGGGCCGCTATTTTGTTAAGGGCATCGATCGTACGTTGAAACGTGCGCATAGTTGCCGAAACATTTAGGCACGTGAGTTTATACTTGGGCTCTAGTATTCGATTGTACATGCTGGTACACACTGATTTTGTATACGTATATACATTTATATGAATGATTTTAAATTTACTTGCCAATTTTGCCCAAAAGCTATCCTGCACAAGGCTAGGCATTGGACATGGGTAAGCTCTCTGCTAAGTTTCTTACAGATCGGTTTTGCAAATTTCACGTAAAAATTTGAATTTTTTTAGGGGCCAGGCATGCTAGAAACGGGGCCTAGCTTTACACGAGGGTAAGCAGGTTGGCGGCATGGATCCCATCATTTTCTCACCAGGCCCTTTCTGTGCAGGTGGGCCCTCCCTCTCTCAACGCAGGCCCTCTCTCCTCTTCAACCACTCTCTGTGTAGACACTCTCTGTGTAGACTCTCTGTGTAGAAACTCTCTTTCTCCTTGAAGGCTCTCCTACACCCAGGCCCTCTCGTAGCATTCAGCCTCACTCCCCATGCAGGAAAGCTCTCTCTCTCCCCAATCAGTTTCTCTCCAGCCTCTCTATCCAGGCCCTCTGTCTATATATTGTTTCTCTCGGTCCTCTCTCTGAACGTTTTTTTCCCCCATTAACAAACATGCGGGAAAATCAGAGGAGCTCCTGAGAGCCCTGACCTACTTAAATAATAATTGGTGAAAGGAAAGGAGGTCCTTGATTTAAAAAAAGAATCAGTTTTTTAAATAGATATTTCCTTGGAATGCAGCAGCCGCTTGCTGCATGTCAAGAAATTGCAAACGTTTTGAGTCTCGGGCTCGTGGCCATTAATTCCATTAGTAGCACGAGGAATCCAGAAAATAGAACGTTAAACGTGGCCAAGGACATTGAGGTGAGTTGGCAAGAAAAATTACGTCTGATGTGTACTTAAAGTAATGGAACGCAGGAGAAAAAAAAATTGCCGCTTTGCATAGATGTGCAGTGTAAGGCTTTTTACAATTCTCTCTGCTTCAGCGAAACAGTTCGTCATGGCTGCAGCGTTTAATTACATTTGGTAGTCGCGACATTCTATTGCCAGCGTCATTGTAATTTACTTAAGACTTATAAAAGAATGAACGAGAAATAATGGCCCAATTTATCACGGATAAAGTTACACGTGAATTGGCATAAAATCCCATCGCAAGCTTTCGCGGCATGAAAATGTAATGTGGCGTGTGACATCACGTTGCCCCGCCAGCAAGCGCTAGTTTTATTACGCGGACCACCGCAAAATATGAAATGTAGTAGAAGACACCCTGGGCCCTACGTCGCAGGTGTCGGTGCTGCCCAAATAAGCGGAAGCTGTGACATGGGAGCCATACATTGAAGGCATCGCCGAGAGCTCCAATCCAAACCGACCCTCCCACAGCCGCCACCCACGGCCTCCACAGCATGCGGCCACGACCGTCTGGCTTCGATTTGCTTAATTGTGGTACTTTAATTTTGTTTTACTTCTGTCACTTTGGTGACTCGGGCCACTCTTGCAAATGAGACTCGCCCTGGTCTCTTGAGTTATCACCTTGGCTAAACAAAGTAATAATCGTAAATAATAATTATTTATTTATCCAGGGAAGCCACACGGACTTCCAGGAATCCTTTTCAAAGAGGGTCGTGCATTGGGTTTTTTTTATCTTAAGAATGTTTTCAGCCAATGAATGATGAGTTGTATTTATTATACGAGTGGGAGGAAACCGCAGCACCCGGCGAAAACCCACACGGGTGAGGAGGCAACACTTTATCCCCATACAGATGTAAACAGATGGCGATTAGTCCACTTGCTGTACTGCACCTCCTCGACGCCCACCTTCGGGAGGGGAGTTTCACGCCATCTATGTGGTGGTCCACCAACCCCTTGCTGCTGCCTCCACGGCATCGGGTTACGTGCAGCATCACAGCCACCACCGCCCAGCTCAAAAACTTGGAAAATAAACTTGAAACTTCATCTTCTTGGTTCTTTCGGTAAAGTCACGTAGCAACCATCCTCAGGCGAATAATTTATTCACCTGAGGACGGCTGCTTGCGTTGTGGCCGAAACGTCGTGAGAATTATTATATTATGTTTTATTTTTATTATTTTATTACTTCCCTTCTACGTGACTTTACCGAAAGAACCAAGCAGATGAATCCCTGCAGTCACGAAAGCTTTAAATCGAAAATTAAACTTGAAACTTCTCTGTGGGGTGGCCTGGTCCCTCGTCCAGTGGGCGGCTGACGCCGGGATGCCGCGCGTATCCGCTGATGGCGTGTCCGCTGATGACGTGTCCACTGTGGAGTGTCCACTGATGGCGTGTTCGCTGTGGCGTGTCCACTGATGGCGTGTTTCGCTGTCGCGCGCGCCCGCTTTCCCGTGCAGGAGACTGCTGGCTGCTGGCTGCCATCGCGTCTCTCACGCTGTCGCCCAAGCTGCTGGAGCGCGTCGTGCCCGAGGGTCAGAGCTTCGGGGACGACTACGCCGGCATCTTCCACTTCAAGGTGACCACGTGCTCCTGCGAGAGCCGGTACAAGTGCCATGCAATGCAGATTCACGTAGCATCGTCTGCAGAGGCTGCAGATAAACTGTGAGCATGTTTATTTTATATTAAAGGCAGTCCAAGGCCTCTCGGAGTCTATGGGTCTGTACGAGTCTCAATGTGCGAGTCTGTGGGTCTCTATGAGTATGGGTCTGTACAAGTCTGAGTTCCCATGCGAATCTAATGCTTTATGTGCAAGTCTATGGATCTCTGTGTGAGTCTGTGGGCCTCTAAACGAGTCTGTGTGAGTGTAGGTCTCTGTTGACTATGGATATGTGTGGGTTTATGGGTTTCATTGAGTTTAATTTCTTACGTGAGTCTGGGTCTCTGTTAGTCTGTGGATCTCTGCAAGTCAACAATGCAGTTTGGATGTGTGTGTGTATAGAGAGTATAAATGCAACCACATCTCAAGAAGCTGCACAGACAGTAGGCATATTGTTGTATTGGAGAGAGAGGCAGTCGGTCATAAAAGTTGTTAATCAGTCAAAATGCTCCAATACTTGGTGCAAATAACCTATGTACTTATCTCTTCCCATTCCTCAATGTTTTTTCAAATATTTATTTCATTGAGAGTTCGTGATAGTTTCGTGAAATTAAGAAAAATCCAGGTAACATGTCGATGACAAATTGAGTTAATTCGGGCGTGAACTTAAACCATGAAATTTCCATCGGCATGTCTAGCAACTTCATATTGCGTAGTAATAGTTTACCGCAATATGTCAATCCCCTGCTGGATGAGGGCCTCCCCAAAATGTCAGTGATCGGGGTTGTTTGCTCATACTTCACCATGCTGGTCCATGCGGGTCGATCTCGTGGGAGGCACAGGTCCAGTTCAGATGTCGCTTGCCACCACTGGGAATAGAACTCGGGTCGTATGGTCACAGGGCAGCAGCAATAACCACTGCGCAAACCCTCTCAAAAATAAGTGTACACGTCCAGGCATATGGTGAGATGTTAACTCCCTCTCCTAGTATACAGGAGGTCGTGGGTTCAATCTTGAAGCCTGTCTATTTGGAGTTTGCGTGTTTTCTCTGTGGTCGCGTGTATTTTTCTCTGGGTTCCTCCAGTTTTTCCTCCATATTTAGAAACGTGCGTTTCGAGTATTTGGCTGCTTTAAATGTCCACGTGATAAGCCACTCGGTTGAGCGATAATTTGTGGACAGGTCACTTCTGAAAAGAGCCATATAGCTCGTGGGCCTTACCTGGTAAAATAAATATAGTTTAGTTTATAGTTTGGTTTAGTATTGAGACCTGAAAGTAGTTACTAAAACTGGCCAAGTGCAAGCATCATCGTACCACCAGCAATAGTGTCCGTCGCGTGATTAGCGCTAACCACCGCTGCCGCCGCCACCCACCCCAGTAACTGCAATTCGACGCTGCTCCGTGCCGAGCTGTGCCTTGACCGCGATCCGCCGCATGTAGTTCTGGCAGCACGGCGAGTGGACGGACGTGGTGGTGGATGATCGCCTGCCCACGTACAAGGACCGGCTCGTCTTCCTGCACTCGGCTGACGGGCACGAGTTCTGGAGCGCCCTGCTCGAGAAGGCCTACGCCAAGTGAGTTCAACGCCACCCTCCGTCACAGTCAGGGGTGGGCTTGTGTGGCTCTCGGGGAGAGGTCGGAGATGCTCAGCCCAGTCACCACTGAGATTCTGGGTTTGACCTCTGGGTTTCAGCCGCTCCAGCCACGGTGACTAAACTGGGTGGTCGAGCGGAGTGAGTTGGTGATCCCAGCCTGGTCTCCAATTATGGGATTGGACAAACTGTTCACTTAGTATGGGTAAATTATAGGTCTGCTAATTAGTAATCTATATTGATTGACTGCTATCCAATGATCGCAGTGAAAGCGGGAAAGTCTGCACCCGGTCATCACTGACTGCGCAGAAAAACACAAACTGTGAACGTTGGTTTCTCTGCTGTGTGGTCGATGGCCTGGTGGTCTCTGGTCCTGCAATCAATCGCTAGGCTTTCACTGAATTTACATTTTATGAAGGTCATGGTGGCGGCTGTGTCGTGCAAAACACGCGTGGATTTGATTTAACTTAAAGTGGTCACTGTTTTTGAGGTCGATTTTAAATCCCAGAGGCCTTCTCTGCCCTAATGCCACTGCTGCCACCACCCAGGCTGCACGGCTCGTACGAGGCCCTGAAGGGGGGCAGCACGTCAGAGGCGATGGAGGATTTCACGGGCGGCGTGGTGGAGATGTACGACACCAAGGAGGTGCCCGAGAACTTCCCTCAGCTGATGAAGAAGGCGCTGGAGCGGGGATCCATGCTCGGCTGCTCCATCGATGTGAGTTTACGGCCCAAACGGAATGAATCTTGCCGCCTCTTCATCGCTCTCTCTCTCTCATATTCACTATGTCGCTCGCTCTCGCTCTCTTTCTCTCACACTCCCCTGTCTCACTCTTTCTCGCACTCACCCACTCCCTGTCTTGCTTACCCTCTCGCTCTCTTTCTCTCACACTCCCCTGTCTCACTCTTTCTCGCACTCACCCACTCCCTGTCTTGCTTACCCTCTCGCTCTCTTTCTCTCACACTCCCCTGTCTCACTCTTTCTCGCACTCACCCACTCCCTGTCTTGCTTACCCTCTCGCTCTCTTTCTCTCACACTCCCCTGTCTCACTCTTTCTCGCACTCACCCACTCCCTGTCTTGCTTACCCTCTCGCTCTCTTTCTCTCACACTCCCCTGTCTCTCTCTCTCTCGCACTCGCCCACTCCCCATCCTGCTCGCTCTCTCGCTCTCTCTCGCACTCACCCACTCCCTGGCTTGCTCACTCTCTCGCACGATCCCTCTCTCTCTCTTTATACATCAAGTGTACAGGCGGTGCAACTTCAATGAGCACCATGGGCTGGAGGGGCCCATTAGCTTGGCTACAAAGAAGCGTGGCGTTGGGGGGGGGGGGGCAGAAAATTTGCAAGGGACCCCAATTCATTCATTGCACTGGGCCCATGCCAACAACACTGCGCCACTGCCAAAGGGCTTCGAGCCACAACATTTACATGGAGTGGATTGAGTTTTAAAAAATGTCATGGGAAATCCTGGACGGGGCGGTGCAAGCAGTGCGCCTACAGCACGTGGGATGAATTTAAATGCACTTATCGGTCTGCCCAAGTCGAGTCTAGTTAGTTCATCCCAAGAAGCGATCAACCTTCACTGGACTCGAATAATTATTATTTTTTAACTCTTTCCCCACCCCCTCACCCCACCCCGTGCCCCCCGTTCCATGTGTAAAATTGCATACCAACCATTGGTATGCTGCATCTCCATCATTGTCAAATACCTTTTTAAAAAGGCACGGTATTCCAGCGATGTGCACGCGGAATGGTCGGTGTACGTCGGTGCGCACCACGCCCTGCCGCGCCCCACATGCTGCGCGCGTTTTCACGCACCACGGCAGCAACGGAGCTGACGGCTCCTCTCGCAAATGATGGCTCGGCGAAGTGGCGGCTTATCATGTGGAAATGTACAGCAGCCAAAGACTCTAAACACGTGATGTTGATTCTACATGTGGAGGGAAAAACCGGAGGACCCGGATACAAATCTAAGCGACAACGAGGAGAGAGACACTGCAAACTCAAAATGTACAGCAGGCGTCGGGGAAGGGATCGAGCTCACGACCTCCTGCACACCAGGCGAGGGAGTAAACATATTGCCACCGCGGCATGGGGGCGAAGGGCGGCAGAGCAGCATAACCGCTGGTCGTCTTTTTTCTTTTTTCAAACGCATTTTCACGACGCATCGATTGATCTCGGGCGCACTGTCGATTCAACTTGAAAGAGACGATCGGGCGTAGGCAGGACGCAGCGCTGGACGTGGGTGATGGCTGATGGACGAGACCGGTGAAGGAATTGCAGCGAAAGGAGTGTACGCGATGAGATCAATTTTGCGTGCACGAGTGAGACGGATGGCAGCAGCACTGGTCGCGCCCAATCCAGCTTGGCTCCTGAGATCTGACAATACCGCGTGTATTCGCGTCGGAGGTCGACTAATGTTTTTGTTTACCTTTGTCATCAGGCCCCATGGTGGGAAGTGCAGTCTCCAACTATCATAATCCGCTCCATCTCTCGACTGGCCTCTCTACGTATGTGCTATGCACAAGGGCCATTCCCTGAAACCGTCTCCTATTATATATATATTTAAGGCCACACACACAGCGTTATTGACGAATGCTTTGAGGCTTTGGTTTCACATTGCATGAAAGTACAACGTTGGGGTTCACTCACCGCCGTGCGGAAGAGACAGAAGCCGAGATAAAGCGGCAGGCAGGGCTGGTCAACGATATTCGCCTGTCGGCTCTCGAAGAGCAACTTGGGTGTGTCTGCATCGACGATTCGCGCCACAATCCATTTGAACGGCAGGTCTTTGTGTGTGGTGGTGTAAAGTGTGGGTGCTCCCTTTCCACCCGCCCCAAGACGTCTGGCCAGCATGGAAGAGTAGGCCAAGTATCTCCTAGAGCTCCCTTTTAGGAGGAGGCCCTTCTGTCAGCAGTGGCGTGAGCTCGACATTGCAGGACTGCACCCGTTACCCTGTACAGTGCTGTACTGTACAGCCCTTTTGTCAATCCACTGCTGGATGAGGGCCTCTCGTCGGTGCCGTTTGACCATGCTTCACCACCGCTGACCAGTGCGGGTTGGGGTGAAGGTGGCGTATGAGCACGTCACAACAATTGACTCGGCTGCACTACGGCTCTGCTGCCCACAAAAACCTAGAGACCCGGCGGGGCAGCCTTTGCACAACCTGCTTGTTCCGTGAGTCGCTAACCCCATCCGAGCAGTACCCGGGCCTCAAACCTGCTTGGCTTGGCAAGATCCGACCGAGATGGGGCACGTGCCTGTGTGCCCTGGGGGGGTGGGGGGTTTGATGGTCACAGGCGTTGTCGATAGCTAGCCGAGCCGTGGTGAGTTGATGCGAAAAAATGTACGCCCACCCCGCCGACCCCACGGAGAGATAGGTTTACTATCTCCACGCTCGTGTGCAACGCGCCTGCACGTCGAAGAAACGGAGAGCCGGCGCTCTCCGTCTCTTCGCTAAATTTAACGGCGACGGCCGATGGGTCTCGCGCGTGCGTTTCGGTGCCGGAGTGGTCGTGCAAGAGGGCGGCCGTGGTCACGTGTCCATGTGGGCCACTGCCGTACGAATATCGGCCCTTGTTGGGCCCTCCCTGTAGGACTGATAAGCGACTCTCCTCCTACGTCAAGGTTCTGGACACCTCACGCTGCCGCCGCTACCTTGTTCTGATTTGTTATGTTTTTTCCCCATGGTTGACAGCCATGAGAAGCGGCGTAGCAAATTTCATCGTTGTACCATACTTCTGCGGTTCCGCGTCTGTGCTCCCCCGCCGCCACCGACCGTCGCTGAGCAGCACGTTGAAGAAGTGAGTGGACAAAGAGCCCTCGGTGACCTGCGTAGGGCATGGGGGAGGTATGGTTACCACCTGTCCTGGTTTTCCCAGAATTTTCCTCTTGTTGAGGTGTGGCGGCCGTCCTGGAAAATCTGTCGGTCTTCCTGGCGGGGGGTTGGGACGTATTGAAAGTCCCGTTTTTTTTTATCGTCAACGTTAATTATAATAATAATAATATTATTTGGGTCTTTCGGTAAAGCCACGTAGATAGAAAAATTATAATAAAAAATAATAAAATATCTCCCGCTATATGTTTTCACCTGATATCGATTGCTTGTGTTGCGATCGAAATGTCGTGATATTTTATTATTTTTTATCATTATTTTTCGATCTACGTGGCTTTACCGAAAGACCCAAAGAATCTGAGTTCCTGCAAGTCACGAAAGCTTTAAGTCAAGATATAATAATGATGATAAGCACGTAACTTTACGTCTCTACGAGTTATGCCAGGCGTTCGTTTCCCTGCTCATAACGTGCCGGATTTTACATTGTACCTCCCGAGGTGGCAACCCGAGCTAGCACTTGCACCCATCACAAAATGAGGTTACGTGTGAGCAGTGAAGGGAGGCGGTGGTAAGGAAGGGCTCTACGCAGGAGGAACAAGAATGCAGCGCTAAATTGTTTGGGTGCGGCACAGCATCACACCCTGTGAGCCCTCCGGCAGTTTTCTAAAAATACCGAAGGAGCAGCAGAAATATGACATTTCAATTATGGACGAAAGTTGATGTAAAATAATATCCTAGGTCTGCTTGTGGTTAATGACTAATGTGGGACCTAATCAATACTTGTGCGTGCATGTGTGGCTCTGTGGTGCTGTCCACCCACCCTCTCGTGTGCCATTCTGGCCTTCATCGGTGCGAGCAAACAGCACTTGCCCCTACAGCACTTGCCCCAACAGTACGTTCAAGGCTACACGGGGGATAATTGTTTTCGGTGTGAGGAGCGGTGGCACAGTGGTTAGCGTACCGCGCTACGAATTCGGTGACCCAGTTCGATTAACGCTTACGGCCAATACCAACGACGATGACCTGAACCAGTCCTGGGTAGTACTACATATGCTACGGGCCCCCCACTTTCAAGGCCCCGTGCTAAATGCTTCCAAGCTATCAATTCCGGTTCAATGAATCTGCACTTGCTCTATTAATATGGTACTATACTGCCTTCAACTTGTATGAACGACTTGGTGTCTAAGGTTAGCGATTTGTCGTATTATCAAGCTGTATAGCAAATGAAAAAATACTTGTGCTTTTTTTAGGGCCCCTTTATAACAAATGCTACAGGCCCCGTACTAGCTTAATCCGGCACTGGTCCTGGGCCTCCCCTAGGTCGGCTCAGTCTCAAATGAGCACGTGGTGCGGTGTGTAGACATCAGCACTGGGGAGACGAAGGCGGCCGGGCGTGGTGTTGGCCACCCCCACCCCCTCGTGTGTCGTGCGCGTGCGAGGCGCGTGCACCACGGGATGGACCGCGTGCGTGTCATCATCCTCGGTGGATGGTGGAGTGACTCTCACCCAAAAACCAGACCATCTGGTGGAACTCGTCTCGCCGGTCCCGCGGTGTGTCCACGTGTCCTCCCGCCTTTCCCTCGGGGGTGAAATCGCATGACAGTGGGCGGTGAGTGGCATCCGAGCGAATGCATTTAAGGAGGCAAATTAACTCGATTTTCTTCAATTGAGGCCATTGTTTCGTTTGTTGGGCCCACTATGTTACGTTTTTCCTATCTCGTGGCAGTGTTGATGATGAAAAGCGATTCAATCGATCAGCCTTCATTTTACGTGCCAATATCGCCCTCGGTAAAGTCGACAGCGGTGCGCATGACAACAAGGAATGAGCAAAAGAAAGCCGTCACGACCTCGGCGGCGAACACATTCGCTGTTTGTTGTCTGTGTGGGTTCTCCACAACCCTAACAGAGTCCTGTGATGTTGTGGAATTCTATTACAGGTGCCCCTCGATTCTGTGCGGGTTCGGTTTGTTGAGATTTCACGCCGTATATTGCGCCACGCCTATTTCTACCCAAAATTCGCTATATGCGGTTTGAATTCACTCTACATGCGGCTATGCGGTCAGACGCGGGGGAACATTGTGTGTGCAGTGTGTGCTGTGTGTACCGTGTGTACTGCGTTGTGTGTGTGTGCTGTGTGTACCGTGTGTACTGTATGCGCTACTTGGCAGGCAGCTGCCTCCACGTGCGATTTCGCTTTGTCCGCATCTACTACTCCCCGCATGAAGCGAGGGGAAACTTGAATATTTGAACATGACCGATGTGCAATTCACCTGCGTGTCTATGCACATATATACGTGTGCCCTGATGTCTAAAGTGTCCGTGAGCACGTGGACTTATGGTCGGAGTGTCTGTTTAATCGCGTGCACGTGCTTACACAGTAGAACCCCTCTTAACGACGGCAAATTGGTTCCACGAAAACGGCCGCTAAGTGATTTTGGTCGTTAAGCGAGTATAGGACATGAAAGTTAATGCTTGAAAGTGACGCCGTTTTTCGCCCAAAAAACGCGGCCACCTTCGTGACCTTGAATCGAGATTGCCCACGAGCGCTCGCTGTCCGGCGTGTGCGCCGTGCACAATGCTCGCGTCCTGTGCTCAGAGCTCGGCATCTACGCACACTCGCCGTTGATTTCGCCCCAGACCATCGTAACCCCTTAATCCCCTCTATCCTGTACCTCCCGCACCCCCCCCCCCCCCCCCCCGGCTGCACGTGCTGCAGGTAACGAGCAGCGCCGAGTCCGAGGCTCGAACCACCACGGGCCTGGTGAAGGGCCACGCCTACTCCATCACCGGCTTCGACGAGGTGAGAGTCCATCGCCGCCTCGCCCTGCCGCTCCTCTCGCGGCGCTTGCCACGTAAGCCGTCTTTCTGTCTAGGGTGCCGCGGTGGCGAGATGTTAACTCCACCGCCCAGTATACAGGAGGTTGTGTGTTCGATTCCGACCCTGACCCTGACGATGCCGGTATACGTGGAGATTGCATGTCCTTTCTCCCCGTGGTCGTGTGGATTTTGCTCCGGGTCCTCTGCTTTTTTCCTCTACGTATAGAATCAACGTGTTTTTGGCTGCCGTAAATTTCCACGCAGTAAGCTTAGAGCTATCGTTTGTGGCCAGGTCGCTTCTGAAAAAGAGCTATATTGGTAGAATAACGTGGTGGATTCGCGCACCGCTCTGCAAATCCGGCGCGACTCGAGTTTGCTTCCTAGACGGGGCTCGCAAAATGCGGGTTCCCCTGGCAATGATCTACTTTGCCCCATTATCCTTCCCGTGATCAATATGATCAATACCAATTTGTCGGAAGTCGGCATTAATATTAATTAGCTGTGATAACCTTTACCCAGAACACCCTCACCAGCAACATCCTGGGGGGTGGGGGGCAGGGGATTGGGGGGCGGGGGAGTGGGGGGCGGGGGGTGGGGGGCGGGGGAGTGGGGATTGGGGGGCGGGGGAGTGGGGGGCGGGGGAGTGGGGGGCGGGGGAGTGGGGGGCGGGGGAGTGGGGGGCGGGGGAGTGGGGGGCGGGGGAGTGGGGGGTGGGGGAGTGGGGATTGGGGGGTGGGGGAGTGGGGATTGGGGGGTGGGGGAGTGGGGCGGGGGGGCAGAGGAGTGAGGGGCGGGGGGGCAGGGGAGTGGGGGGCGGGGGAGTGGGGGGTGGGGGAGTGGGGGGCGGGGGAGTATTGGGCAGGGGAGTGGGGGGCGGGGGAGTGGGGGGAGTGGGTCATGAATTCTGGTGCTTCAACAATTCCACTTGAGTGTTTAATTTGGCATGAGGGAGGAGACAATCGCTCGCTTGGGGGGTTATGCCAGGAGGGACCCCGAGCAAGGGGGTCCCGATGACAACCTCTTACGGACGTCGATCACCCATCCAAGCGCTGTTCACGCTCAAAGATGCTTGGTTTTTGCGAGACCTGCCGAGAACCGACGCGGTACTATGGACACTTACCTTTGCCGTGTCCGCCACCAGGTGGAGGTCAGAGGTCACAAGATCCAGCTGGTGCGGGTTCGCAACCCGTGGGGCCAGGTGGAGTGGAACGGCGCTTGGAGCGATGGGTGAGTTGCACCTGTAATTGACTTTGCCATAGGTAAAGATAAAGGTGCAGCCCTGCAATTTCTTGTTTACGCCCCCCGCTGGCAGATGGGCGTCCGCAAGAGGGAGTTCTCGAGTGAGCCACTGTAGGTGGTGCTTTGGCCCACTCACATGCTGGACAGTCGTATTGAAAGAGGTGGCAGTACCCACACATGTCCCCATCGCATGTACCCTGCCAATTGAGCAACTCTGGTGAACCCAAATGGGGGGAGAATTAAGAAACTTGCACCATAGGTTCTGCTGCCGCGCACGGAGATCAGATCGAACCGGCGACGTCAGCATTGCAAGTCCAGCGCGCTAAGCACCACACCACGTCAGCATTCCCTATAGACTTAGTTTGGCGAGCCAAAATCCACTGTGAGGACCGGGTCTTGGCCTCCCTAAGTCGACCTCGGGGATCTGCGTGTGTGTGGGAGAGAGGCTTACGATGGCCGGTTTAACGTGTGGGGAGCAGTGGTCCAACGGTTTGCGTGCTACGCTACGAACCCAGCCAGCCGAGTTCGATTCTCGCTTGCGGTGAACACCAGTGATGATTATCTGAACTGGTCCTGGGGCTCCCCTAGGTCGACTCGGCCTCAAATCATTACCTGGTGCATTGTGTGAACATCGCCATTGGAGAGACAAAGGTGGCTGGGCATAGTCCTGGCCACCCACCTACTCGTGTGCCGTGCTGGCCTTCATAGGCGCTGCTCACTAACAGCACTTTCCACAAAGGTCTATTAAGGCTATACGGGGGATCTTTGTCTTGGATAGGCTTGCCACCTGTCCGAGTTTAACTGGCATCTGTCTTCGGGTGACAGGAATCTATTCGTGCTGACATTGGGTGCCGGCACGGTGGTTGAACTTTATTCCCATTGTGGACTGCACGTTTTTTGATAACGTGCCGACTGGCGCACATCACAAATCCGGGTTTGGTTAGCGACCCGGGTTTGAGATGACGCGTGTGCGCCTCCCCAACCACCTCGAGTCACAACGGCGTGCCCATTCCTCCGCTGTCCTCCTCCCGCCAGGGGCCCCGAGTGGAAGCAGGTCTCCGCCAAAGAGAGGACGCGACTGCAGCACCAGCAGAAGGACGACGGGGAGTTCTGGTGAGTGGAGCCGTGCACAACCACGCGGGAAGAGAAACAAAAACACGCAGAGCACTCGGAGCACAATTTGGCCACATCCCGATGTGCCGCGGACAGCTCCGTTTGGTTAAATCCACTGCTGGATGATGATGATTATGGCTTCCACACGCCACCTGGTTCACGGGTGGTTATCGGATCATACTTCATAAAATGTTTTAGGCGAAGGAATTTTGAGGCAGTCAAGTGACTATACTTGCCACCATGGGTGCCACGGTGGCGAGATGTTAACTACCTGGCCTGCTATACAGGAGGTCGTGGGTTCGATCCCGACCCTGATGCTTGCTGTATATTTGGTGTTTGCATGTTCTTCTTGTGGTCGCGTGGATTTGTCTCCGGGTCCTCCGGTTTTTCCCTCCACGTTTCCAATCGACATGCGTTTTAGAGTATTTGTCTGCTATAAATTTTCACGCGATGATAAACCATTTCGTTGAGCTATTATTTGTGGCCAGGTCCCTTCTGAAAAAGTGCTATATCGCTCAGGGGGCCTTACCTGGTACAATAAAAATTGCTTAGTGAGGAATACTTCAGAACCCACTCTAACAACAGTTGGCTGAGAGCCAGAGTCAAAGCCAGCTTCTTCAACGGTGCCAGTTCGGAGTTTCCACCTGCCGTACTTGTTGAACTTCTTCTTGCGCACTGTACGTAGCCAGCCGTGCTAACTGCCTGACGATACCGCGCACAGCTTCCCAAACGCACAAAACGAACCTCGATTCGTAGCGAAATAAAACGATCCCCGGACCCATAGAGGGGGGGGGGGGGGGGGGGGGAAACAACCCCTCCGACCGCGGCAAACTTTGTCTACGTACGTACTTTGAACTTCTTACGCACCGTACGTAGCCAACCGTGCTAATCGGAGGTGCGGGGGCGGTGGGGGAAGGACGACAAACTAAACACAGCAACAAGCAGTTGAGTTTGTCTTCCCCCCCCCCCTCCCCCCGTGCATCGCCGTTGCCACAGGATGTCCTACAGGGACTTCATCGCGAACTTCCACAAGGTGGAGGTGTGCAACCTCACCCCGGACGCGCTGGACGACGACACGCCGGGCAACTGGACCGTGTCCACGCACGAGGGCCGCTGGCTCAACGGCTGCACGGCCGGAGGCTGCCGCAACTTCCCCGGTACCGTCGGTGGTGGTGGCGGTGGTGGCGGTGGTGGCGGTGGTCGCTATATGGAGACCGCCGAGGGCAGTGCACCGCGTTGAAACGGCCCTGCCGGGCCTCGCTCGTTTGGCCGTTCATCATCGTCGTAGTTCATCAGCCACGTGGTCAGCCCACCACCAGCGTGAAAGCCTCGCCAAGCTGCGGTGATCTCTCTCTTGAGCGGGCGAGCGAGCGGGCGGGCGAGCAAGCGGGCGGGTGAGCGAGCGGGCGAGCGGGTGAGCGGGGGAGCGGGTGAGCGGGGGCGAGCGAGTGGGCGAGCCCCGCGGTGGGATTTTTCGGACGTAGCTCGATCAAGGGCGTAGACGAGAATATCCGAATCAGTCAAGCCTGAGAGCTTCCGAGATCAGAATCCGATTTATTGATTCATCCTGGAGAAATATGATGAGTTAATGAAGCTCTTTTTTCACAGATGTCCAGTAGGGGCAGGTCAGAAATTTGCAACAACAAATAATAAAAAAACGATAGGAGTGCAAAGTATGGGAAAGGTAAGCCTGCCCTGTACCTCTCCTCCTGTGATCGTAACAAGGGGACAGGTCAGCTAAATAAATCAAACTAAACAATTTTTTATATTACCAGGTAAGGCCCACCGAGCTACGAGTTTTTTTCTTTTTTCAGACCTTCCTAACGACCTCTCGAACTGCACATCTCGGTGTGCCAACCGTCGCGGCACCACGCACAACACTGTTTTACTCGCCTGTCACCCCCTCGCCTCTTTAACCCTTCCACCCCCCCCCCGCCCCCCCCCCCCCGGACACGTGGCGCCAAAGAGACGTTCTGGACGAACCCGCAGTTCCGTCTGAAGCTGGAGGAGGAGGACGACGACCCCGACGCAAAGGGGCAGAAGGGCTGCTCCTTCATTGTGTCGGTGCTGCAGAAGAACCGCCGGCACCAGCGCAAGCTCGGCGCGCAGATCTACACCATCGGCTTCGCCATCTACCAGGTGCGGTACCGCAAACGATCGCCGCTCGCGCCGACCTGTCACGGTGGGGTGGAGGGGGGGCTAGTGGGGGGAGAGGGGTGGAGGGCAGCCACCGTGGGCAGGCTTTTCGTGGGCCTACGGACACCTCCAGAATGGTCGAGACACGACAAAGGGACACGAAGAGACGCAGGCAATATTTTTTTTCCTGTCCCTCACCTGTCCTGTTATTATCTGCGAAAGTTCTGGTTTCCTCTCGTTTCTTCCCACGCGAATTGGCGAAATATCCCAATGTAGGACGACAGAGCTTGAGCGGGAGGAGGTTGGCACCGGCTTGGGCTGCCTCTGCTCTTTGTCTGTGGTGTCCCACGACTCCATGCGAAATTGGTGCGCGTTGCAAAGTGTACGGCGTTTTGAGACGCAGTTTGTCATGAACGACGCTATGTGTGTATGTATCTCTCTCTAGAAAAAAATATGAATTAGACAATCACCAGTGCTACAGAACTTTAAAGACACGTGCTCATGTATTCCGAATCACTTGACTTTTCTTTCCAGCTGCGACTGCGCAGTGAGCTCGCCACGGTAGTTTGCAAGTGCTAAGAATTTATATGTTTGATTATTATTAATATTAATATTGATCGTACATTTAAATTTGCATTGGCCGCGGATGCCCTGCTAAAGCTGCCAGCGAAGGTGAGTTTCGGGTTGCATGGTGCATGGACCGACCTTCCCTGCATGGTGAACCCTGCATGGTTGCATCAAGCCTGGCCTCTAGTGTTGGACCGGTCAGTGCCAGCCACCCAGAACTCAACGGAACGAGGGCCCACCAACAAATGCATGAGTGCGATGGCAGAGCAAAACAGACGAGTAGGTGAGCAACGTAGAAGCGATGTTGGAGGTAGGTGCTGTACATTTCCACGTGCTATGCCTCTTTGTTGAGATATCATATGTGGCCAGGTCGTTTTTGAAAATTAAGCTATTAACTCAGTGGGATTGCCCTGGTAAGAAAAAAAATGGTTTAGTTTTTTATTTGTATCTTTTTTAAAAGTGATTTGTGTACCTTTCTTATACTTTGCACTCCTATCGTGCTTTTGTATTGATTGTATTGATTCTAATCAATACAAAAGTAGTAATTATTATTTTTGCGTTCTGACCCGCCCCCTACTGGACATCTGTAAAAAAAATATTTTTACAGTTCATCAGATGCCTCCAGTATCAATAAATATTCTGCTTCTGAAGTTCAACGACCTTCATTTCCATCATGGTCGTAGAACGCAGTGCCCAAAGGCCTAAAACGTCAAGTGGAGCAGCAACATGTAGCAGGTAGAATATCATGGGACCCTTTTTGCCATTATCAAAGTATGAAAATAAGAATAGGTGTTATACTCTTTGGTTCTTTCGGTAAAGTCACGTAGGTATAAAATATAAAATAAATTAAAATTAAATAAATTATTTTCTATTTTCTACTTATGTGACTTTACCGAAAGAACCAAAGAGTATGGATCCTTGCAGTCACGAAAATTTTAAATCTAGAAAGAATAGGTTTTACCCTTTCTGGCAATAAAACCAGGTGTTAAGGTGGTTAAATTTCGATTTAAAGCTTTTGTGACTGCAGGGATTCATCTTCTTGGTTCTTTCGGTAAAGTCACGTAGAAGGGAAATAATAAAATAATATTAATAAAACATAATAAAATAAAATTCTCACGACGTTTCGGCCACAACGCAAGCAGCCGTCTTCAGGTGGAGAACATGTCTGTCGGAAAGCCAGCGTCCTAAATGTCTTTCCGACGGCTGCTTGCGTTGTGGCCGAAACGTCGTGAGAATGTTATTTTATTATATTGAATTTTTATTATTTTATTATTTCCCTTCTACGTGACTTTACCAAAAGAACCAAGAAGAAGAGGTGTTAAGGTGTTCAAACACACCCCGAGCTGCAGATAGCAGCTCACCCTGAGCTACAAATGCTCTGATAGGTGCATTGTCCTTGTGCTGTTCGCCTTTTGGCATCCTCTGGTCTGACACTGGTGGTGAGACTAGGCCATAAAGAAGGCTGCTGTCTCAGGTGTAGGCCTATCCGTTTGAAAGACAATCCATATGCTGTATTATCAGAGCATGTTTTGATTACATGTTCACCACAAGTACGTGTGATTAATGCGGATTTGATTCCTTGAAAAAGCTATCTTTTTGGTGTTATTGCCAGAAAGGGTAAAATCTCTTCTTATTTTTCATACGTAGAAGGTATAAGTTAACATGTTGCTGGATATTGAGCAAGGTTATTTATTATAAGAACTCGGGGGGGGGGGGGGGGCAAGATGTTGGGAGAGAACTCCAAAGTGGAGCAGTGCAAGGCAAGAAGCAGAGGGAAAAAGTGTTGTGACCTGCAGTGTGGTGGTACGTAGCCAACTGATCATCACACAACTGGCTACGTATGGTGCAAAAGAAGTTCTACAAACGGTCTGGTACACGAGTCTTCAACATGGGTAGAGGAATCAAAGTTTGAAGTTCCAAGGAAGAGGAACCATGGTAGTAGCGATCGGAGAATGATCAGGAGGCGACTGATCGCTGGTGAAATTGGTGAGCGCTGATTCAATAGACCGACCGGACTGCTTTTTTGTCAAAATCCTACAAAGTATGGCGATGTATTTACTGGGCGGTCGTACCCCAGGCACGAGATACATTGCTACAGCATTGGGCTGGTGGGCTGGCAAAGTTGTTAATTTCCTGACTCGGGGCACATTTCCATGTGGAGGCGTTAACCTGTTCTTACCCCCCCCCCCCCCCCCCCCCGTTCTGCATCAGTCTCCTCTGGGTTCTCCAGCTATTTCCTACACCGTGCAATTGGTGAACTTGAAGCGTGGGCTTTTCACAGCCGATATAACGATTACGCAATAGATTTTTTTGGCGGAGAGTCATTTTGGTTTGTGTTTTTTTTTCTCCCAGAAGTATTTTATCGGAAGTAAAAAAAAAGCCAGGGGAAGGTGCGGCGAACGGCCAGGCAGGGTTGGGTGGGGGAACACGGGGGGAGGGGGGGGGGGTAAAGCGTCACGGAGTAACACCAACAATTGGTGGAGGGTCTTAACGACACAAATTTGGTGAGATCTTTACGTGGCCCTAACCCAAAACTCAACGTACGATTCAATGGAAGCGGGGGTGTTGGCCAAACTCAACTAAACTCTTTATATTACCAACTAAGGCCCACTGAGCTATGTAGCTATTTTTCATAAGCGACCTGGCCACAAATGATAGATCAACCAAGCGGCTTATTACGTGGAAATTTAAAGCAGCCAAATACTTTATACGTATGTTGATTTTAAATGTGGAGGGAAAAACCGGAGGACCCGGAGAAAAATCCACAGGGAGAAGACGCAGACTCCAAATATACAGCAGGCATCGGGGTTCGGGATCGAATCCACATTCTGATGTAGCAGGTGACTCTTGGAAATATGCCTTCGGACTCCCATGTGTAGCTTCTTCCTGGGTAAATCAGTAACTGTGGTCATTATTATCATCATCATTACGAGGCCCTTTGTGCCAGTATCAAGATGATGAACATATTAACACCCGTATTCCTGCCGGCAAGAATAAAGCCTATTATTTCATCATCATCAATATCATCATGATCAATATTATCATTATGGTCCATCATCATTATCATCATCAGCATCATAATTGTCCTAGATTTGAAGCTTTCGTGACTGCAAGGATTCATACTCTCAGGTTTTTTCGGTAAAGTCACGTAGGTAAAAAATAAAATTGAAAGTTAATAAAAGTAATAATGAAAATAAAATAAAATAATTATTTTATTTTACCGAAAAAACCTGAGTATGAATCATAATTGTCCACCTGTCGCTCTTCCGGCGACCCCCCTTTTCGCTGAGCAGCTGCAGCAGCAGGGCGGCCACCTGCCCAAGGACTTCTTCCTCTACAACGCCTCCAAGGCGCGCAGCAAGCAGTTCATAAACCTGCGCGAGGTGTCGCAGCGCTTCTGCCTGCCGCCCGGCAACTACGTCATCGTGCCCTCCACCTTCGAGCCCAAGCAGGAGGCCGAGTTCGTGGTGCGCCTCTACGCCGAGAAGAAGAACGGGTCCAAGTGAGGAGGAGCTCGTCAACGATACCGCACCACCACCACCACCACCTCCATCACTCCACTTCGATGCAGCACGTTTGGCCGCGTGCAGTGCAAAAATAAGTTGAATAAAAAGGTCGCAAGATAAAGCTGCTCACCCCGAGCTATAAATGCTCTGATGCGTGCATCGTCTTTGTTGCTGTTCACCTTTTGGCGTTCTCTGATGTGACACTGATCGTGAGACTAGGCCGTAAAGGAGGCTGCTGTCTCTGGCGTAGGCCAATCAGTTTCAAAGACTGCAAATATTATTATCAGAGCGTGTTTGTTTGCATGTTCACCACAAAGTGCGTGTGGTTAATGCAGACTTGATTTCTTGCAAAGGGTTTATATTTGGTGTTTGAACACCTCGACACCTGTTTTATTGCCAGGAAAGGGTAAACCCTGTTCTTATTCATTCGACCTCCTTTTCCAGTACCAAAGTATAACAAGAGGGTTTTCCCCCTTTTTTATGGCAACAAAACTGAAACCTTTTTACGAGAAATCCTGTGTGCATTAACCGCAATACTTGTGGTCAAAATGCAAAAAAAAACACACTGATAATAGATGCATTGGCCTTGACACTGATTGGTCCACACCAGAGACAGCTTGCATTTTGACCACAAGTATTGTGGTTAATGCACACATGATTTCTCGTAAAAAGGTTTCAGTTTTGTTGCCAAAAAAAGGGGGAAAACCCCTATTATTATCCTATTCGTTTTTTCATACTTTGATTCCGGGAAAAAAGGTCTCGTGATGTATACATGGCACCGTTTAAAGCAGGGGTTGGCAACCAAAATAACAAGAAGAGAATTCGATGCAAAACTGAAGGTTTCAAGAGCCGCAATGCAGGCGAGTACACAGTACGTCACATCACGCAGTCCGTAGAGAGACGCATGCGGCTCCGCAACCACATGTTACCAACCCCTGTTTTCGAGTATTTGGCTACTGCTAATACATTTCCACGTGATTGACAAACCACTTAAGTTGAGCTATCATTTGTGATGGCCAAGTTTGAATAGTTACATTGTTTTTTCCTTCCCTTGCAGTGAAATGGACAACAGCATATCTGCCGACATACCACCAGAGGTAACTGAGAACGTTTGTTTACTAGTCCACTACAAACCCGGCGACCTGAGTTCGATTCCTAGCCACGGCTAACACCAGCGGCGGGTGATATCTTAACCAGCGCTGGGCATCGCCGGCATGGTGAAGTATGGTCAAACAACTCCTATGTCTGAAATGGTTTGAGGAATTTCTCTTCATCCAGGCGCTGCAACTGAAGAGGGCTGTACCTGAAAGTTAAACCCATAAGTACAAAACTAATTGGTCCACGTAATAAAGTCGACTGTGCAAAAAAGTGCGTGTCCAGACACTGCGCTGTGTTACGTTATCACAATCCGCTAAGTTTATAATCGTGATCGCCTTTCCACCAGCCCGTGGTTCCCAAGCAGCCTGAGACGGAGGAAGACAAGCAGATCAAGAATGCCTTCAAAGTCCTCGCTGGAGATGTGAGTAGCCCCCCTGTAACCCCCCCCCCTCCCGTGCCCCTGCGTGTCCCCCATGCCCTCCGTGCCCACCGTGCCGTGTCTCCACTCGCTGGCACGTACAAAGCGAGTGGAGAGGGGGTGCCACGGTGCCAATCGCCCAGTCCGTTAGTTCTACCGGACCCGGCATGAGAGCACCTGGTCCCCTGCCGCTCCTGCTGATCGACGGTGGACTGGCCACATGTGCGGTGTGGCCGAGGCAGTGTCGCAAAGCGGATCCGGAAATTATACTCGACGAACTGTGGGACTTGAACCATGAACTCACGAGGCTGGAGCAAAAGAAATAAAGAAAAATCCCCAAACAATAAAATTAAATTGGCTTCCACGCCGTATTTCACCGCCTCGTTCACCGCTGCAGAGTGGGGCCATCACTGGTGTGTCCCAGAAATTCAATTTTGTTCACCCGGGAAAGCCTGTTTCGGTGGGGGTGGAGCTCATGCGCTCACTCTTCTTGAGTGAACACTTCTTTTAATGAGGGATGGCATAATTGAGGGAGGCTCAACCAGGACATGCGGTGAACTGGCAGCGTTTCATTCATAGTCGTGCTATCCGACCTACGGCACTAATCAAAGCCCAGTAAGAGGTTGGCTTAGCTGTTCATCCCTCTGCAGTCAACAAATTAAGTGCCACTGTGTGGGATTTCAATGGGATTCTTTTTTCAGCACGGCCTGAAGGCTGTAAGTAGAAAACGAGCATCTCTTCTCTTGCCTCGTTTTAAATGTGAACGAACTGAAGGATCGGGTTCTACGATATAATTTTCAATTTTTTTCTTCAGGACATGGAGATCAGCTCCCTCGAGCTTCAGAGAATCCTGAATAAAATCGTCATGAAACGTACGGACGAAATGCCGGCCACTCGCGCACGCACGCACGCACGCTTACTCTCACATGAACGTTTAGTGACTGTCGTGGCTGTGTGTGTGTGTGTGTGGAGAATGGTGATGCATGATTATTGCGTGACAAAGTGTTAAAGGCTGTACGGGGGGGGGGGGATCTTTGTCTTTGCGTGTGTGGATGCTGAACAGACCCTTCACTCAAGACAAAGGGCTTCAGCATTGAAACTTGCCGTGGGATCGTGGCACTTCTGGACGTATCCCCACCTCCCTGCACCTCCCCCACTCTGTCCAGCGATCGTTTGCAAAAGTCAAACGTGTAGGATTTGATCATTGGGTTATGCACCGACGTAATGATCTGGACAATTTTTTTTGTTATATATATAAAATCAAACTTGGTCCTTACCTTGGATTTTACATACAGATGTACACCCGTGTTAATCCACTGCTGGATGAAGGACTCCCCACACGGTGCGGGTCATTGGGGCTATTTATTAATACTTCACCACACTGGCCGACATGTGTTGGTGAAGGTGGTTTACACACAAGTGATAATAATAAAAATAGTAATTTGTTTTTGGCAGACTGTGTGCGCCTTTACGCTGGGGCACCCCAGAGCGGTTTACACGCCACTAGCTGCTGACATTAACTTACTAAGTTGGGGTTACACGTTACACGATCTCATCTAAAACTTGATAAAGGGCACCCCCTGCTGGCAGCTCTCCACCTGCGTGTGACACACGATGTGACCCAGAACCTGGCCTACGAGCGGGCATTGGTTTGCCACCAGTAGAGGGGGGATATGACTGCCACGTGTAGCCCCAACTCAGTAAGTTAACAACATAATAATAGCAATAATACGTGAGGAGTGCGCGCGCAACGCAAGCGTTTGTCCCGCCGATGAACTTTAACCCAGCGCGCTGCAGAAAGACGGCAGTGGCAAGCTGGGCTACGAGGAGTTCAAGTACCTGTGGTTTAAGATCAAGAAGTGGGTGGTGAGTTCCGTCTGCTTGCTGCTGCTGCCGCACCTCCGCCACCAGTTCCCCCGTGCACTCGCCTGACCCAGCCAAAGTGATCCGATATGGTTGCGGAGCGTTGTAGGAAGTCGAATAAATAATAAAATGGGATGTTTTTAGTTTGTCGGTAAGGTTCACGCGGGTCGGCTTTCCAGACCGACGTTTACCAAGCGGGATTTGTTTAAGCAGGGAGAGTCTGCACTGGTTTTCGTCCGGCAGGGTCTTGTCAGCAGTCAGGCTCGTTACAATACGACTGGGTCACCGGATGTTATTGGTGACCGCACTTCCTCTGAAAGGTCGAGTCTCCTTCATTTAACGCAAAAATTCAACATTGTATTAAAAAAAAAACATTACGTGCTGTTGTGTGGACCATTGTGAGTAAACCGCTGATGTTAATAATGTCCTTATTTAGGCGCACTGGTTGTTTATGAATGTAGTTCAGTTTTGTAAACTCACTTCCAGCCTGCTCTCATCTTGCCTTGATATCGTTCCGATTCTGGGCCCCCTTTAAAAAAACTGTTGTGCCTTCGACGAACATCTTCGCTTGTTTAGGAATCTTTCTGCATGTGTGACTTTTGTTTTGCTCATTTGTCTTGAGCCCCACACTCTACACTCTCCTTCATAAAATCTTTAATCGCTAGAAAGCACGTGAATCCATGCACACGTGACCTTGAGGCATATTCCATCCGTTTTGTGGTGGAGCGGTGGTGCAGTGGTTCGATAATTGCGCTATAAACCCGGCGACCAGAGTAGGATACCCAGGCACCGGTCCTGGGTACGACCACCAGCACCAAAACCCACACCGACCGGCAGCAGGAGAGGCCTCGATAAATAAAGGGTTGCTATACACCGCTAAGCTCGTGAATTTGATAAGGATCGAGCGACGAACCGGTGCGTCCGTCGTTGCGCCTCCAAGTGACGTCTCAATGCGACGCGTCTCTTGTGCCCCGCCGCCCGGCAGGACATCTACAAGGAGTTCGACACCGACCGCTCGGGCACGATGGCCTCGTACGAGATGAGGTCTGCCGTCGAGGCTGCAGGTAAATCTCACTGTCGCGTCGGCTGCGGTTGTTTTTGAGGTGGCGGTTATAATGTAAAGGAGTCATCGCAGCTGGGAATGGGGGGGGGGGGAGGATTAACCTCTGACCGGAGATTTTCCGTGTCTCTGTGGTTCACCTGGAGTTACGGTAGCCGCAACTGTAGCGAGCGGTATACTGGATGCGGTGTGCCGGGTGTTAACAGAAATGTTTTCTGGTGTCGCCGACCGGGACGGTAAACGTGGCTGAAATGAAGCCCTGCTTCGCGGTTATTATATTTAGACTGGAGAAATCTGTTGAGCTATGAAGCTCTTTCACACATGTCCAGTATGACCGCTGAATGCCGTGACGATGATGATGACGATGCACGAGAGCTATTTTTTAATCAACTATTGTCAGCAGTCGTTGCTGGCAATAATTTCCGTGCTATTTTCTGTCGTTAGAAACTGTGGTAGCCCAAATTGTGAACAGATCTGTTTGCTGTGCCCCCTGGTGGGAAACTGGGGTTTGCAACTTCCAATGGGATCGCAGATATTTGGTCACGAGACAACCCGAGTTCGTGTGCTCTCTAGACCAATTATAGTTATTGAACATGCCTTATTAACAAACTCTGTTTTCGTTGGCTAGACAGCGCTCCACTCGGTCTACTCCACAGCTACAGCTGGTTGCCATAGTAGTCCATAGTAAATGCGTTGCTGGCAATGGGGCCCCACGGTGGCAACATGTTGTTTCCCTCGTCTGGTATGCAGAAGGTCGTGGGTTCGATCCCGATCCTGACGCCAGTATTTGGAGTTTGCATGTTCTCCCCGTGGTCGTGTGGATTTTTCTCTGAGTCCTCCATGTGTTTTAGAGTATTTGGCTGCTATACATTTCCACATCATAATCCACTTCCACTCACCACGAGTGTTAACCAGGGTGGCCTCGGGTCTGAACCGCGAACTTCTGCAACAAGCGTGGCTGTGTTACCCCCTCCTCTGTTGAATGTGTTCGCTGGTCACGCGATTACTTTGCCCGCCAGGTTTCAAGCTTACCACGATGTTGCACGAGCTCGTCGCCATGAGATACGCGGACGAGAATTTGGAGATCAACTTTGACGGCTACGTGGCCTGCCTCACGCGACTCGAGTCCATGTTCAGTAAGACTCCCGCTCTGCGCGAAGAATCTGAACGGGCGCACGCACTCACGCACGGACGTGTAGACAGAAGTTTTATTTTATTATTATTTAATCAAGGTTCAGTGCCCACTGAGACCGGGTGCAAAGTAGATCGTATAAATAGCAGAAATAAAACCGTTGAATACAGTGCAAAATACAATCTGTATTTTACATACAATTATGTGTACGGGCCTTTTTAGACAAGGGCCTCTGTTCCACCATGCAGGTCATGGGAGTTGTTTGACCAAACTTTCGCTGCAGGGTGGTGAAGGCGGGGAGCATAGACACTGGAGCATAGTGCAGTAGAACAATGGAATTTGCTGCACTGGTGCCTACTGACAACATGGGTTGGAATTTTATCCAGGCGTTTAAACTTTTTAATCTTGCTATTTTCTGCTCCGTGTCGCAAGCGATCTTTTGAATACACGAGGCTGTGCTTCTTGCCCCAAACGAAACTGACGTGGATTCATCCCATCTAATGCATTCGTCCACCAGCCAATGGGGGGCTTCCGGTCCAATAGTTTCCCCCGCAGCATTTCTGTACACAGCAATAATCCCCTGGGGGTTGGGTTCGACTTTTGTGGGTCTCGTCAGCAGGGGTCTGAGCTTGTGTTTTTTGTTTCGCTTGTTTTAAACAGGAATCTTCGCTGCCTTTGACAAGAAAGGGACGGGCATGATCAACCTGGGCCTGAATGAGGTACAACGATTCGGAGTGTTTTTGTTCATCGTGCCTGGAATTTGTTGAACATTTTGCATTTTTATCTCAAAAGAAAATGTAAATTGCAATGCTTTATACATGGCAATGAAGTTATTTCCGCGCACATGTGAGAGAGAGGTGGATGTCGGGACACTCGGTGGTTCATAATGGCCATGTCAGCCCCGGAATGATGTGGTGGGTCTGAAAATTTGAACCCGACTGGAATTAATTATTCATACATTTTTAAATATCTTTTTTTGACTCGCAGATAAACCCTTAGACTAAGAGAGTCCCACAGGCGCATACAGAAACCCACAGATACGCTCAGAGACACGCACAGAGACACATGTAGTGTCAGCGGAGCGGGAGACAAGGTTTTTAGGAGGCACCTTCTTTATTAACACCTTCACAGGTTCGCCCTCACGCTCTCCCTAGTCTAGCCTAGCCTAAACACAACCCTGACCCTGTAACACCGATGGCGCCGACCGAGACGGTCAACAACTATCCGGTCGAGCAGTATCTAGCGAAGATGACAGCGACGACGAGATGAGTTCACTCCCCAGAACCGGCAGCCATGAGCTCCCGCTCTCAGCTGCTTTCATGCTACCCAACGCGGCCTGGCTCCGCCCTGGCCGCGCCTCCCTTCTCGAACCCACGATCGGGTTCCAGGGGCTTCCAGATGGGGTCTCCCATGACCCTTGCCCCAGTTCCTCCGCCCTGCCAACACACCCGTGTATACGCTCACCGGCGTGTACTGCTCGTTCACCGCAGTTGCCACTGCTGGACAGCAGCCGGCGCTATACCACTACACATACATGGAGCGAAGCTCCTCTTCCCCCCTCCTCCGACGATCTAGTGGGAGTGGGGCGAATCATTCACGAGTTCCCCCAGTAACTTCGTCCCATTTCCAGCCTTGCGTATCGGAGCGCTGATCCAGCACCGTTGAGCCTCGTGTTTGAATTCGGATGCTAACGGGCATTGATTAAAGTGTAGAGTCGATGGCCTCAGCCCAGTCACAAATGAATGCGCGCAGAAAAACGCATCGTGGAAATGTTGGTTCCGAACTTAAATTTGGCTACATTTCCAGTTCTGAGAATGTAAATCTAATCGGCTTGACTGCCATGCGACGAACGTTACCCTCGGTGGCATAAGGAGCGGGAGGGGAAGTGCTACCCTCTACGGAGGTCACTTAAAACGGATTTATCTCAGAGGTAGTTCTGTGATATCCGCTTCCACCTGCCATTCTCTAACGTGAGTTGTTGCCCTGCTCTGGATTCTTCATCTACTGACACGACTGCCACCGATTGCACAATTTAGATGATACAATTGGTGACTACAAACATGATCAATAGCAGGCGAAGTTCTTGATGTAAAAACTTGAGAAGGATCAGGATTGACCCACACGTCTGAATCTTATGCATTAAACTATCCTTAACTATTTCTTTAATTTTTTACCAGGTAAGGCCCACTGAGCTACTGGATGTAGCTCTTTTTTTAGAAGCAAACTGGCCACAAATGATAGCTCAATTTAAGGAGCTAATGTGAAAATGTATAGCAGCCGAATACTCTAAAACACACGTTGATTCTAAATGTATAATGAAAAACCAGAGGACCCGGACAAAAATCCACACAATTATGGGGAGAACGTGCAAATTCCAAATATACAGGTGTCGGGCTCCGGATGGAACCCACGACCTCCTGTATACCAGGCTAGGGTGCTAACACCACCACCAAACATCTTGGGTTCCTGACATCACAGGTTTTGTCGTCTAAAAGTGTCCTCTTGTATTGCAGGCTTTGTCATTTTACGCCAGTGTGTAATCTATTACAAATCACTCATCTGCATTTATTTCCTGGCTTAAAGCATAACTAGATTCTTCTCGAGATTGCATTCCCCTCGACTGTATTCTGGGTCTGTCTTTCGACGATTCACAAATAGATGTTTCGGTTCGTACACGTAATGATGAGGCCAAACATGGGGCATAAGAGACCCTCCCAACCACCAGCATAGCCAAATAAAATTGTCACCCGTTTCGTTCCCTGTCAAGTCCAACAACGATTCTCACAACCAAATGGATCTAATTTGACGTTGCGCTTTGACGAAGGCCCATTGCCCGAAACGTCACCGATTTTATATTTTTTGAGGCCAGTGTTGTTAACACATCAATGACATAATTTTATCAACCTTTCGCTTACTTCCCTGAAAATATAACATTCATCTAAGGGAAAATAGTAACCCCAAATGTCTTTCCTTCGTCCCTCCCGTGACCTTCTGACCCCTCTCTTCGCACAGTGGCTGCAGCTCACCTTGTACTCGTGAACGTCGCGCGCGAGTGGACGGGGGCGGTCGGCCAGAGCGGCGCTCTCCGTAGCCGCGGCTTCGTCCAACGAGCAAACGACGTCGGGAGCCCAACCACGACTGGCACGCGGGGAGGGGGGGATTGGGTGGGGGGGCTTTGCCCACACGCATGTGCGCGCGCGTGGCATGGGTAGCTACGATGATGATGCTGACGACGACGCCGCCGATGATGATGTTGATGACGTTCAGCTGCTTCTTTATATGCAATCTTAATGGCAGCTTTTGTTGGCTTTTGGTGTCGTGGTCATTATAATAAGAGTGGAAGACTGGGAATTGGTAAAAGTTGTGGGGTGGGGGGGGGGTGCATGGTGGGGGCGGTGGGGGTTGTAGTGGGGGGGAACAAGAAGGGGGGGGGACTGCAAAGAAACGTTAGTCGATCGCTGGAAGACGAGACCGATGGTACGAACATGAAAGGACCCACGAGTGAACGTTCAAGACCTCCCGCAGCTCCGTGAGGCTGGTGCCTCTGTTGGCTTTACTACCCCCAACGAATGCATCTGCTGTGACAATGCTTGCTTTTATCTGTGCACGATTTATCTGGAGGGGGGGGGGGGGGTGGGAAGAGACGTTTTGGTGGTCCAATCTGGCCCCATGGTTGTTAGCAAAACGACCCGGACAGCCAATTTTCTTCTTGCAGTGCAATTTGTTTTGCCGTTTGAACAATCATGTGCCTTGCTGCCACCTTTGTGTTGGATGGTCACCCATCCTTGCACTAAAACCGTTCAAATGTTAACAGCATGCAGCACTACTTGGGTTGGGCAGTGCACCAAAATCCGTTGTTGTACTGTACTTCAATGCTCTCCGCCTTCGCCAACCCGCACCGACCACCGTGGCAAAGTACAGCCATAACCTCCCGCCCTCCACGACCCGCACTGTGTGGGGCTGCCCTCATCCAGCAGTGGATTGCACGTGCTTTCTTGCATGGGCGTGACTCTCCACAGGGACTGTATCATTTTGCCCTGGGTGGGGGTGAGAGGAGCTCAAAGCTGGATGACCTGCAACTGAAATTCTCTCCCCTCCAGTTGGTCCAACCCAAGGTCTGTTACTCAGGACAGAGGCCTTGGGAATTTTCAGTAGTTAAGTTCCGTCTGGTGCTACGTTGCAAAAGTGAATCGACGGGGTAGGTCGATGGTGTCACTTAGGAGATTCATATTTTTTGTGGGTGTTTTTTTGTTCATGTTAAGGGAATTTTCTATTTTGTTTGGCACCTTGTCAGTATTGTAGGAAATCAAGTTGCCAAACTTTCACTCAGTGGGGGGAAAAATAACTGGAGAACTTTCATAATCCATGAATCGGCACTTTCTAATCACTTTCATAAACCATTCTCATTCAGGGCTTAATCTCTCACTCCAGTGTATGTAACACTGCTCAGCTGGCTTGGAGTATGTATTAGCCGCATAAGGCACTAACCACTAGAATACAAGGCATGCCTGATCCTATATTATTTTACCCTATATCAATCCCTATAATCCTATGAATAGGTTTGGTTTGAGGACAAAATAAGTCAAGATGGATGTGGCAAGCCAAAATTATTCCCGGTAGTGTTCCTTTCCGGACCATTCCGGCAGAGAACGAGCACTGATGGTGCTTTACAGTGGGCATTTCCTCTTGACGGGCATCACGAATCAACGCAGAGGACTTGTGGCTGGTTTATCTATCCAGCATGGTGCAAACCAGTGAGCAGAACCAAAGACTCGGACCGGATCTCCATTCCTCATGGGAATGGAGTTGGGGTTACCAGGTTCAGCTTCTTGACAAGGCATTGTTCAGGACCGTGTTACCCACTCTGTTCTTCCTCCTGTTTGGGTTGAAATTAAATAAACGACAGATCCAACTACTGAGTGGACATCCGTGTTGTTGACAAGAAGACGACACGGGGGGAAAACGTGTGGCTTGAATCTTTGCTTGGTTTAATTCGTGAGTCACAGAGGTGCTCCCACTTAACAGTTGAAAATAGGAGTTAATGTAACAGAAATAATAACAGATAACCCAAAAGGAATTGTATAAAACACCATTTAACATTTGAAAACAACAGGTCAATATCTAGGTGGACTACAAAAGCCAGCAACCAGGGTTTGGCTCACGCTGGACTAATGAACTCCCATGACCGTCGAGGTGCGAGGAGGCCTTCGCCCAAAGATGGATTAACAAAGGGGCTATAAAATACTCCAGTATTTCATGACAAAAGTTACAATCATATACTTTGCGAATGCTCAGTATGTAAAATACTACTGCTATGTATGAGATTATTACGTATAAAGTTAAACTCCTTTTGTGATTAAGGCACAGACAAGTCCCAATAGCTTCAGCACCAACCAGACCGACCGGATCAGTGGCGAAAGAAATGGACGAGAAATATAAAACGTTTCAATTTTAAGACCCCGCACGCACACATGCAAATCTCGACACCGCACCAATCTCAGCGCCGTACAATTTGACTCAATCAAAAGTCCCCGCATTGTAAACTGGACAGTGGTGTGGCAGGTAATTGAAAGAAAATCTATCAGAAAAAAAAAGTTACAATTAGTGAAAGCAAGTAAAATGAGTGTATTGTTTTTTTTCCCTATTGTTGAAAATGTTAGAGCAACCTCGAGCACAGAGCAGAATATCTCTCCCACTGTGCATCAGCCTGAGCTTGCAAGTTTTTCATTAAAACAGCAAGGGCAGGGGGTTTCACAAAATTCCAACGGTTTCCAGGATCCACGCTGGTCCGCAGTTCCAAGGCCACCGATATGCCTCCCGGCTCGAATATGAATTACGGAGGTTTCGAGCGGCACCCACCTGATAATTACGAAAAAAAGGGCGGTGGGCCGTGAGGGCCAGCGTTTCCAAAAAACCCTGGAGCAAAGGACACATTTTAGTGCGGAAGATTTTGGCGTGAACTCACGAGGGGGCCGAGCATCGTCTGTAACGCCAGTGCAGGCAAACATCCGGAAGACGAATGTTAGGACTCCTCACATTGGCAAAGAAATCAGGCTTGGAGGCAGGCAGGCCGGCCTGGCAAACGTTATCCTGGGGAGTGATTGAGAAGTCATTTACTTGGCACAAAGGACAAAGATGCCCCCCCCCCACCCCCTTAGACTTAGCAGATTGTTGGGGCAAGTGCTGTTAGCGAGCACTTCTATGCACAAGGGGTTGGTGGCCAACACCACGCTCAAGGCTGATGTTTACACATCGTGCAAGGTATAGTTTTTTAGGCTGAGTCTACTTAGGGGAGGCTCAGGACTGGTAAGATAATTGTCAGATGGTGGGCGTGAGCGGGAATGGAACCTGGGTCGCCGGGTTCATAGTGCAATGCGCTATCCACTGCACCACCACTCCTCACTAGGAGCATCACACACAGACACCTAGAGGACTGCATAACCAGCTGACGTCTTATAATTATCTAAATCTATAGAATAATCTAGAAGAGATAACTTTTTTTATTGCTAAAAATCAGGTTTTTCCCCAAGGAAACTCCAATTGCACTTTTTTTTACAGGTCCCTATTGTCCCGTTTCATTACAACTTTGGTTGAAGTAAATTTTATTTTAAATTTACTTGAACAATAATCTCAACTCGCAACCTACCACTGCAAAAGTGTTTCAACGACTCAAGGAGGGGCTTCCAGGTGGAACCACAGATGGAGTAGGGAAGGCAGCAGCAGACACGCGGTGAGCCGGCACCAACAATTGCCCAAGCTCTGCGATCCTTTAACTTTTAAAGATGTTCTTGGCCGATTAATTGGTCTTGATATATGGGAGGAAAACGGAGACCCTGAGAAAATCCAGGTGTGCGAGGGTGCAACACTATCCCAACTAAAATCAGACTGCAACTCGATCCGATTTTCAGACAATCGCATCGTCCAGGGAAAGAACTCCAACTCCACGTTCTCACGTGAAGCTGGGCTGCACAGTGGCTTCACACAAGCACACTACCGCCATTCGGCACACATAAGTGGTGACATCACCACGGCGCTTGTGCCAGGCCATCTGCGCATTAAGGCCACATGAAGTTTCGAATGCCCGCTGGCAGGAAGTCGCGGGACAGACTCAGGTGCCATGGGTTGCCCGACTGAGATGACTAGCTGATGCACCACCTTGTGCCCCTTACTGTGCCAACTTGCTGTGCTTTAGCCACCCGGCGCTCCGCTCGATGTTGTGAGCGTCGCTCCTCTGACCTTTGTTGTTGTTGGAGGGCGACTGCCTCCAACTGCCCAGTAGCGTCATTCACGAGCCTCCTTCACAGAGGACGATTTTGATACCACTAGTACCAGTCATCAGCAAGCCCACTCAGCTCCACATCCTCCTGTACCACATCACTCCATCTCTTCTCTACCCCGTGCCGCGCCTGTTTAGCCCCCTCTATCCGGCTAAACAAAAGCTGTTTAGGCATGTGGTGGCCGGGTACGCGGGTGACATGACCCAGCCAACGCAGCCTTGCCTGCCGAAGGAGCTCACGCACACGCACTAAGTGTTGCCACCACCGCCACGAACAACGACATCCTCGTCCCATCTCATCCGGTTTTTGAACGGCCTGGTAGCACCCACTATCGTTTGCCGGCGGGTGCATCTCCTCCAGATGGTGTCGGACAGAAGCTTCCGGAATGGCCCTTTAACCACCACTTCCTGATGGCGGAAGGGCCTCCCCCTCTCTAGTGGGTACATTAGCCTACTCTTCCACACTAGGCAGACGTCTTGGAAAGGGTGGAACACGTGACCCGCCGAAATCGACTGACCGGCAGGTATTGCTGTAACTCTAGCGAGTGCTGCCAATGGGGTTAGTGCTTGCTTGGCATGGCTTTCTGGTCGGGCTTGTAATCCAACTTGGGGTAGCGGCTGCCTCTGCACAACGCCAGTGCACTGTAAGGAGGGCCGGGGTCAATCGTGCGAGGTTCTGTGAAGTCAGCCAGACTCGAAGGGAAGGGACCACACCCACCCCTACCTGGGGGGCGCGGGGGCAGGGCGAGTGCCGACTTTAGTGGTTGAGCTCCATGCAAGGTGGGGCGTTCAGAGTTTGGGAGGGACACGTGCGAGCTGATGTGTAGTTCTGTACGACGGGAGGCAGAGTTAAGCCCTCTGCTAGAGTGGGAAACAATCAGAAGTGGTGCGACACTCCAGTAGACTGCACTCTGCGGCCTGGTCAACAAACCACGAAATTACCCTCGGTGCTGCCAAGGCCAGACAAAAATCCATCATTACCTAATTATTAAACCCTGCATTCCATAACAGCTATTTATCCAGGGAATTCTCACCGAGTCGGACAATTTTATTCCGGAGGGTTCTGCATTGGGTACTCCCCACCACATTCCCAAGACGTCAGTACAGTGTTGGAAGAGTAGACCAAATGCCCTCTTGGAGATGGGCTGTCCACAGCTCTCTCTAGCAGAGGCTCCCCCGCCCGCAGTGGTACGAGCAAGCAATTGAAGAGGGTGCACCTTACATCTTTTTTTTTAAAACATCTTCACCTGCAATCTTGATTTGATTTCGCGACTGCAGGAATCCACACTCTTTGGTTCTTTCGGTAAAGTCACGTAGAAAAATAAAAAAATAAAAATCCACCTGAGGACGATCGCTTGTGTGGCGATCGAAACGTCGTTATCTATTATTATTTTTCTACTTGCCTTTACCGAAAGAACCAAAGAGTATCTTCACCTGCAACCTTTACGACGCCCTCACCAGCGAGCGTCACGTTGCTCACCGCCCCAGGGCCGGTGCCGCTCCCCGCTCAGCCCGGATCAGAGTGCCGTCTCGCCCCGTCCTCCTCCTCCACACGGCGCAGCACGGGCGGGGGGCGGGCCGTTTGTTTAGTAGTCGCTGATGGCACGCACCAGCCCCTTGTGCGAAGGTGGCAGTGGCGGCGCGGTTTTGGCTGCCGCGGCTGCTTTGGCTGCTTTGGCTGTCGTATCTGCCGTGTGGCTCTCCTCACGGGGCTTGCTCGGCGGAGGGATCTTGACGCGGGACGGCTCGACGCCCCAGATTTCGCGCGCGTACTCCGCGATCGTGCGGTCGCTCGAGAACTTGCCGGACGCGGCGATGTTGCGGATGACCTTGATCGTCCACTCGCGGGGGTTCTATGCGGTGGGTGGGGTCAGGAGGGGAGGGGGAGGGGTAAGTGGGCAGCGATGGCATTGTCATCGTCATCACGGAGTGTTTATCCCGCGCGCCTTTCCCCCATGATGTATATCTCCGGGTAGTCTAACCAAGGGGGACCCCCCTGGTGGCAGCTGTCACTGTGCGCCACAAAGCGACCGCAGCACCGGCCTGCGATGGGGAAACAGTCTGCCACGTGGGGGACAATGTTGTGACGTGGCTTCTCGAAATTAAGTAACTTTGCTAAATATTCATCAAATATGTTGAAAATTTGGACCGTGACACCAGCACACATGGGCCACTCTCTTTCAAATAAAGATACGGGATCTTTGTCCGCTGCTAAGTAGATGGCGGGTATTGCAGTATTAACCAGGGCGGCCGCTCTGCTCGAACTGTGAACCTCCGCAACGCACACTCTCGCTCAACGCCCGTCAGCATGACGGTCTGACCCGTTATCATGACGAGCCAGTCTATCCACTGCTGGATAAAAAAAAACCGATAGCAATACATTAACAAAACCAACGTGAAGTCGAGTTGGTGAAGTCCGCCGTAAACTGCTCACCTTGTAGAGCTCGCTGACTTTCTCCTGGCACTTGACGTAATCCTCAAAGTCGGCAAAAACTTTAAACCTGCGAACGTCATTCAAACGTCGACACGTAAAACATCGGAGCAGGCAGGTACGGCGGAACACATCGTGGCTGCAGGCGACATTGGATTACTGCACGGTAGCGAGGAGTGGAAGGGTGGGGGGGGGCATGGCCCAGATAAAACCAAAAGACGGAGATGCAACAAACCGCTTTGCGGAAAGGGGGTGAACACGTACAACGCGTCAGTTTATATTGCACCTCCGAGTGATTGGTTCACTGGGCTGACGTGTTGTTGTCTGCGGTCACGTCACTCGGGGGGGGGGGGGGGGGGGGACCCGAGTCACCGACCCTTGACGAGTGAGGAGCAGCCAATAATATATATTTTATAACAATATTTGAATTTGTTAATCCACAATCCGGATGAATCGAGGGTTGGTTGCAACTTTTGCAAGGTTGTTCTTTAAATGCTCGATAGTTATAACGATTCGTGTCTTTGATAAAGAGCCACACTCCTTTACAACAGGACCCTCTCTCATACACAATAAGCGACTCACATCACCACATCTCAACACATCATAAAGTGTCACCCCTGGTGCCACGTCCCTGTGCGGCAAAATGTGACTGCACCTGGCGTGAAAGCTATGAATGCTGCCGTGTACAATCCAAATTACAGTAAACTGCGGCGTCATTTTCAAATGTGGAAAATTTGAATCCCGTGACGCTGGCACACGACGGCCGACTCGTTTCGAAAGCCGTCCGGGGATCTTTAGCATCCACTGCGATCGAAACGGACGGCGCGCAGTATTTTACGATCAATACCACACCTCACTTTTAATTTTTTATTTTAACAGGTAAGGCCGACTGAGCTATATAGCTCTTTTTCAGAAATTATAGCTTAACGAAGTGGCGGCTTCTAATGTGGAAATGTATCGCAGCCAAATACTCTAAACGCATGAATCAAAATGTGGCGGGAAAAACTGGAGGACTTGGATAAAAGCGACAACAAAGAGAAGACACCGCAAACCTTAATATACAGGCGGCAGGGACGGGATCGAACTCACGACCTCCTGCATACCAGGTGAGGGAGTTAACATCTCGCCACCACGGCATGGGGGCGAGGGGCGGCAGAATAGCAGAACCGCTGGTCAGTTTTTTTTCCAACGCATTTTCACGACTCATTGATATTGGCGCACTATCGATTCAACTTAAGAGAACATGCAAACTCCAGGATCGAACCCATGACTTCCCGCATACATACCAGGCGCGGTAATTAACATTTCGCCATCGTGGCGCCCTTATTAGCCAGAGCGGCCGGCCCGGTTCGAACTACGGACCGTCTGCCGCATTCGACGGGCGCGCTCCCGGCGGGCGGCGCCGTCGCGAGTACCTGTCGTGGTGCATGAGCATGTTGACGATGTCCTCGAAGACGTGGGGATGCTTGGGGGAGAAGAAGCCGCTGCTGATCTGGTCGATCGCCTGCTGCAGCTCGGGCAGGCGCTCGTAGTAGTCGCGCGCGTTGTACCTGCGGCACCGGCAACGTGTGGAGACGGACGACCACGACATCACGACAACGCCCACGCCTCAACCGAGAACTCCCCGTTCCCTCCCCCCCCACCAAGGTGTTGCCTCTCCCCCACCTGTCCCCACCCCCCCCCCTCCTGTTTCGGTCAACTCCCCGATGTGCGCTCTCTGCTGCGGACGTACGTATCTATGTATGTAGAGCTTCTTTCACACCGTACGTAGCCGACCGTGCTAATCGGAGGTGCGGGGGAAGGACAATAAACTAAATTACACAATTCTAGATTTGAAGCTTTCGTGACTGCAATGATCCATACTCTTTGGTTTTTTCGGTCAAGTCACATAGGTCAAAACAGAAAACAAATAAATTAAATCACGACGTTTCGGAGGCAACACAAGCTTCCGTCTTTAGGTGGAACCGTCACAGAAAAATTACTGTATCAAGTGAAGAGAGTGCTAAGAGACAAGAGATTATATCCTGTTTAAGGGGGGGGGGGGGGGAGGAGCCAGGATGGGCCGTGGTGGGGGGGTAATAAGCTGGTGACATCATTATTTTTTTATTTAAGCTTGATTAGCCCTTTTTTAACCAAGTTAAACTTTAGCAGCCTTATAGTTTACTGCAGTATACTGCAAGGCAACCAGTTTGTTAGCTTAATTACTGCCTCCGTTTTTTACTTTGTTCATGTGTTTATCTTTTGTCAACCACATGCCATCGCCTGCACGCGGCACCCCCTCCGCTCATCCGTCCTCCTAATCCCCTGCAGCATAACAAAAGGCGGCTTAACTTAGCTCCCGTATTAACTCACTGGCATCTTAAATAAATAAAAATGATGTCACCAGCTTATCACCCCCCCCCCCCCATGGCTCATCCTGGCTCCTCCCCCCCTTAACCTGTATATAATCTCATGTCTCTTAGCGCTCTCTTCACTTGATACAGTAATTTTTCTGTGACGGTTCTACCTGAAGACGGAAGCTTGTGTTGCCTCCGAAACGTCGTGATTTAATTTATTTGTTTTCTTTTTTAACCTACGTGACTTTACCGAAAAAAAAAAAGAGTATAAATTACACAAATCACGATGCACTGATGTGGAGCAGAGTGAGCCTTGCTAAAGAAGTGCTTCTGGCCTGACTGGCTCTCACTGGCGAGAACACTCCACATAAAAACAACGCAAAAAGCAACACCGTGCACGTCCACCAACTCATCATGCGTTCTGCCACCCTCGGTGGACAACTCGCTGGATGCGGTCACATTTCATCATAATCAGCCAAGTTCAATCCGCTGATGGACGAGATCATCCACCGAGCGAGCGCCTGCACGGACCACATCAAGGCGTGTTCCCAAGCCCATTGCGTTGTCTTGTCGGACGACGACGACCTCTCCCTCACCCCTTCTTGTCCATCGCCTCCACCTCGTCAACGCGCATGCCGAAGATGAAGAGGTTCTCCTCCCCGGCCTCCTCCGCCATCTCCACGTTGGCGCCGTCCATGGTGCCGATGGTGAGCGCTCCGTTCAGCATGAACTTCATGTTGCCCGTGCCAGACGCCTCCGTGCCGGCCGTGGAGATCTGCTCCGAGAGGTCCGACGCCGGGATCACTGCGGGCGGCGGAGGAACGAGCGAGCGAGCGCCGCGGTTACGATCGAAACCGAGGAGGACGAGGAATCGCGAGCACGAGTGGTGGCCTCTAGATACGCGCCGTGGCTAACGCTTGACGTAGCCGACACGGTGGCATGTAGCGCAGTATCTGACAAGGCACGATTATTGGAACTCGCTGCTCTACGGGACGTCTATCAAAAAAACATTCCCTTGCTGATGTCGTCAAAGAGTGTAAACAATCACGAGAATTTCGGGCATCCGCGTGGCAGCTTTTGGCTAGCCATAAAACAAAGACGGTTACTGCATCGCGCGCTTTCAGATGCACTTCTGCAGCCGTCTGGAATGCTCTTCCTTCTGATTTCAGGAAACAATTGGAGCTATCCAGTTTTAAATTTATATTGAAAACTCATTTCTTTACAACTGCTGTTTGTGTTTAGTTTGTTGCCCTTTGCCTGTACCTCCGATTAGCACGGTTGGTTACGTACGGTAACGAAAGACATTAAACATACGTACTCGTTACTTTTGCAGTAAAAGTCAAAGGCTGAGAATGCCATTCTGATCTGTTCACACTTACAGGATGCCCCTCCTCTGTGTGTCTATGCCTTTACTACGACTCTAGTGCATTGCCTGGAATGCGTGTTGAGTCATCGGAGAATATTGACGGATCATCAGTAAACTCAGTGCCTTCAATTTAACAGGCGTGACCTGGAAAGAAAAACTTAACTTCTGAGTGGCACCCTAATGCGCACGCACTTACTATTTTGAGCAGCAGAATGAATAAACCCAGGCCACCGAGGATTAGGATTTAAAACAACGCAAGAAAAGTCGTGCATACACATGGATTATTGCATAGCACTTTCCACCGTGCGTTTGTCCTCGGAAGAATGTAACCATCAGCATGGAAGCCGATGAGAGGCTTGCCAGGGATGATGTCAGCGCACAATTAATTTGCATATTTGCTAATATATATTTTTCTCTGGTTTGCATCTCCAATGTTTTCGGCAACGCTTTGATCAATACGGCCAGTTTTCAACAGGGCACAAAACCACTTAAAAAGTTTTATCCAAGTTGGATTATTTTTACGGGAGGTACAGTGCCTCCCCCGGTAGAAAATGAAGCCCAAATCCAGCAAAACAGTTTCACTGAGGATCATGCGGCAGTTTGTAAACAAAGATTCACCCCCACCCCCCGTCCGTAGGATGGGCTGGCACCCAGCTTGTTGCGACACGACCTAGGAGATTTTTTTTGAAGAAGAGGGAGACGGCCGACTCAGGGAGTATAGCAAACGATGAGTGGCGAGACAGGCGGGCGGGATGAGAGGGTGGACGGTTTGTCACATCCCACCACGGAGAAGCCTCACCCTTCTCGGCGAGAGACACCTTGTAGTTCTCCAGGAAGATGACCTTGAGCCTGTCGCCCACAATGGGGTCGTTGTTCACCACTTCGCCGATGGACGTCACCAGCTTGATGATCATCTTGGCCATGTGGTAGCCAGGGGCTGCCTGGACAGGACAGGGCAATTGGAAATGGCAGAGACAAGAGGCGTTTCACCAACAAAATCTGAAAATATAACACGACGCTTTGGACTCTCTGCCTCTATGGGTTTTCCGGACCGCAAATATATGGAATGGGTACATCAAAAACAATTTTAAAATAATTTTTAAGCATGCATTGCGTGACACTTTCCAAGATGCACTTTTTCCCGGGATTATTAGTGGCACGGAATCCATTGGATAGCTGTCGGGGCAAAGCGCGTTTGAATATTTGGGAAAGTATACTCCAAATGAGAGACATCTTGCGGTCGTTATGAACTACTCTTCTCCTGAGCCGTTACCTTTCCCCCAATCAGGATGGTGCGGGCCACAAATCGCTTCGTTGGGTTTCTCTTGATGCCTGTTAGGGGAGGAGCCAAAAAAATATAAAAACACATTTCAGAACAATGGGTGGGTAGTTGAGCAGGTGGACAAGGTGGACAGGTGAGTAGGTGGGCAGGTGGACAGGTGAGTAGGTGGGCAGGTGGACAGGTGAGTAGGTGGGCAAGTGAGTAGGTGGGCAGGTGGACAGGTGAACAGGTGAGCAGGTGAGCAGGTGAGTAGGTGGGCAGGTGGGCAGGTGAGTAGGTGGGCAGGTGAACAGGTGTGGGTGGCTTTGCAGGCTGGTTGATGATGTCTCATGGCCGTAGAGCGTGACGACGCGCGAACGAACGGGTTGCGTGCGGTTGAGGCGTCGGTGTCTCACGGTTGTAGAGCGTGATGATGTGCAGGCAGTTGAGCAGCTGGCGCTTGTACTCGTGGATTCGCTTGACGTGGACGTCAAACATCGAGTCGGGGTTCACTGCCACGCCGTACTGCTTCTCGAGCAACGCGGAGAACTTCAGCTTGTTCTCCTGCGCCGTCGCCACCACGGGGACAAAGATTTGCAACAATCCGGACATGAAGAGCAATAGAACTGTAGACATTCGATTGAAGTCCGGGGGGAAGGGGGGACTCGGTAGGCTGCTGTGAAGCTCTTTAAATGACACAATGTTGTAGATTTTTCGATTTAAAGTTTTCGTGACTGCAGGGATTCATCTTCTTGTTTCTTTCGGCAAAGTCACGTAGAAGGGAAGTAATAAAATAATAAAAATAAAACATAATAAACTAAAAAAAAATGTTTTCGATGGCAACAAAGGCTGGGGTTGACATCGGCGGAAAATTACAGAGGAAGTTCCGTGGGGCAGATGCGTGAGACGAGCGCGTGTAATCTCGAACAAAACAATGGAACAAAATTGTCGTCGTTTAAAATAAAAAATGTTGCAATCGTTAAAAAAAATATATGATCAGGATGAATTCGCAGTTGTCAGATCACAGGTGCAAGTCACAATTGCAAATAATGCTGTAAATACCAATTTATTTTGTTTTATCCCCCCCCCCCCCCACCCCCAGAAGTATAAAATAAACCACAATTAGTCAACGGCATTTATTGTGTGGTGGGGTAAAGTGTGGGTACCGCCACGTATTCCAAGACCTCCAGCTGGCGTGGAACAAATTGGCCAAAACCCCACTCATCGAGATGGGGGGGGGGGGGCTCTCCAGAGCTCCCGCTTGTGGCTTCCCTTCCACCAGCGGGTGGCACGAGCAAGCAATTGCAGGGATGCACCTGCATCTTTCTTTATATGCCGTGCGTCCATCAACCAATGGGGGCTCGTAGACCAATGTATTCCAGGAGCATTTCTTCCCACGTAAGCACGTACGTTGAACTTCTTTCACAACCGTACATAGCCAACCGTGCTCATCGGGGATGCCGAACAACCTCCCCCAGGAGTTCGGGGTTTAACTTTCGCAATTCGCAGGGCTGCACCTGTACCTCTGCCCTCGTTATTTATCATCGTCTGCCTCCGCACCTGCTTCACTTTGGCCACGTCCCGGATGAAGGCATCGTCGTCCACCAGGTCGCCGAGCTTCGCCAGCTGCGACAGCTCGTTGACGTACTCGTCACCGATGCGCTGCGCGGAACAACGGGCGACACCAGGCGTCAACTCAACCCTCCCCCCACCTCACCCGGCACGCACGCCTGTCACGCAGAGCTGCTGCTCACGCTACCGTAGGTGGCAGCAGCAGCAGGAAGAGCAGTCACCGTAGCAGCAATAGCCTAACAAAAGCAGTAGCCATAATAGCAGCAGTAGCCAGAGCAGCAGCAGCAGCAACACGAGCAGCAGCAGCAGCAGCAAGAGTAGTAGCTGTAGTAGATAAAGAAACACAAGCAGCAGACATAGTAACAGCAGTAGCCATAGCGGCAGCAACACGAGCAGCAACAGCAGCAAGAGTAGTGGCTGTAGTAGATAAAGAAACACAAGCAGCAGACATAGTAACAGCAGTAGCCATAGCAGCAGCAACACGAGCAGCAGCAGCAGGAGCAGTGGCCTGAGCATCAGCAGCAGCAAGAGCAGTAGGCACAGCAGCAAAAGCAACAAAGCCGTAACAGCAAGAGCAGAATGATTGGCAGCAGCAAGAGTTGTAACAGCAACGACAACAGAAGCAGTTGCGGCAACAGTAGCAGCAACGGTAGCCGCAGGAGTAAAAGCAGCAGCACCAACAGCTGTTGCTGCCCTACCTCCAAACCCTACTTTAACCCTATCCCTTTAACCCCAAGCCCCCTTATATCCCATAACCCTAATCCTACCCCGACCCCATGCCAGGCTTGCCGCCTGAGCCCCTTCTGGCTGCTGGTGTGCGTCTCCCGTTGCCGTGGTGCCCGTCACCTCGGCGATGACGTCGGCGAGCCCCGGGTTGCAGAGCAGGAGCCAGCGGCGCGGGGTGATGCCGTTCGTCTTGTTTTGGAATTTCTTCGGATCAATCTCCCAGAAGTCACGAAAGCTGCGAGAGGGACAGGGGGGAGCAGAGAGAAAGTGAGCGAGCGAGTGAGAAAGGCAGACTCGGTTGTGTCTGGTGGCGGGGGGGGGAAGATGAGGGGGTTGCAGCCACGAGAACGAACATCGTCACCGGGGCGATCGTTACCAAGTGGCCTTGATGATGTCGGAGTGGATGCGCGCGACGCCGTTGACGGCGTGCGAGCCCACGATGCACAGGTGCGCCATGTTCACGCGCTTGGTGCCTTCTTCCTCGATCAGGGACATGCGGCGCATGCGGTCCAAGTCCCCCGGAAACAGTGCCTCGATTTTCTATTCCGACACCAATGACAAAGACAAAGATCGCCACGCGTAGCCTTAACAGACTGTTGGGTCAAGTGTTGTTAGAGAGAACCTATGAAGGCCAGCACGGCACACGAGGGGGAAGGTGGCCAGCACCACGCCCGGCCGCCTTTGTTTCCCTTGTGATAATGTTTACACACTGCACCAGGTACTAATTTTGAGGATGAGTCAACCTAGGGGAGGCCGAGGACTGGTTCAGATATAATCGTCACTGGTGATGGCCGTCAACAGAAATCGAACTCATGTCGCCAGGTTCCACCACCATAGCAACCCTCCCCCCCCCCGCCAAACACCACCCTGGCCAGCCTAACGGGAAAGAAAAAAATCAAATGGGGATTTTTTTTGTGTGAAAATGGAGACCCGTCCGTCACCATTGGCCTCAATTCAAATGTGTTTCACTACCCCTCAAAATAGCGCGTAGAAAAACTCCCCAACCAACGAAACCATCGGCCGGTATGTCTCTCACACCCCCGCGAACTGCCATCGCGCATCGGTGAGAGAGGGCACGAGAGCGAGGGAGAGAGCGAACAGAACGGTCGCGACTCACGGTGAGGTGGCGCATGTTGATCTCGTAGACGATCTCCAGGTGGCGTGGCAGCAGATTGCCCAGCAGATGCACGGGCCATCGCTCCAGAGCCTCGGGCAGCACCGTGTGGTTCGTGTAGGCGCACGTGCGCACCACGATGTCCCACGCCTGCCGGGCCGCACCGGTGCAGGGGGTCGGAGAGCGAGTCAGGGGGGGGGGCGGTGTGGGAGGATGGGGGGGTTGCCAAACAATCACGATTATGTTTAACGCGATCGTGTTCACAAGTTACCTCTTAGTTACAATAATAAACAGCGATTTTTATAGGTAGGCTCTCACGACCAATGTCATTATTCATTACTGGTTTCTTGTGCGTTACATCGTGTAGGTGTCATATAGTAGAGCCTAAAAAGCTTACTGTGCCATTCCTGCTGAAATAAATTAATTATATCTATAATTTTTTTTTTACTATAACCCCCACCACCCGAAAAGAGGCAATCCAATAAAGTTGTCACATCGTTGGCAAAAATGTCAATTTATTGTTGAAAAGCAATAAAAATGGTGGGTTTTTTTGTTGTTAAAAACTGGCATTTAATCTAGACGACATATCCCATAAGAAACTAATTAGGGATCCCAATAAACAGCGGGTTCACATGCATGCACCAGTGGCCCAGGCGTGCCGGGCAATGGTGCAGCAAGCATGAGATTGCATTTAAATATTGTCCAATCAGCTTTACAAGATGCCTTGAGAATTAAAAAATCTCCGTGTCGACACTTTCGTAAAGCAAGCGTTGTGAACATCTCTAGTTCTGCTCGGAGATGTACACGGGGTTTCTGTCACCCGCCGTTGTCAATTCAAGGTGTTGGTCATCACATTCCAGTGAATTCACGATGAAGGGATCACCAACTTCGTCTAGCTCGTGGCAGCCATACATCCTTCAAGTCAACACAAATGAGCGGCACGGCCAGAATAGCATAACGGCTTGCACACTACCACAACTACCACCTCCCTCCATCACGGCCACTGCCACCACCAACACCTCCAAGAGACGGGCCATGCCCCCAGTTGTCCACTGCCTCGCACCACAAGGCAGGCCCCGCTCACTCGGTGTCCACCATCACGCACGGAGGGAGAGATGTTCTCACCCGGTCCCATTCCAGCTTCTCCAAATCCACCAGGATCCTCATGAGCTCGGGGATGGCCAGCGCCGGGTGAGTGTCGTTCAGCTGGATCGCCACCTGCTCGCCAGGGGCAGTGATAGCAGCAGCAGCGGCAGCAGCAGCAACAGCAGCAGCAGCAGCAGCGGGAGCAGCAGCAGTAGCAGCAGCAGCAGCAGCAGCAGCAGCAGCAGCAGGAGCAGCAGCAGCAGCAGTAGCAGCAGCAGCAGCAGGAGCAGCAGCAGCAGCAGCAGCAGCAGCGGCAGCAGCAGCAGCGGCAGCAGCGGCAGCAGCGGCAGCAGCGGCAGCGGCAGCAGCAGCGGCAGCAGCAGCAGCAGCGGCAGCAGCAGCAGCAGCAGCGGCAGCAGCAGCAGCAGGAGCAGCAGCAGCAGCAGCAGTAGCGGACACACGCGCGCCGTCAAGCCTGGTGACCCGGGGCAGCCTGCACCGTCACCGCACGAGGGGCAGCTCCACGACTCGATTTCAGAAGCGCACCTCAAGACACTTTGAAGGCGTGGATACTCGTGCGTTCGATCATGAAGTGCCATCCTAGTTTGGCATAGTAGAAAGGGGGAAGCTAAGTGGGGCGCACAAACATCGATGTCTTGACGTCTGTGCGTCCCACTTTCACCAACCTGCACTGACCAGCATCGTGAAGTTTGGTCAAATAACCCCAATGAGCCGCATGGCGTGGGAGAGGCCCTCGTGACAAGCACATGTATGATTAGGACTGCTCTGAAACTCTGAGACTGCGTAATTTGTGGAAGTGCCCGATTAGCGAATACACCATAACACCGATCAGATTGCTCGACTGGAAATCACAACGCCCGAGACCGGTACTAAATTCATTTAAACCGACACCTCTGGTTGAGGATGCGAGCGACGACCACATGACACGTCGTTTACCAAGAAGAGAGACACTTGGTGGAATGTTGAAACAAGTGGGCGAGCGGGTGGGTGAGCGAGTGAGCGAGCGAGCCAGCGGGCGAGCAAGCAGGTGGGTGATTGAGAGAGCAAGTGAATGGCAGGTGGGTGAGCAGGCGAGCGGGCGGGCAGCTTAGCGAGTAGGTGGGTTAGCGGATGAGCGGGCGGGTGAGCGGGTGGGTGAGCGGGTGGGTGAGCGGGTGGGTGAGCGGGTGAATGAGCGGGTGGGTGAGCGAGCGGTCGAGCGGGTGAGCGAGCCAACGAGAGCGGCCACCTTCTCGGGGAACGAGTCGAAGCACGTGCGTACGGGCTCGCGGCAGCCGAACTTGGACGACTTGAAGCGCCGCACGATGTCCTGCAGCGTCGCCGCCACCACGAAGTACTCCTGCTTCAGCCGCAACTCCTTGCCCTCAAAGAACTGCGCGCAGAGTTCAAGGGTCGATCCGCTCCATCACTCGTCCGCTCGATCGTGCATACACTCGCCTGTTCGCTTACTCGTTCAATCGTCCATTAATTATTGTTGCTCGTCCGTTCATTTATTTGTTAACAGATTCCATTTGCCTTTCACTCATTCATGGAACTCTTTCAGCAGTCTATTGATCCCTTTACTCATTGACTCACTCATGCCCGAGCTAACTCTTTCACTACTTCACTCGCTCATGCACCGATTCTCTCACTCGTTACATAGCCAAATTCTTTCACGAGTACACTCGCCCATACACTTACTCATTCACTCAATCATTGACTTGCTAATGCACTCCCTCGTGGTTATTTTTCCTTCAGCAGAATCTCCCATTTTTTCGCGTGCTCCGGGATATTTTGACCTTCGAACCGGATGCACGGTACTCATCGGGCAGGACTGGCAAGCGAGCCGCGCCCCGAGCCTAACGCACGTCACCACTCACGTTGTCGTTGGGGTAGAGCACGCGGGAAATGTTCTCGGCCAGGTTTCGGTCCAGCACCGCGTCGATGTAGTCCCCGACGTTGACTGCACCGTCGTCGAGCACGGCGAGAGGGAAGAGGGGACCGTCAACGTTGTGGTGGCCGGCACGATGAACCGTTACAGAACGCGACTTCGGTTACCGCGTTGCCCTCTCTCCCTCTCCTAACGTACCGTGTCCTTTCCCAAAGACGTCGGCGATCATGGCCTTACTTCCACTGAGCACTGTCTATGAGATTTACTCGAGAATTTTGCATGAGATTTACTCCTAGTTGCGCTCAATTGTTGCTATAATTTTCCCTGGCACTCAATTGTTGCTATAATTTTCCCTGGCAAAACATTATATTAATTCAGTCTCTCGTTTTCTCATTGCACCTCCAAGACATCTAACTTTCCCTTCTCTAATGATTCTCATTAATCTACTCACTGTGTGCCCTGCTGCTTTCCGCAACACATTTACGTTACACATCCTATCCGTCCTCCTCCTTAAAATCCACATATTGCGCCGCTTCCAGTTTGCTTTGTCGGGTCTTTGTAATTGCGCGCGGTAACTAACTGTCACATTGGGGAAGGTTCAACGCCACCGCGGCAGCCAAGACTAGCGAGCAAATATCTTGCTGGACGAACAAGAGGCACACAATTTTCTAATGTTTACAGTAAAGTTACCTGGAGGTCAACGCAAATTCTTCACATTCTCTGTCCCACACGTTATTCAATTACTGCGCACATGTTCTTTGTTTGGGTACATTCTCTCCTCTACCCTCGCCCCTTTCCCTCGCCTTCCCCTCCCCTAAAAATGCCATGCTCCTGATCGTTATCCCGACGTTAGTGGGGCAGAGAGTCCAACCTCCTTCCTTATCGCCTGCCCCGTGAGCACCTGGCCTCGGGCCTTCCTCCGTGGAATATCTGTGCCGCCCACCCCCTTATCGCTCGGGCTCTGTACCGGGATTCTTGTTCAAAATAAAAAAATACTGTGCACAGACCGTGTGGCCGGGGTACAATCAAGGGCCAGAGACACTGAGCGGGGACCGCCAAAAGAGCTGGGGTTCAAATCCAGGCTTTAGCTGGCAAACCACGATTAAAACTGGGTTCTCGATTGTAGCGAGTTGACGGGGATCTTATCCCAGCCCCCAATCACTGCACAAAAATGCAAAATTAAGAGGTTTTTGTTTTTTCCGACTTGAATTGGAGCAAAAAAGAAACCAGCTATGGGAATGAAACAACTTCAACTTGTTGGCTTTGCCCGACACGCGATAAACATCTCGACAGCCAGGGATTGTGGGAAAGTGCCGTAGCCCTTGTTTGACTAAAACCAAGAAAACAATTAAAATAGAACTGGGGGGGGGGGGGGGGGGGGGGGGCAAAAACAGCAAACAACACAGCACGGAGAGAAAGCCATGGCCAATGCAGTAAGAAACAACGATGGCCTACAGAGACCGATTAATCAACTTACAGTCCTTGAGGTTAAAGTCTCTGGGAGCCTTGGCTGACCATAACCGCATTGTGTTCACGGTGTTATTGCCGTAGCCGGGTATCGGCGTGTCGTACGGCATCGCAAGCACCACCTGCATGCAACAGGCCTCACACGTCAGTCACATTCAACTGGCAAGCCAGCCGGCTGTGTCAGCCAGCAACACTGCCCCTTTCAACCATATCGCCAGCCAGCCGTGCTTTAAGCCACTCTGCCTGGCAGTCAGACACACTGCCTCTTCAGCCACATCGCCAGCAAGCCACAATCTTACAGCCACATACAGTGATTTAAGCCACTCTGCCTGCCAGCCCGCCCACCTGCCATCCACACCGCCATTCAGCCAACCGAGCCGCTTTCTGTCGGTGAAGCTGGTCAGGAGATAAGCACAACAACTCTCCAGCAAGCCGGGCCAATCAGCACAATAGTCTGCTGGTTAATTTCCGCAGTAAGCCAGCACGTTATACAATTCACCCCACCAATGATGCAATGAACTGTTCCGCACCTCCAATTAGCACGGTTGGCTACGTATGGTGCGAAAGAAGTTTAACATACATGCATTTATCTGTAAAAATTTGGAGGTCAGTTCTCTTTAGTTTGTACCATCTCGTTTGTATCGGCCGTCTTGTCTATGCCAGACGAGATGTGTTTCATTAGCTTAAATAAACAAAGCACATTCTTACGTGCAACGCTCGACGCAGGTTTTAAGCAAATTTCACAATCCAATTCATCGAATAACCGACAAATAGACGGATCGCTCAAATGTTTTGCAAAAATAGTTTCTGGAATCATCAGGACCGCCCGCCACTCCACCCAATTTTACGTTTCAAGTTCATTCTGCTTAACCAGGGTGAGAACTAAAGAGACCAGGATAGAGTCTTGCATGGAAGAGAGCGATCTGGGGTCACCAAAATGACAAAAGCAAAACCAAAATAACGCACAGTATTGAAGCAAACTAGCGGGGGGGGGGGGGGGGGGAGCAGAGTGGAGGGTGGGGGCAGTGCAGGGGGCAGTGCAGGGGGCAGTGCAGGGGGCAGGGCGGGGGGGCGGGGGGTAGGGTGGATTGTCTCGAGCTCCGACGCGGCCCCCCCACCTGCGTGTCGACCCACTGGGCCCCGTGCTCGCCATGCTCCACGCGGCCGTGGAAGTGGATGGGGATCATGTACTCGGGGCGCGCCTTCTCCCACGGGTTCCCGTAGCGTAGCCAGTCGTCCGCTTCCTCCATCTACGTAGGGACGAACGAGAAGGCGCCGCCGCCAATCGCGTCAAGAGCTCGCAACTCAACGAGTAGGCCTCGGCAAGGTAAGGTAAAATACCCTTTTTACCGGGTAAAAGGTAAAGGTGTCGACATGCCAAGGGGTGAGGTAAAGGGTCGGGTAAAGGTAGCTCGGAAGAATTACCCGGTAGGGTAAAGGTAGCACGAAGTATTACCCGGTAAATACGGATACCTTGTTTACCGCTAAAAGCTCCGTGGCGCAGTCTGTGGCCTCCATTTAATAAGTAATATTTATTTTTTTGTTACTTTTTTTAAACACGCTTTTATTAAATGTACTAGTAATGGCAGAACTCCACGACTCCAGGAAGTGGCCCCGAAGCTTGCCATAACGTAAGGGACCGTGGTCAATTGCAGCCAACGTCAGTTGAGCGTGGACGATTAGACCCAAGCCGAAACAAAACAGATAAAAAAGATTGTTTAAAAATATATATATTTTTTATGATAGAATATAGTGTTGTCATCAGTATGACCTATCAACGAGTTCGGCAATGATGCCGCGGTGGAGAAATGTTAACCACCTTGCCTGGTATGAAGGATGTCGTAGGTTCGATCTCAACCCTGTTGCCTGTATATTTGGAGTTTGGATGTTCTCCCCATGGTCGCGTGGATTTTTCTCCAGGCGCTCCGGTTTTTTCCCTCCACATTTATAATCAATATGCATTGATTATCAATTTATACATGATAGACCACTTCGTTGAGCTATCATTTGTGGCCAGGTCGCTTCTGAAGTACGAGCTATATAGCTCAGTGGGCCCTTACCTGGTATAGTTTACAAATGGAAAAATATATAATAGGCGACGATCTGGACAATTGCCCTTATTCAGAGTACAAACAGAGAGTCCAGAGGTGCAGAGTGGATAATGAATCAGTCAGAGATTGCACTTCACATCGTGGGGTCTGATGAGAATTAACATTTGAACAATATTTTGATGACCAGTTTTAAAAATTGGCATGTGAATACTAACACCTTTTGGAGCTATTGGGAAACAGACAAACCCTTTAATGAACAAAGTATTACGATATAAACTCATTTATGTTAAATTATAAAAGATATTGTCAGATCGGAGAAAGCCAAGCAGGTGTTGGCCTGAAAAGCGCTTGAATGGGTGACCACCACGCAGGCATCAGAGGCAACTAGAGCTACATCATGGCCAGCAAAGGCCAATGTGGCAAAATCCATTACTGTACTGCATTTCTATTGTACTGCACTCCCACCGTCTATGCCCCCCGCATTCACCAACTCACAGTGACCAGCGTGGTGAAGTATAGTCACACAAATCTGTGAAAATAAATCATATTCTTAGGTTTTTTCGGTAAAGTCACGTAGGTAAAAAATTAAAATTATTTTATTTTACTTTTATTAATTTTAATTTTTTACCTACGTGACTTTACCGAAAAAACCTAAGAATATGAATCCTTGCAGTCACGAAAGCTTCAAATCTAGAAAATAAATAATTAAAAAAAATATGTTTCCACGTCCGTCTCCAGGCAAGAGAGGTCACCTGCCAGCCGTTGGTAATCTTCTGGTTGAAGATGCCAAACTCGTAGCGGATGCCGTAACCGTACGCCGCCAATCCCAACGTGGCCATCGAGTCCAGGAAGCAGGCTGCAGCACGGAGGGAGAAGCCGCACAGACAGACAAAAAGACTTCCAGTAAAAATGAGGTGAGGGTCGAGCAATTGAACCTTATGGCGGTACCCCTGGGTACCATCGTACCCCAGTTCTCACATAATGTCCGTGATGCAGTCATTTTTAGTCTGCTTATGGTCGGCGATGCGGAAATCGACTCATCTGGACGAGCTCTACACGATGCACTATTAAAAGTTGAATTTTTCGATAACGGATTTTATTATGCTGTTTGGCGTTTCGTCATCGCGGAGTAGCACTGATTTCGGATCGATTGGTACCCCAGTCGCGGAGTTAAGTACAATCCTAGAAAAAATAGTGTCCTAGAAATAAAATATTTATTTCCCTCGGCCATTTGGTATTATATGGATCCCCGGGGTACCGCCATAAGGATCAAATAAACGAAATGACGGCAAGTCCTCACTTAACGCGTGGTGTTCACACAACGCATTTTCGCTAATAACACAGTTCTTCCGTTAGGAAACACTTTTCGCACAATGCAGAACTCGCGCTATTATATAACAGGGAACTCGCGCGCCCCTTTATAACGCAGTTTCTCAATGGTTGACGATAAACTACTTTCTTGAGCTGTGTGGCCGAGTGGTATGATACAGTGCGTGCAACGATACAGTAACACGGCAGCATAACTTTAGCTATTTGTCCCGCAATCTTTTAATCGTTACAGTATCGTTACATTAGTTATGGGGATATGATTTTCGCTTCACACGTCTTTCAATTAATGCGCAAATTATCAGGAATGCATCTACCGTGTTAAAATGAGGACTTACAATATAAGGAACACAACAGGGCATCACCGATGCTGCTGCTGTTAGAGTTCATGAAATCAAGCGGTAATGGGCAGGACATGAAGTGAGAACGATTGACGAGAGATGAACAACTTTGAGATGCACGGCAAAAAATAAGCAGAGGAAAGACAGCAGAAAATAGGGCAGCAGTGAGATAAAGATCACAGTGTTCGGACGCCAACGCTGTATGGAAGCAACTCAGGATAGGAATGGAAAAAAATATGTGGGAGGCCTTTGCACAGGAGTGCGAAGTTAAACGAAGCTATTTTTATTTTACCAGGTAAGGCCCACTGAGCTATACAGCTCTTTTTCAGAAGCGACCTGGCCACAAATAATAGCTCAACAAAGTGGCTTGTCATGTGGAAATTAATCACAGACAAATACTCTAAACACATGTTTCTAAATGTCGAGGGAAAAATTGGAGGACCTGGAGAAAAATCCACATGACCACGGAGAGAGAGACAGGCAAACTCCAAATGTACAGGCTTGAGGGTTGGAATTGAACCCACAACCTCCTGCACACCAGGCGAGGTAGTTAAACCTGCTTTTTGTGTTTAGTTTGTTTCCCTTCCCCCAGCACCTCAGATGAGCACGGTTGGCTACGTACAGTGCGAAAGAAGTTCAACATACAGACACACAACGAGGGCCAATTGCTACAGGGTTAGTTGTGGTGCTGTGGTTGTGGCGCAGTCGCGAAGGAGGAGGAGGAAGCCACGGAGGAGACAAACGCGGCAGCGCACGCGCGAAGCGGGGAGCTGTGACTGGCCTGCCAGGCGCCCGAGCCCGCCGTTCCCGAGGCCCGCATCCTCCTCGATCTCCTCCAGCTCCTCAATGTCGAGGCCCAGCTGTAACGGAGAGAGCAGAACAGGGCCATCGTTAAAACGAACACGTTAGGAAACGATACATGTTCACCTTTTTGACCTTCTCTGGTCTAACACTCCTGAGACTAGGCCATGAAGAAGGCTGTCTGTACTCTTTGGTTCTTTCGGTAAAGTCACGTAGGTGAAAAAATAATGAAATCACGATGTTTCGATTGCAACACAAGCAATCATCATCAGGTGTGACAACCACAGCAATCGAAACATCGTGATTTAATTTATTTAATTAATTTTTCACCTACGTGACTTTACCGAAAGAAGCAAAGAGTATGGATCCTTGCAGTCACGAAAACTTCAAATATAGAATGAAGGCTCTCTCTGGTGTAGGGCAATCAGTTTCGAAGACAATGTGTGTATTATCAGAGCATGTTTGTTTGCATGTTTTGTCACAAGTACTGTGTGTGGTTAATGCAGACTCGATGCCTTGAAAAGGGTATTCATTTGTTGTTTGAATATCTTAACACCTGCTTTATTGCCAGAAAGAATAAAACATATTCTTGCTTGACTTAAAGCTTTCGTGACTGCAGGAATTCATATTCTTGGGTCTTTCGGTAAAGTCACGTAGATAAGTTCAAAAAAAATGAAAAAAGATTTATTTATTTATTTGACCCTATCTACGTCACTTTACCGAAAGACCCAAGAATAATAATAGTACCTATTCTTGCTGTTTCATCATTTTTATACTGGCAAAAAAGTCCCGGAAATATAAGATAGGAACAAACCCACGAGCACGCATGCGTTCTGATGTGACGGTACGGAAGTCGTTGCGATTCGTAAAATCCTTTCAGTGCTGGACGGTGTCTTAAAATGTTGGGCAACCATTTGATCACTAAACCAAGTTTTTCATAGCAGAAGTCCCCAATAGCTAGGCAACTATACAGCGAAGTTTCCTTCGTGTTTGGATAATCTTTAAGAGATTTCTCCCCCACCACATGCCCCCGTTGTTATGGATGGACAAACGCAGATAATTCATAAATGCTTTAAATCTTAATTGGAAAGCGTTAACAAAGGGGTATTGTGGTGTTGCTCAACGTTCCGTTTTAAAATATATATATTTGTGCAGAGTGCGAATGGAGAAACGCAGCAGCTGTTTAGAATTTGCCAGGTGGTTGCAAGTGGTACAGTGGGTTTTGTCCATTACACACAAAAAAAATCTAAAAATAGATTCACATTATCAAAGGAATTTTTCTAATGCAAGAGGTTAATATATGGTATAGTATTCATGTTCCGTGCCATTAGCGAACAATTAGATTAACAAGGTGATTCAAATAACTTTATTGCACTGTAAAGAACATTAACTCAAACCTGAGATGCAGTGCCGATGCCATTTTCAAATTTTCATCTCTCGTTAATCTCCTGACCCCTCGACAACCCCTCCCCTCCCTCCGCGACCAAAATAAACTGTTAAATTGATTCAAGCCTTGCTGCCGACCAGATGTCTGTACCAATAATTTCAACAGAAATCTGCAATCCACTGCTGGATGAGGGCTACCCCCACACCGTGTGGATAGCGGAGGTTCTTGACAATACTTCACTACGCTAGGTCAGTGCGGGTTTGCGAAGGGTGGGCAACACAGGCGTGGGAACACAGAAGTTCCGTACAAGAAACGCAAATATCTGCACTGACCTCTGCTAACCGCAATGTAGTGCAGCCTCGCAGCTGCCCATGCCAATCTGGCATGCAATGGTGGTGACCATTGCTTGCATAAATTGAAAACGCATTTTTGCATAACCACTTTTTGTGTTTAGTTTGTTGCCCTTCCCCTGCACATCCGATTAGCACAGTTGACTACGTACGGTGCTAAAGAAGTTCAACATACGTACGTGCATGCACATGCATACAACTATCAGAGATCTGACGAAATTGGCACATTCCGAGCGATTTGGTCACAGGCTTGAATTTTAATATAAAACGGGGGTGGGGGGGGGTGGGAAATCCAGACAGACAGAGGGGCGGCTTCCAAACATGCGTTCCAGTCTGGACGAACTGCCCCTCCTCCCCAGCAGCACGAGCACTCATCCCCGGAGAGCGGAGAGGACCTGCAGTGGCGGCGTTGACGGCGGTGGCATTACCTGGTACATGGCCTCATCGCAGGAGCTCTGAAGACCCAGGTTCACCATGGTGTTCTGCAGAGTGCGCCCCATGTAGAACTCCAGAGACAGGTAGTAGATGCGCTGCTCACACACACATGCACACAAAGACAAAGACACCCCATATAGCCTTCATAGACTGCTGGGGGAAGTGCTGTTAGTGAGCACCGATGAAGGCTGGAACAGCACACGAGGGGGTGGGTGGCCAGCACCACGCCCGGCCGCCTTTGTCTCCCTAGTGGCGATGTTTACATGCCGCACCAGGTACCCGCTTGAGGCCGAGTCGACCTAGGGAAGGCCCAGGACCGGTTCAGATAATCGTCACTGGTGTTGGGTCGCTGGGTTCGTAGTGCATCGAGCTAACCGCTGTCCACACAAACATAAATACACACCCACACAACGACTTGCAGACGCACGAACACAAACAAAAGATACATAAGACTTATTTTATACATAACATGGGTTCTTCAAATTTGCCTCTGAACCGTCTGTCGAGGCAAGTTCTGTTAGCGAGCACGTATTGAGACTTGCATCATGTGTACAAAGGGGTATGGGGGCAGGGGAGAAGGGGAGGGGGTGTTGCCTGAACCACGGCCCGGCCGCCGCCTTTGTCCTTTCAGTGCTGATGTTGAAGGGAAAAAGAGTAAGCAGTCAGCAAGTGGCTACTGGAGAAGCCGGATCAGGGAAGGAAAAACAAAGGCCGGCACAAGCACACACGCGCAACACACTCCGTAGGGAAGACACCGGACTGGAGCCAGAGTAGACGCGCCAACAACCACAGCGGCAACTGGAATTTATAAAGCCAAGTAAAATGGGACCGCACCTTCGTACGGGAAGACATGTGCATTGTAAATACATCACGGGAAAGGTCAGAATTAGTTTTTGTCTTTGAAGGCATGTTGGGAGGTTAGGGAGAGGGCAACACGGGGCTAACAAGGCACCAGAACCACGAAGGCACGAATAAAGATACTAGAACACTAGAACAGAGGAATACCATCGTCGGCAACGGGATAAGACTGAAGGCTTATGCCAGGGGATGAACAGAGCGATGGACTTGGCAGCACAAAGAGCAAATGGGAATGATCCAGAGCGGAGAGGCAGCAGTGGAGAAGAAGCAACCTCGCACAGAGCAGATTTTCAGAATCAGAATATGTATTCATCCTAGAAAAATCCGATGAGCTATGAAGCTCTGTTTTGTGCAGTAAGCACGGGTCAAAACCTTACAACAACAAATAATACAAAATCATGATAGGAGTGCAAAGTATATGAAAGGTAAATAAATCACTTAAAAATAAACAAATACAACTCAACTATTTTTTACCTTACCAGGTGAAGCCCACGGAGATATTTTATTATATTTCAGAAGCGGCCTGGCCACAAATGATAACTCAACAAAAGTCGATTATCATGTGGAACTTTGTAGCCCTGAAATAATCTAAATGCATGTTTCTAACTGTGGAAGGAAAAACCGGACCCATAGACCCATGTAGGTGAATTATTTTGCCATTTCTATTCGACCAAAGACCGCAAAGTCTTGAGATGTGGGGTTGTGGTGTCAGCTCAACAAAATCAGTCAGATGGCGAGAAAGAGTGACTGTAAAAAGTTCTAGAGCGGGTTCAGGAATGAGCTCAATATAATCAGAACAATCCAGAAAAAAAAATATGTGGATCGGGCAACATTCTCAGAGGTGAGGGCTCAACGGAGGAAGTTGTGGAAGGATGTTGAGAAAGAAGCCAAGAAGCAGAAGGGCAGCTGTACAGTGAAATGATGAAGAAAGCTCAAGATCGGACAAGGTGGAAAGACATTCTTGGTTCTTTCGGTAAAGTCACGTAGAAGGGAAATAATAAAATAATATTGATATAAAACAATATTAATATTATTTTATTACTTCCCTGAATCCCTGCAGTCACGAATGCTTTAAATCAAGATTTAAGGTGGAAAGAGTTTTGGGGGTCAAAGACCTGTGAATGGGCAGAGGACTAACGATATATACCACTGCCTTGTTTCTGATCGATGTCATGGCAGGTGACATACGTTATTCCGTTGGCGATTTGGCACGTTGCTTTTCATTACTAAGCTCATTTTCCAAAAAGCACTCCACGACAGAGGTCGCAACCGGGTATCCGATACCCGTACCCTACCCGATACCCGGGTACGGGTAGCCGTTTGCGACCCTGGTGCGGCCGGGTACGGGTAGGCCGTGAGTCACTGGTGAGTAACTGTTTGTCACTCATTTCGGGTACGGGTACCCATTTGCGACCCTGGTGCGGCCGGGTACGGGTAAGGAATCAAAACCCGTTTGCGACCGCTGCTCTACGACCTGCTCTTGTCCACCTCTTTTATTTTTATTTAATCGTTTGAATCCCGGTCCGGCCTCCGGTAACTTTACCAGGTATACACATTGTGATGACTAAAAAAAAAGAGGAACACGTGAATGAGAGAACATATGCAAGTTGTAGATAACGCAGGGACTGGTGAACAAAATGAGCTTCCTTAATGGAGGTTTTTTGGGTAAGATCACGTAAATGTGTCGTTAAACCCACAGACACCAACAATCAATTAGTAAGGTTTGTCATGGAACCAAAACATGCCAATTAGTTACTGGCTCAGCACACCGGTGGGCTGGGGATTAAACCCAAAACATGTACAATTCGAGTACGACGTTTCACCGGGAATCACAACCAGCCACATCAGGCAACAGTCAGAATTGTGTAGAAATCCTCCTCCTGTTTCGGTCTTAAACAGCAGGGGTAAACGTGATGCCGTCACTGTGGAGCTTGATCAGGATACGTCGCTTGCGAGGCCGATGGCCGATGGTGGAGATTAATGATGGAGTGGCAGCCAAAGGAGGGAGCAAGCTTGCAATGAAATCCGCTTTCACTCAAGTACAAGATTCGTTGTTTTATCATAGGACCACGAGATATGGGGGATCAGCTTGGGGGGACGCTTTCATCCAGCAGTTGATTGATCACGGTTAATTGCAATGATTCCACTGCAGGTGATGATGTATGGGACCAGTAAAAGCAATTCCTTCCAGGTAAGAGTCATTACTATCACAACAATGGTTGAGATTATATTGCTAATGTATTTTATTCAGAAATCCAATGTAGGTTAAGGTGTCCCTATTGCTTACCAATGTTTCCACTATTATTGCTGACACTTGCTTGAGGTTTTTTTCTGATGATCCTATTCGTTTTTTATGCTTCCGCTGTTGAAGGTTGCTGCTGATGTTGCTAATGCTGCTTCTGTTCGTGCTCCTGCTGATTGATAATGTTGCTTGCACAATTATATGTGGAACTTACTTATAACTGTATGTACTCTGTAGGTATCTGTGGGTGCCTCTGTGGGTGCCTCTGTGGGTGCCTCTGTGGGTGCCTCTGTGGGTGCCTCTGTGGGTGCCTCTGTGGGTGCCTCTGTGGGTGCCTCTGTGGGTGCCTATGTTGGTCTGGTTATCTGTGGATCTCTGTATGTTTGCTGAACTTATTTTGGGCCGTACGTAGCCAAACCTGCTAATCGGAGCTGCGGGGAAGGACAACAAACTAAACACAAAATTCATTGTTGAAACCGACTTGCTTCTGATGACTGCTGCTTCTTTGAGTGTCTTACCCTTCCTATTCACAACGCATCGCACCTCAACACTCAACCCCACCCCAGATCTCACCACAACCCTCCCCCCCCACTCCGTAACCTTGTTACCCCACTTTACAGCTCATCTCTTCACCTTACCTCACATCTCATGACACTACATTCCACACCTCGCCACCCCAGACAAAGCTTCCACTACTCCACTTTACACTCCAGACCACCACCTCACCCCCACGTCGCACCCCCATCATGCCACGCTACTCCGAACCACGTAGCCTGCCCCACTTTACAGGTTTACCACCACCTCGCCCCACCTTCCACTAACAATTGACCTAAACAGTCCTCATGCAAATCACCCCCACCCCAGCCCCGTGCAGCGGCCATCTCGAGAATGCCTCCTCTCAAACCCTACCCCCCAACCCACCACCTCAATCCACTCTCTTCACACCACAACCACATGACCTCACCACTCCTCATCCGCTACTACTACACCTCGTTATCCCACCTGACCCTCGCCAGTCCACACCTCGCCACCTCGATCCCAACAGCACGCCACTCAATTCCAAGGCTCCATCACCCCGCAGCCCCACTATTGCACCTCATCCCACCACTGCATCTCAACTCCTCATCCCACTCCACCCATGAAGCACACCTCAACAACCACCTCATTCCAGCATCCAACAGCACGCACTTACAAATACGTCACCACCATACCCATAATTCCATAAGGGGCCGTCCATAAATGACGTCACGAACCTGGGGGGGGGGGGGTCAGACATGTGTGACGATGTGTGACGAGGGGGGGGGGGTTTGAGAAATGTGACGTCACATCAAAATGCGCAACTTTAAGTAAATATAGACAACACGTTCTACTTAATTAAATTGACGTTTTAATGTTTTCTCCTACAACATCAGGGTGCAGCGCCACATTAAATACGCACTACAATGACAATAGTTTAAAGCGATTGTAAGCATGTTTTATTTTTTTTTTGGGGGGGGGGGGGGGGCAGAGCTTTGTGACGTCATATTTTAGGGGGGGGTCTGACTTTTTGTGACGCCGTGTGCCGACGGTGGGAGGGGGGTCAAAAATCGTCCAAAATCGCGTGACGTCATTTATGGACGGCCTCACATCGCACCCACCCACACACACACCAACTTACCCTGCCACCCACTCACCCACCCACCCACATCACCATATCAACACCACCCTCTCCAGGGACGTCGTTGCTACATTGTCAGCTGGGGCCCCAATATTTGAATTGTCTCGCACGGTCGCACCGAGGCAATTGTATACAGCGGACTCCTCTTGCAGAATCACAACATTACGCGCACGGGCTCCTCTTTGAAATACAATTGACAAGTATTTAATGGAATCAATATCCCAGCAACGGACTTCTATGCGAAAGCATTTTCATAGCAAAGAATCTCATTATCTAAACCGCGTTTTAAATCAGTTTGTGTTATTTTACACTGTCGTTGAAAACATATCTCGTAGCTTTTGGCCACCAGGATGGTGGTGGTGTTAGTGGGGCAAGGCACTCCCTGCCCCCATGATAGTTCCGCTACTGCCCCTTCCCCACCCACCTCGCCCCTAGGGCCCAGCCACTCTCACCTGCCACTCACCCCCCTCCCAACCTCACTCGCTACCCCACAGCTCACCTTGGGGTCCTTCTCGTAGTAGTACTGCTGCGTGCGGATCCATCTGCCCACCAGGTGGTCGCGCACGGCGTGGGCCAGCGCCGAGTAGTAGTCGCGGGGGGTGGCCACGTTGCGGTCTTTGACCAGCGTAAAGTGCAGGTGGCGATTGAAGCGGCCCTTCACCTCGGCCACGTCCTCCACGCCCACGATGCCCCGCACGCTGATCTGCCTCTGCTTGTCGACGTCGCTCATGGTGGCGGCGAGGCTGTCGATTTGCTCCTCCTGTCGTTACTGGAGGCGCCTGCAGACGTGGGGGGCGGTGACCTGAAGAGGAATGCGAAACCACGCACGTGCACTCTGGCAGTCACCCAACATGGGTCCGCCGAGTGCGCATGCGCGGGAAGTCGTGTGGGGGGTGGGGGCGAGGGGGTGGGGCTAGTTCTGAAGGGTGAAGCCAATCGCAGCGCTGCGATGTGGGCCACACCCTCTACGTCACGCGCGCCCCCCCCCTCTCTCCGCCGGTGCCACGCCCTCTTCCCCCCCCCCTTTCCTGAACCCCGCCCACCACGTGGGTGCGGATGTCCAAGATTATAAATTCTAGATTTGAAGCTTTCGTGACTGCAAGGGTTCATACTCTTAGGTTTTTTTTTTGTAAAGTCACGTAGGTAAAAATAACTAAAAAAAAATTATTATTTAATTTCTATTATTATTTCATTTATTTTTTATTTTATTTCTATTATTATTTCAATTATTTATATTTTTTACCTACGTGACTTTACCGAAGAAGAAAAAAACCTAAGAGTATAAAGATTTTAAAGTTGATTTCATACACGTAGGCTTTCGCGACCAATATCATCCATAATAGATGTTTTTGAGTTAGATCGTGTAAATATATAAATGTGTCGTTAAAACCCGCCACCACCCGACACAGCCAACTAGTCAGGGTTGTCACGTAAACAGAACGTGGCCAATTCGTCACTAGTACATCACACTGGTATGTTGGAGAGCCAAGCCACAAGCAACACACCGGTTAGTGCTGTACTAGTGACGAATTGGCATGTTCTGTTTACGTGACAAACCTTACTAGTTGGCTGTGTCGGGTGGTGGCGGGTTTTAACAACACATTTATATATTTAGGGGCCGTCCATAAATGACGTCACGCACCTGTGGGGGGTGGGGTCAGACATTTGTGACGATGTGTGACAGCACGTTCTACTTAATTAAACAGACTTTTTAATACATGTTTTCTCCTGCCAACATCAGAGTGCAGCGCCACATTAAATACGCAATACAATGACAATAGTTTAAAGCGATTTGAAGCATTTTTTGGAGGGGAAGGGGCAGAACTTTGTGACGTCATATTTTAGGGGGGGGTCTGACTTTTTGTGACGCCGTGTGACGAAGAGGGTAGGGGGGGGGAGGAAATCGTCCAAAATCGCGTGACGTCATTTATGGACGGCCCCTTACGCGATCTAACCCAAAAACCTATATTATGGACGATTTCATATTCTTTGGGTCTTTCGGTAAAATCACGTAGATAGGTTTAAATTAATAAAATAAAATTAACAAAAACTACGACGTTTCGATCACAACACAAGCGATCGTCATCAGGAGGAAAACTAAATTTAAGTCAAGATTTAGAGTAAATTTTTTTGTTGAAGGGTGGAGGAGGGTTTACGATACACATTTTACTTATACAATCTGACCCCCCCAAAAATAACCCCCAGTCCTAACTTTACTACCTCTCACGCAACCCCTAATTTCAGTCCTATCTCATCCCTGTGGACCAAACCCCAGTACTGTACCAACTTTAGCCATGACCAAAACCCTAACCTTAGTCCAATACAACCTAACCCCAGTCCTAACTTTACTCATGGCCCAAGCCTTAAGCCCCTACTTCCATTCCTATCTCTAACCCTCTGGGTCTAAACCCCAGCCCTAACTTTACTCAAGTCCAAACCTTAACCCTAATTCATACCCGTATTTTTGTACAGGGAAATTGAGTTTTCAGGTCCATACGCCGTACAGCCGTTTTAATACGGGGCAACATTTTTTGTTTGTCTATTTGTGTTTCTCTCTTGCGATGAAACTTTGCAGGATGAACGTTGAGATGTATTAAGGGACACGGGGTTGACCAATAATGTCCGAATTGGGTCTGTAATAAGGTCGGGCACTGATAAGGAGTTAACAGGCATGCTGACTTCCATTCCTATCACCCCCACCCCCCCCCGCAGTCGGTAACTTTGAATCCCGAGCCCAACAATAATCCACGTGGCCCCCCCTCTCTCCCTGTGACGTAGGGTGGGAGTCTCCCTGTGACGTAGGGTGGGGTGGTGTGGGTGGGGTCAGGGCCAGGCATGGCGGCGGGCAGGCGTGGAGCGATCGCTGCTGCTATTGCTGCTCCTGCTGCTGCCGCTGCTGCTGCTGCTCCTGCTGCCGCTGCTGCTGCTCCAGCTCCTCCTCTTGCTGCTGCTCCTGCTGCTCCAGCTGCTCTTCCCGTTGCTGCTCCTGCTGCTGCTGCTGCTGCCGTCTGATCGGCCGTGGCCACCACTGAAGCCCCGATCCTTGCTGGACCACCCCCCCCCACCCCAGCACTTAAGGTGAGTTGCTACTTCACCACTTTGGGTGAGTTGCTACTTCCTCGCCCTTGTTGGGGGCGACGGTGTGAGGCAGCAGCAGCAGCAGCTATACGCATGACACATTCTTACGACTAGTTAAACATGATGCCGCGTGCACGTGTCACCGTGGCACCTTCAACAACCCCCACGCTGTGCGCTTGACACGTCGTGACACGCGGCAAAGCACGTGGTGTATTCTTCACGCGACGCATGCATGTGCACGTTCAGTTGACGCGCGCGTGCATGACGAACGCCACACGAGCAGGCAACGCGCACACACCACCACGAACCGCGCCACGCGTGACCCATTTGCACGACGCGTCCACATTAACACACACACACGTACACACCGCACCACGCGACACTTTGCGTGTGTCACTCTCAACGCCACCGCGTTGACTTAGGGGCGGTGGTGGCGTGGTTGGTGAGTGTGGTGGTGGTGATGGTGGTGGTGAGGGTAGCAGGTTGGGGCTGAGTTAATCACGACATTTGCTATCTTATATTCTTGGTTCTTTCGGTAAAGTCACGTAGAAGGGAAATAATAAAATAATATAAAAATAAACATTTTCTTGCCGTGGATTTCACACCTGATGATGATTGCTTGTGTTGCAGGCGAAACGTCGTGAGAATGTTTTTATATTTTTTATATTTATATTATTTTATTATTTCCCTTCTACGTGACTTTACCGAAAGAACCAAGAATATAAATCCCTGCAGTCACGAAAGCTTTAAATCAAAATTAGCTATCTTGTCAAAGCCCCCTTCAACCACACAGAGTCTGTACTGGAGATGGAGCTCCTGAATGCGTCGAGACTCAGGAGATCTGATTAGCACGGTCGGCGACGTACGGTGCGAAAGAAGTTAAACATACAGATCTGTCTAGCTGCTTTAATTATCTCTAGAGTAGGGGCTTCGTAAATATTCCCAACTCAGGACGCATCTGAGTAGCCCAGATTATTCTGAGACAACATGCCCATTGACAAGGGCTGTGTGTGTGTGTGCAAAACAGTGGCGGCTTGCTTTGACTTCTAAGTCAGAGCGAGGCGACACAAAGTATCGCACAAAGCCTCCTTGCTAAGAAACAGGGTAAGCTTACACATCGTGGAAGTCATGGGTGCCACAGTGGCGAGATGTTAACTACCTCGCCTGGTATACGGGAGGTCGTGGGTTTCTGATCCCGACCCTGACGCCTGCTGCTGTATATTTGGAGTTTGCATGTTTTCTCAGTTTGTCGTGCGGATTTTTCTCCGGGTCCTCCAGTTTCCCCCCCTCCACATTTAGAAACAGCATGCCTGTAGAGTGTTTGGCTGCAAAACATGTCCACGTAGTAAGCCACTTGAGCTATCATTTGTGGCCTGGTCGCGTCTAAAAAATAGCTATTCTACATAGCTCAGTGGGCCTTAACTGGTAAAAATAAAACTAGTTTTTAGGTTATTTTTAGTTTCATAGCTCAGTGAGCCTTACCTGGTAAAATAAAAATAGTTTTTAGTTTATTTTTAGTTTTATAGCTCAGTGGGCCTTACCTGGTAAAATAAAACTAGTTTTTAGTTTATTTTTAGATTCATAGCTGAGTTAGCCTTACCTGGTAAAATAAAAATTGTTTTTGGTTTATTTTTAGTTTCATAGCTCAGTGAGCCTTACCTGGTAAAATAAAACGTTTTTAGTTTATTTTTAGTTTCATAGCTCAGTGAGCCTTACCTGGTAAAATAAAGCTAGTTTTTTAGTTTATTTTTAGATTCATGGCTCAATGGGCCTTACCTGGTAAAATAAAACTAGTTTTTTAGTTCATTTTTAGTTTCATAGCTCAGTGAGCCTTACCTGGTAAAATAAAAATAGTTTTTAGTTAATTTTTAGTTTCATAGCTCAGTGGGCCTTACCTGGTAAAATAAAACTAGTTTTTTAGTTTATTTTTAGTTTCATAGCTCAGTTAGCCTTACCTGGTAAAATAAAAATAGTTTTTAGTTTATTTTTAGTTTCATAGCTCAGGGAGCCTTACCTGGTAAAATAAAAAGTTTTTAGTTTATTTTTAGTTTTATAGCTCAGTGAGCCTTACCTGGTAAAATGAAGCTAGTTTTTTAGTTTATTTTTAGATTCATAGCTCAGTGGGCCTTACCTGGTAAAATAAAACTAGTTTTTTAGTTCATTTTTAGTTTCATAGCTCAGTGAGCCTTACCTGGTAAAATAAAAATAGTTTTTAGTTTATTTTTAGTTTCATAGTTCAGTGAGCCTTACCTGGTAAAATAAAACTAGTTTGTAGTTCATTTTTTGTTTCATAGTTCAGTGAGCCTTACCTGGTAAAATAAAACTAGTTCGTAGTTCATTTTTAGTTTCATAGTTCAGTGGGCCTTACCTGGTAAAAAAAAATAGTTTTTAGTTTATTTTGTAGTTTCATGTCCACTTCAGAAGTTTGTATCAGAGGAGCTCAACCTTTGTGTGTGAGAGGACAGCTCACGGGGTGATGCTATTACAGAGCAGCGTGGACACAAGAGACACACACACATACACGAATCCTCTCGCACGCAAACACGGGAGAAAAAGACACACACACCCACAGAATAAAAGACGCCTGCATTCAGTCTCCACGGCTGTATACATGTTCGTTGAACTTCTTTCGCACCGTACGTAGCCAACCGTGCTTGCTGTCAATGGCTGAGGGCCGCCCTCCCCACGCCTTGCGGGGGTCGTGGTGGTTATTTGACCAAGCGAGGCGAATAACCTTCGGCAAACTTCACCGAGCTGGTCAGCAGCGAGTGGTGAAGGCAGGGAGAGATGTGGGAGTCTAGAAACACAGTGCTACATTATATAACTGGTTTGGTATAGCTGGTTTGTGACGTAGCCTTTTGCTGCCCATCTACTTGTCGATCAGCAACCTACAGCACCTGCGATGCAGGGTAGTTAGTCGTTCGTGCAAATACTCAATCCCGCTTCGCTTTTGAGATGGGGTTCATCGTGGTTTATTTGGCCACTGGTTTGTTAACTGGACGTAAATGTTTTGCAATGCTAGTCTGTATTTCGTGATTACACAGAGGACATTCCCAGCCATGGCTCACCTCAGTGGTGAGTGATGTCTGAATCTTCCTGGGTGCCACCCTTTGCCAACCTGCACTGATATTCATGGTGAAGTTTGGTCAAAGAAAACAACCCACATTACCTTAAGAGCATGGGGAGACCTTCAGCATTGTATCAACAAGAAGCAGAAAATATACGTGTAAATTAAACATAGAATATTGTAAGCTGCACTTGGCTATATTTAACAACAAAGGTGGTCTTCCAGTATTAATAATAATAATGCTCACCTGTGAAAATGGACATCTGTGAAAAAGAGCTTCATAGCTCATTGGATTTCTCCAGGATAAATAAAGAATCTGCTGTGGCTGGGAATCGAACTCAGATGGTCAGGTTCAAAGCTGAGTGCACAAACCACAGCGCCACCGCTCGGCTTATTGAAAATAATAACTTTATACGGTATGTTATTTATCCATTCAATGAGTACTTGTTCTCAGGATTGTTCTGCATTGGGATGTTTGGCCAATTCTATTAAGAAGCCGGTTTTTTTTTACATGAAGAGCTATGTTTGCACCGTGAAGGACTGTTAACCGGCATACCAGCAATGACTGGCCATGCGCCAGTGGTTATAGATAGCGGTTGGTATCGCTTTGCTGACAGCAAAATGAACTTTGTCTTCTGGATAAAGGCAGATCACTGGCTTTGCTGACGTTGAGCCTTGGCGTGATGATGGCGGCGCTCGTCGGCAATCCTGCACTTTGGACATATGGGTTGGTGCTTCACGTCCAGATGTGTGAGATTTGCACATTTTCTGGGCTGCAAGCTGGCCAAGGAGATGGCGGCACAGCAAGTGTTTTAGTGTTATCCTCTCGTATGCATGGTGGGGTCACTCTGGGTACTGTGGCGGGGAGTAGAGTGAGATCAGAGGGGAGAGGTGGGAGTGTGCGTGGAGGGGAGTAGAGTGAGATGAGAGGGGAGAGGTAGGAGTTTGCGTGGAGGGGAGTAGAATGAGATCAGTGAGGACAAGTTCACGGAGGATATTGAAGACCTTGAATGAGATCTTGAAATTGTTCCGCTATTACATTGATTTGACCCCGGGAAATCGCAACTGCTTGCCCTCGATCGTGTCATACATTGCACACCTACAGCAGATGCTTGAATAAAGTAAGAGAATTAGACAATTGACATTGGCTGCACTTGCATGATGATGGCATTTCGAGATTGCATATACTGTACATGTAATGCTGACCACATTGAACTATGTGGACCCTGTGATAATTTACATAGAAATTGGCGGAAAGTCAAAAAATTAGTTTTTTTTGTTCGGTGTGTGCAAATATTTCTGAAGTATCCAAAGGGCATTGTGGTGGGTTTATCATTACATTACAATATAATCCACAGGGTCTGTATGTGATGCAGGTAAAAATACACGGAAGATGAACACCACTTGTTGAGATTTTGGTTACAAGATTACAGAGTAAACGGTATTGGCAATTTGATTGATGTACTCTACATATATATTTAAAAGGCCACTTGAAAAAAAGACAGTACTGTACTTACAGTAGTGCTATGGTGTGGGCAGTAAGGCTAAATCCACTGTTGCATCTTTCATCCCCACCTTCACCATCTCGCATTGACCACTGTGGTAAAGTGTCGTCAAACGATCCCCCCAGGACCCGCACGGGGCGTGGGGAAGCTCTCATCCAGCAGTGGATTAACAAAAGTACTTTTCGTGCGTACATTGTTGTTTCATTTACCAGGAGCATCGCAGTAAAAATCTGAAGGCCCAGCACTGTAATTGCTTGCTCAATACTGAATTTCGATTTAAAGCTTTCGTGACTGCAAGGATTCATATTCTTGGTTCTATCGGTAAAGTCACATAGAAGGGAAAAAAAAAACAATAAAATTATCACGACGTTTCGATTGTAACACAAGCAATCATCATCAGGTGTGAAAACCACAGCAAGAAATATTTTTTGTTTTCAAATTTGAAACGTCGTGAGAATTTTATTGTTTCTTTTTTATTATTTTATTTTTATTATTTTATTATTTCCCTTCTATGTGACTTTACCGAAAGAACCAAGAATATGCTCAATACTGCTCGCGGTAGGGCTTCGTGCGTATTTTGGCCGACTCTCACAGTCATTCCAGGTGAGAGTACCCACGCTTTACCCAACTACACAAGAGCTGCTGGGTGGACGGAGTCGGGGGGGGGGGGTAATTGCGATCGCATCAAACCGGCCACCTCTGGATTGCATCGCGGTAGAAAAAAAGTGTTTGCTCTCGTCTGCCCTGTGCCATGTTGCGCCTTGTTGCACCGCGGTGTGCAGAAGGGAGGCAGCTGTATGAAGCGTTGTGCATCGGTGTGCAGCGTTGTGCAGCGGTGCGCAGTGGGGTGGTTCATTGTGCAGCGGTCCGCATCGGGGTACATCATAGTGCAGCGGGGTGCAGCAGGGTGCAACGGGGTACAGCTGTGTGCAGTTTTTCCTGCTGTGGTTGTCCCACCTGATGACGATTGCTTGTGTTGCGATCGAAACGTCGTGATCTATTATTTTTCTACCTACGTGACTTTACCGAAAGAACCAAAGAGTATGTGCGCACAGTGTTATGAGGTGTGTAGCGCTGTGTGATGCGGTGCGCCGCGCCTCTGCCGTGCCACCCAAGGTCGCACCCGGCAGGATGATGCTGCGAGCGGACAAACGCGACGACATGGAGGATGTCCTGGAGGAGCGGCGGGCGTCCAGCGACGTGCGCTTCTCGCTGCGCCGCTACGCCCCCCCGTCGTACCGCTACCACTCGCTGCGCTCGCCCGCCGCGCTCAAGAGCGCTGTGCTCCACTCGGAGCGCCTGCAGGACTTCATACGGCAGGTGCGGAGCCAGGGCACTGGTGGGCGGCTGCAGGGGACGGGTACGGAAGGGGGCAAGGCAGCGATGGGTAGAGCGAGCAATTGACTCGGCAAGGGAAGCAAAATCGGGGAAGTGAATTGGTAATTGAATGGACAGCTAAGGTCCCCGTCGTTGGAATATGAATTTTAAAAGCAACAGAGTTCAGAGCACGCCGAGCTGCCACCGCAGAGAACCAGGGTTCGAATCCAAGCAGCAGTAACTGTACAAAGTGAAATTTGGTTTTACGCTCAATTTGTCTAAAATTTCCGTTCTTAAAAATGAAATACCCGTTTGACTGTCATACGACGAGCATTACTCTGGTATGCAGAACGGGTGGTAGGTAAAGTACCGCCCTCGATTGTGTGGAGCACTTGAAGGGATCTCAAAGATAGCTTTGCGATGTCCTGTTCCACGGGCTGTTCTCAAACACGAAGGGTTATACTTCGATTTAAAGCTTACGTGACTGCAGGGATTCATATTCTTGGTTCTTTCGGTAAAGTCACGTAGAATGGCAATCATAAAGTAATAAAAATAAAACATGATAAAATAAAATTCTCACGACGTTTCGGCCACAACGCAAGCAGCCGGCCTCAGGTGAAGAAACAGAGCTGTCGGAAAGCCAGCGTCCTAAATGTCTTTCTGACGGCTGCTTGCATTGTGGCCGAAACGTCGTGAGAATTTTATTTTATTATGTTTTATTTGTATTCTATTATTATTTCCCTTCTACGTGACTTTACCGAAAGAACCAAGAATACGAAGGGTTATACTCTCGTGACATAATTTGGGGCGAAAAAAGATATATATATAAATTACATTTCACACGAATGCACGTGCTGCGAGGCAGGAGGCTCAAGAGAGCGGAGAGCCTGTGGAGGTGATCACGGAGCGAGCGAGCGACATCCTGGAGGAGATGGGACACAACCAGCGCATGTGCATCATCCGCACGTTCGCGCTCACCCTCAGCAAGACCTTCAAGGCTCTGTTCCGCAGCGTGCGGCTTAACGAGGAAGGCCTGCAACGGGTACCGACCAGCTCAGCCGACGCCATCGCACCTCCCACCCCCCCCCCAATCCCCACCTCACCGTGCTCCGGTGTGGGGTTCTTCAACTCTTGACTGGTGGCTCACCGCCCACGTAAACGGATCTGTTGGCAATTTACGTGGAATCTTCCAGCTTAGGGGGCCCCACGTGTTGAGCATTTGTTGTCTGAAACTTTTGCCATACGCTACGGCGGGCATCTTCTCTTCAATTGCTTTGGAAGATGCCCGCAGTTGGCAATACTCGGCAAAGGATTCGGACAAGAAATGTTCAACACGTGGCCTATCCCGGACGACCACACTCATATTACTATAATTAAACGATAAACTATTTTTATTTGACAAGATAAAGCCCACTGAGCTACATGTCTCTTTTTCAGGAGCGATCTGGCCGCAAATGATAGCTCAACGAAGTGGCTTATCAAGTGTAAATTTACAGCTGCCAAATACTATAAACGCATATTGGTGCATAACGGGGAGGGAACACCTGGAAGACCCGGAGAAAAATGCACACGACCACGGGGAGAACATGCAAACTTCCAAATATATAGGCGTCGTCAGGGTCGGGATTGAACCCACGACCCCCTGTATACCGGGCGAGGTAGTTAACATCTCGCCACTACGGCACCCCCTCTTACGAGTGGTTACAAAAAAACGCACGTACCCTCATCGCAATGCACGTGCCTGTGTAGGACACGCCGTGTGTCAGGATCCTTCAGCTGGCAACTCGCGGGACAGGCACGACCCGTGGAGGCACTGCTGAGCTCTAGCCGATCGAGAAATATAGCTCGGAGAGAAATATACGGATGAGTGAGGTGGAAGCGAGATACACGAGAAAATAGAGATGGGGGAACTGTAGAGAAGATATAAGTTTAATCATCATCTTCTTTTATTTGGCTGATTTCACATTCAGGTGGTCAAGCCAGACAACCGCATCACCAGCAGCGGAGTTTATCGCTGTGATGTCTCCTTTGTCTTTGTGGATTGGGCATTGCGTCGTTATATGTTGTATATGGTCGATTCTGGATGACCACAGTCGCACACTGGAGAGATTTTAATTTTCGATTTGTGCATCAGGTATCCGCATCCGCCATGGTTTGCGCGGATGCGATTTAGGGTGGACAATGAGCAAAATGGAAGCTCAAACCCAGGGATATTCTGTGTTGAGTCTTTCACATCATCATCATTAGCCATTATTGTTTAATGGTTGGATAAAGGCCTCCCAAAGCCATTGCCGACCCTTAATGTCCTACGATGAGGAAATCCACTGAGAAACCGCACACAAAGTGATTTCATCGCTCCATCTCCTTGGGTGTCGTCCCCTCTGGCACACGTGGTCCCATCCACGAGCTATCCACTCAACCCTGCTTAGCGTCCGAGACCTGACACGGTCGGGCGCTTCCTGGGTTATTTGCTCACCTGGTTAGTCTAAAACTATGAACACCATCGGAAGGAGACTCTGCGTGGTGTGTCGTTAGGATGACGTTGAAAGCGTTGACTTCGGCACTGCCCGGTGTGCAGATACAGAAGGCTGTACAGGAGTACCCGGTCGTGCTGCTGCCAAGCCACCGCAGCTACATCGACTTCCTCATGTTGTCCTACATCTTCTACACCTACGATCTGCCACTGCCGGTGATCGCCGCCGGCATGGGTATGGCACACACGAAGCACGGCGTGCAACGTTGCATTTATGGATTGAATTGATTTTATTTTATTCTATGGGTAGACTTCGCTTAAGAAGAGATATTCCTCTTCTTGGTTCTTTCGGTAAAGTCACGTAGAATGGAAATAATAAAATAATAAAAATAAAACATTTCAGACAGAGTAGACAGAGTCTGTCTACTCGACAGACCTGCCCTCCACCTGAGGACGGCTGCTTGCGTTGTGGCCGAAACGTCGTGAGAATTATTTTATTATGTTTTATTTTTATTAATTTATTAATTCCATTCTACGTGACTTTACCGAAAGAACCAAGAAGATGAATCCCTGCAGTCACGAAAGCTTTAAATCGAAATTTAAGAGATATCCCGGCCATACGCTGGTTTGCAAGATTAGAGCTGTGAGAGGACTGGTGTGTAAAAAGTAAATGGAAAAGAAAGAAAGTTGCAGCAGCGTATAATTAATGACATTGCAGACACTGAGCAGCAAAGACATTCGAGGAAAATAAAATTCAAGTCATGCACCATTCAAGTACCACTAGCAGGTGATGCACATCATCAACGCTGGAGCACCAAGTCACACCGAGTCCGTTAACCACACGTGCTGGGACTGCACGTGTGGTTAAGTCCATATCAGAAATATAACGCCAAACCGCGCGGTGTTCGCAAACCATGTGTGCAAGAGAAGGGATATATTAAATCAAGATATTTTTTTTAAAGGCCATCGTTAGCCACGATCAATCCATTCTCTTTGGTTCTTTCGGTAAAGTCACGTAGTTAGAAATGAATAAAAAATTAAAAAATGTTCTTGCTGTGGTTTTCACACCTGATGATGATTACTTGTGTTGCAATCGAAACGTCGTAATTTGTTTTATTTTAATTTATTTTTTACTACGTGACTTTACCGAAAGAATCAAAGAGTACGGATTCCTGCAGTCACGAAAGCTTCAAATCAAGATCGATCAATCCATTATTGGTTGAGGTTTGTGCCGAGCTGTCACCATCTCTCACAGTCTTACGATGCAACAATCCATCTGTACCCTACCCACTCTCGCCCCCCCTCCTTCCCCTCCCCAATCACCTCCACAGACTTTCAAGGGATGAAGATCGTGGGCGAGATGCTGCGAATGGCCGGCGCCTTCTTCATGCGTCGCTCGTTTGGCAACAATGCACTGTACTGGCTTGTGTTTAGCGAGTACGTGCAAGCCGTGCTGCGGGTGAGAGCACGATAGCATCAGAATCGGAATCTTGATTTATCCTGGAGAAATACGATGAGCCTAATTAAGCTCATTTTCACGGATGTCCAGTAGGGGGTGGGATAGTGATGCAGGCCCTGCCTGGGCTCCCGTGGGCCCCGTGTCTCGCCTCCCGTTACTCGTCGTTTATTCCCTACATCCCATTGTTTTTCACTAGAAATGCCCACGCCTGTGGAATTTCACGCACGCAGTTTCGCGTGCGTACACGCGCGTTGCGAACCTACGAATAAATTTGTATCTATAAGAATCGACGAATTGTCAAATTCCTACCATGCGATCCTCTTCTGCAGTCTCAGACTCTGGAGGAAAGGACTCCGCTGCGCTGTTTTTTCCAGAGGTCACTTGAACGGGATCTCAGATGTAGCTCTGTGGTGTCCGCTTCCACGGGCAATTATTTTTTCCCGAGCGTGACAGCAAATTCTTAAGAGTCAAATACTTTGGGATGGAATCTGGACACTACTATGCCACCCTTCCTAACGCACGGGATAACCGTTGCTCCTGGGCAATAACGCAACTGACAAACTCGGACATCGCGTTTATGTTGGTTTATTTTGGGTTCTGTTCGGTTACACTCTTCCTCCCCTTTTCCACATTTTCTCCCTCCCCCTTAAATACACTGCTCTTCATCATTGCCCCTACCACGGCAGGGTGGCGTGCCCGGTTTCCCTCGTTAATTCCCAATATTTGAGGGTGCGTTACACCCGGCCTGTTATACCTTACATGTTGTTCCTACTTCCTTTTGATATTCCCAACTGCATTATGGGTTCTCGAAAGACGATAAAACACGCTTACGGAAAAAAACATTTGCTTCGAGACTCAACGTGAGCGTGACATGCCGACTCGGCTATAATCCTGCACGGCGTGTCGACTCTGCCTGCTGTGTGGTGTGCTGTGTGCAGAACGGAGATGCCCCTGTAGAGTTCTTCCTGGAGGGAACTCGCAGTCGCACAAACAAGTCTCTCCCACCCAAGCTGGGTGAGATTTTACCGTAACATAAGCTTTTATGATTTGCTTAAATTACATTCCCCGGAGTAACGTTGCTCTGTTGATATTTTAAACGAAATTTCTCGTCGCTTGTGCAGCCTAAGTGTTGGGCATTCCTGAATATTACTTTATGTAAAGCAAGTTGCCTTTATTTACGTGAAGTGCACCATATAAATAACAGATTGATTGATTTAACCTTGTGGTGACGGTGGTGGCAGTAGTGTTGGCAGCGGTGGTGGAGGTGGTGGTGGCGGCGGCAATGGCAATAGTGGTGGTGTTGGCGGTGGAAATGGTGGTAACGGTGGTGGCGGTGGTAGTGATAACGTTGGTAACAGTGGTAATTACGTCGTTGGCTGTGGTGGTAACGGCGGTAACTGCGGTGGCGGTGAGACAGGCCTGCTGAACATGGCGCTGGAGCCCATGCTGCGCGGAGAGGTGTACGACACGTACGCCGTGGCCGTGAGCATCAGCTACGACCGGCTGCTGGAGGAGGCCCTTTATGCACGCGAGCTCCTCGGGGTTCCCAAGCCCAAGGAGTCGACGTCGGTACGGGCCACGGCACCGGCGTTCGCGTCACCTCGCCGTTTCACGGCGGAGGTTTTTCCTCTATTGACGGGTGGACGCCACCCGGGAATTCAAACTGCTCTCGTCTTGTCGGGAAGTGGTTCCTTCAGTCCTTTCAAGGAGGAATGGACGAGATCCACTCTGCTTTTGAACAAACAATGGAGTGGATAACAAATCTAAAATTACATCTTTAATTAATCCATACGAAAGAAGAAGAAGAGTTTCGCCCCAACCTGTGCGCCAGGCCGTGGGAATCGCTCAGCGGAACTGTTGCAGATGCTGAAGTGTTTCTCACAAAGAACCCTTGCGGCATCAGCCACCCAATTAACGCGAGTCAATAGACGGCAAGGGATGCTGCCGCAGCAGAGTAACGGTGAGCGGTGCTGGACCTGCTGTTACAGAGGTTCGCCGGTTCGATTCCATCTCCCGACGCGGGAGTTGAAACAACGTTGGAAGCTTCTTAAATGGCCCTCCTGCCTCTGTGCACCCAGTCTATGGTCGGCAGGTCGCGTGCAATGGGGTAGAGTGTGGGTATCGGCTCCTCTTCCAGGGCCTCTGGTCAGCGTGGAAGATGAGGCTAATCATCCTCTAGGGGGGTGGGGCTCTGTAGTTGAGGCCTTTCCATCAGCAGTGGCTTGAGTGAATCATTTCAGCACCGTAACTTTACCTTGCCTTGTAGCTCCATACCGAGTAAAGTGTAGTGGCCTCCCCATCATTACTGTTTAAAAACATATACTTCAAAGTTATGGTTAAGCACACCATTATGGCATTTTTGTGATGTCATTGTTAAATCGCTCCCGTACATTTTAATACGTCGATTGCCGGCCCTTCTCCCCCTTGCGATTCGATACACCCTCACTGATTTAGATCCACGGTTTAATTCGGCGAATCTCTGCTGTCGTCTCTCTCTCTCTCTCTGCGTGAGCAGGGTTTGCTGAAGGCCCGCTCGGTGCTCAGGGAGGACTACGGCAGCGTGCACCTCTACTTCCATGCTCCCGTCTCACTCAAGGCCCTGGCCAATGGCCGCATCGACTCCAAGAGCTACAACTTGACGCCCAGGTGGGCCTTGATCTCACCCCCCCCCCCCCCCCCCCTCACCGCACACTCCCCTCGCACCTGCGAATAAAAAAATCTAACTAATCGGATTCACTCCTGTGTTTGAGGGAATGTGAGAAACCCATCTCGGGAGTCTGATACGAGCTGTCTTCGTCTCTGGCGTGGCGTTCGAAAAGCAACCGGCGTATGTGCTGCGTCAAGTAGTAATGCGATGTACTACTTACTGTACGGTGCTCTCTGTTAATCTACTGCTGGATGAAGGCCGCCTAGTGCCTCTTGGTCAGAGGGTTTTAGTTTTTTCTAGGAGTTTGACCATACTTAACCACACTCGTTCTCCCCCTCCTCTCCCCCCCCCCCCACCATACCGGCAGACACTTGTCCCTACGTCCGCCGGAGAGCACGTTGGTGTTTGCGCGTGACATTGCTCACCATATGGTGCGCACGCAGCAGCACGGCATGGTGGCCAGCCCCTGGGCCCTCATCGCCAGCATCCTCATGCAGCATCACGGTGAGCGAGCCTGGGCGAGGAGCCGTGCCTTCCGGCGTGAGGGTGGTTTGGGTGAGTGAAGAGAACCGAGTCTGTGACCCACTGCTTCTAAAGCCTTTAGCGACAGGGCCCGGACTGACCATCGGGCAGTCCGGGAAAATGCCCGGTGGGCCGGTCAATTCCAAGGGCCTGACTCTGTGAAGAAATTGCAAATGTGATCAGAGTAAAAGTAAAACATTTCAATAATATATTTTTAAAATATATTTTTATATTTTGTTATATTTAATAATATTAAAGATATATAAAAATGTATATTTTAATAGATATTTTTATTATTTACTTAAATATTTCATTACCTCTAATATGTAGGCTTCATTCCATCACTGGCCCATTTGTTTTTTGGGCCAGCCCAAATGGGCCAATGAGATCGCACGGCAATTTGGGCCCGCTATGTTTACAAATGCCTGGGTCGATTTTTTTCATCCCAGTCCGTCACCGTTTAGCAGTCCCTGCACTGCACTACCCCCCACCCCATGCCTCCGCTTTTCCCCCCAGCCCCCTGCTTGTATATTTTATACCCAGGTCTCCTTTGCAAAAGGAGCAGAGTGGAGAGCTCCCATTGTTGTTCCCAAAGGAGTCATTTAATCTCTTGGAAAAAGTGCCCAAAGCATGCCGCTGATATTCCATACCCATGCCATCATAATTTATTCTCACTCTATTGGAGCACACGTTTGAGAGTGATTGCCAAACTACAGTGGGTCCATTGGATTGAGACCATGAGCAATGCACGTACAGGTACATATTAACGTTTAGAGAGTGTGTTCTCTTGTATGCAAATGTGCCTGGCTTAGCCACCGAGCTTTCGGCTTTTGTGCAACATTTGTATACGTGCGTGGGTGTGTACATGTGGGTGTGTGTTTATGGGGAGCGGTGGCACCATGCTTAGCACACTGCGCTGCTAACCCGACAACCCGAGCTACATTCCCCCTCACGGCCAACATAAGTGACGATTATCCGAACTGGTCCTGGGCCTCCACTAGGTCGACTTTGCCTTAAGTGAGTACCTTGTGCGATACGTAAATATCGCCAATGGGGAGACAAAGGCGGCCTGGCATGGTCCTGTTCACACCAACCCCTTCGTGTGTCAATCCGACCTCTAAAGGTGGTGGCAAAGAGCATATGCAGAGTTCAATACAGGGGATCCCAACAGTCGACAACAGCGATACCGGGGTGGGGCGGGGGACCGTATAAATACATGTGTAGTGTAATAGCGCCAGCTGCTGTCCAGCAGCAGCAACTCCGGTGGACGAGCAGTATACACGCCGGTGAGTGTATATGCGGGTGTGTCGGCAGGGCGGAGGAACTGGGGCAAGGGTCATGGAAGACCCCATCTGGAAGCCCCTGGAACTCGCTAGTGGGTTTAAGAAGGGAGGCGCGGCCAAGGCGGAGCCAGGCCATGCTGGGTCGCATAAAATCAGCTGAGAGCGGGAGCTCGCGGCTGCCGGTTCTGGGGAGTGAACTCGTCTCGTTGTCGTCTTCGCTAGATACTGGGTGGACGGATAGTTGCTGACCGTCTCGGTCGGCGCCATCGGTGTTACGCAGTCAGGGTTGTGTTTAGGCTCGGCTAGACGACTATGGAGAGCGCGAGGGCGAACCCGTGAACTTGTGAAGGTGTTAATAAAGAAGGTGCCTCCTGGGACCCCTTGCCTCTAAATTGCTGACACTACACGTGTATGTATATATGGATGTGTGTGTGTGTGAGCCACAGGTGAAATTGAGTTCTCTCTACTCTTGGCTGAGGTCCAGTGGCTCCGTTGCCTCATCGAGAAGTTTGGAGCCTTTCTGCACTGGCCAGGTAAGCATGGATGGCTCTTGATAATTGGTCCCTTGCGCTCCACTTCTTGTCGTGGTCGTTGTAGCTGCTCTTGGGTTGACGTTACTCACCTTGCCGACGCGCAGTTCTTGTGAGGCATCGCGATCAAGTCTCAACGCTGAACCCGCTCGATCCTTCGGTAAAGTCACGTAGAAGGGAAATAATAAAATAATAACATTAAAACATAAAACAATTCTCACGACGTTTCGGCCACAACACAAGCAGTCACGAAAGCTTTAAATCGAAAAATAAAATCCACCCGATCCTGTCAAAGCTCGGAGGCCGAGCAGGATTGAGCCTGCTGGGAGACTCCTAGTAATTTCAGGTATTATAGGCTTGCAATGCAAAAGGTGGCCAGGAGAATGGGAGTACAGCAGTGGATTGAATCCAGTGTTGCGGTGTTTTGAGAGGTGTTCTCTTCATGTGTGGGTTTCATCCAGGAACTCAACTCTCTTCCCACACGAAGTCGCAAACATTTACGGAACTGACAAAACATCCCAATGCAGGACCCTCCTGAAAAATTGTCCTGAGAGGCTCAGCGAGGCTTTTTGCGGATAAATAAAGGACACTTTTGTCATGTCTCCATGATTGTATTGCACTGCGCTCCGACGTCGATGTTCAGTGATATGTCGTCTCATATCGGCTCGTGTGCAGACGCTCTATGGAATTTTGGTTACTTCGCAGGCCTGTGAGAGGTGGAGACAGATTGGGGAGGCCTTGGTCTAGCAGCAGTGGATTGAGCATGGATGTTTACACACCACACCAGGTACTCATTTGAGGCTGAATCGACCTAGGAGAGGCCCAGGACCGATTCTGATAATCGTCACTGACGTTGCCGGGTTTGTCGCGCAGCGCGCTAACCATAGCACTGCCGCTCCCCACTATGTGCACACAAAAACATACATACACACAAACATACACACAAACATACACGCAAACATACACACGCGCGATCAAATCAGTCCCCAAACTGAACGAAGGCCCCGATGACCAAAGCCACGCGGGTCACGGAGGAGGTTGTTTGCCGTCTTCTTGCAGAGGGACAGCCGCTGGAGGCGGTGGTGCGGGATAGCGTCAGGCTGCACGGGAACATCGCGAGCACGCTGCGTCGCGGCGGCGACGGTGACGACGGTGGCGACGCCCGTGCAGGGTCGGAGATCGTGCGGTTGGCGTGGCCGTGCCAGGCGCCGCCCCGTGACGGCGACGCGGCGCTGGCGCGCGCATGCGTGGAACTCATGTGCTCCGCCTACCGCAACCACGTGCTCCACCTGCTCGTGCGCCCGGCCTTCGTTGTCATGGCTTGCCACGCGGCACCCGGCGGCAGAAAAGGTACGACGGCCTCCTATTTTTATTGTAGAGTTGCTCTTTTTATATTTGTATTGTGTTTTTTTATTTTTCACGATCATTTTTTGCCATTTTTATCCCAAATTTTATCCGGCCGGGTGACTCAGCGGTTGAGCAAGCAGCTCGCAATTGGAAGGTTGTGAGTTCAAATCCCATATACCTCTGGGGTTGATTAAACAAAGTACCACTTTTTGTCGGGCAGTTCAACAGTGGTTGACTTCTCAACAACAGTGGTTGTCCTACGGATAGCTATGGACTCGCCACCCCCCCCCCCCCCCCACCATAGGAATGTGGAATGTCCACCACAGGCTCAAGCCTGCAAATAGGAGATGACCACAACGTCAATGCTGATTTGTGCTATCGAGATGTGTTAGCAACTGGTGTTGCCCATGGCCAGAATTCAAACTCGGCTGGCTGAGTTCATAGTGCAATGTGCTGACCGCTGCACCACTGTTTTCCAACCACAGAAGAATTACAATTGAAAAACATGAATTCTTACGAACACATCTTGATGCGCACATCGTGAGCTTAAGAATCAGTATTAATCGATGCATCGATACACTCTTACCTGGAATGGGTGCCGCACCGCGCCTGCTTTGCATGCAGTCCTGGGTTCAATCCTGGACCCAGGCGATGCCTATTGTATATTTGGAGTCCACGTGTTCTCTCTCTTCCCGTGGTGGTCGCATGGATTGTTCTCCGGGTTCCTCCTCCACATTTAGAATCAACATTCGTTTAGATAATTTGGCTGCTGCTATAAACTTCCACATGTGGTGATGATATCAGCCACTTCAGGGGCGATTATATCAGGCGCGCCGCGGTGGTGATATATTCACCACCTCAGCTGGTTTACAGGAGGTCGTGGGTTCGGTCCCAACCCTGATGCCTGTATATTTGGAGTTTACGCATTCTCTCCGGTTTTCCCTCATTTAGAACCAACATGCGTTTCGAGTATTTGGCTGCTGTACATTTCTACGTGATAAGCCACTTCGTTGGGCTATCATTTGTGGCCAGGCTGCTTCTGAAAAACAGCTACATAGCTCAGTGGGCCTTATGTAGTAAAATATATATTTTGTATTGTTTAATAGTTTCACTTCGATGATGAGCTTTCATCTGTGGCTAGGTAGCTCAGTGGGCTTAACCTGGTTAAATGACATCGCTTTAATTTCGTGTCACAGCTGGGTGAAGCGAGGGGGACGTGTCAACGGTTGTCAACGCAGTGACTGAGTAGGTGGTGACGTGCGTGCGCGTTCCTCTCAGATATCGTCTACTCCCATTTCTGCTTCTTACTGAAGCTGTTTGAGGACGACTTCATCTTCGTGCCGAACAACGAGATCAAGGTACCCGGCAGGAAAGGCGCGACGACCTCGTGTGTTTTTTTTCTATCGTAGAGTTGCTTTTTATATTTTGCATTGGGGGTGGTTCTCTTTTTTTTTATCACAATAATTCTTTGCCATTTTTCTCACAATTCTATCCGGCCGGGTGTTGAGCGAGGAGCTCGCAATTGTAAGGTTACGAGTTGTATGCATGTTGAACTTGTTTCACACCGTACTTAGCCAACCGTGCTAATCTAGGGTCGATAAAATGAGTACCACCGAACCCTCCGTGTGCAGCGCACCCCCAGCGGGGCAGGAGACCACCCCTACGACCCGCACAGCGTGGGGGGGCCCTCATCCCGCGGTACATTGACAAACGGGACGTGCATGTTTATTGTTGTTATTGTGATTAAGGGCCAATTAAAGCCTTAGCCTATTTCCGAAGCTAAGCCAGGGTTTGCCCTTGTTCACAGCTGAATTGGGCGATTGCCATGCACAATAGTTGTTATAGGTTGCGGGGCTATGTAGAGGGCAGCATGGAGAGCTTCGCAGAAAAAGCCATCATGCAACCGTACTTCTCTGCTCCCGAGCCTGGTGAAGCGTGGGTGGGCCCTCATCCTGCAGTGGATTGACAAAGCGGCTGTGGTGAGTGATATCTCAACAGCCCCCGCCCCCCCCAACTCTCCGTCACCCCCCCTGCTGCCCCCCCCTCCCCCCCCCCCCGACGACGCGCAGGACATGGAGGAGGGGGTGGCGCTGCTGCTGCGCTGTGCGGCGCTGGTGGACTCGGCCGGCTCCCTGGCGCTCGCCGACACCGACGCCGGCGCCAGGGTGGCGCGGTTCCTGCGCGACGCCTTCCGCCCATTCCACGTCGCCTACCAGGTGGGCGGCGCTCGCTCACGCGTCGATGTGCTTCGGGCACCCCTCCAGGAATCGCCCCGTTAACAAAGAAAGTTACTTAATTGTGAAAACTAGCGCGCTTGCGGACGAATGCCCATTGAGCCACCGGCGCTGTGTTGTTCACCAAGTGCTGCACAGCGACGGCTGCTACTGGCGGGTTCCCCTTGGCTGGATAACTGTGATTATGAGAGGCTTGTCACATTGCGGGTGCACAATAGAAATTCACGTTGTTTTTGAGAACCCAGCCTTAGCGTGTGCGGGTTTGCTGGCATCAAACCCAGCCATGCCAACTCTCCACTCTGTCCAACGAACATTGAGCCACACTGGCTACCTCCTATGTTCATTTTATTTCATTGATCAAACGTTACGCAATTTATCACAACGTTACGCTTAAGCATCCCCAGCGCTGGTGGCTTTCTCCAGAGGCAGTTGTTTTTGTACCATAGACTCCAGGTGGGAGAGTGGGGGGGGGGGGGGTAAGGGGGTCAACACCCGGCCACATCCACTGCTTTGATGCGATGACCTCCTGACCCCTGTCGTCCCCCGTTGCCACGTGGTCGGCACAGGTGGTGTGTCGGTACCTGCTGACGCTGGAGAGCGGCAGCGTGCACGCAGAGGGCCGGCTACTCGCCGACCTCCAGAACCACACCATGCAGCTCATCCTCACAGGTGCCGCCCGCCAGTGGTGTAGCTATCGAGTGTGCAGGCGGTACGACTGCACTGGAAGCCACGGGCCCAAATGGCGACCGTGGCACCGGACTACGAAGACGGAGAGAATAATATGGGAACAGGGAGCCCAATTTCATTTCTCACACCAGCGCCTGGGCCAGCCGCTCTATGCTAATTAGTAATGAATTAGAGATATGTAAATTCGAATCGACTCTTACACTTTAAGGTACACGGGTCGAATACGACACCTACGGGAATAGATTGTGTTTATTATGCTGAAGTTGTCTATGACCGAATTTCCCAGAATCCCCCGAGTGTTGTCAGATATCTCCGAACCAAAGCAAGGCCTTATCCTAGATAGTAGTTGGATGGGTGAATACCATGCATACCAGGTGTTATATGTTTTGGGGGGCGACATTGTGGGCGGTAAAGAACAGTGCAGCAAAACCCATTGTTTCCGTACGTCAAAGCACCCACGTCTTTGCTTCCCACACATTCACCAACCTGCACTGACCAGCTTGGTGAAGAAGCATGGTCAATTAATCCCCATGACCTGCACAGCATGCAGGGGGCTCTTATCGAGCAGTGTGATCAAGTGATTGGCCATGTATAGTTGGCTACGTATGGTGCGAAAGAAGTTCAACATACATGTAAATAGTTTTTTTCTAACAGCATTTAAACAACGGTGAAATGGAAATTGTTGTCGCTGTCTGCGTGTCCTGTTGACAACAGGTGAACTCTTGGAGTACGAGGCTCTGTCCAGCAACCTGCAGAGGAACATCCTGTCGGCCCTGGTTCGACTGAAGGCTCTGAGCAGGACGAGAGGGTGAGCGCACACACGGCAACGATTCTGCGCAAACCCTCCCTAGTGCTGTTTAACACGTAGGCTTTCGCGACGAATACCATCCATAATAGAGGTTTTTATTTTTTGGATTAGATCGCGTAAATATATGAATGTGTCGTTAAACCCGCCACCACCCGACACAGCCAACCAGTAAGGGTTGTCACGTAAACAGAACGTGGCCAATTCGTCACGAGTACAGCACTAACCGGTGTTTTGGAGAGCCAAGCCACGACATTTACAATCTGAGTACGACGTTTCGCCAGTAATTACAACATTGTGACCCATTCCCGTGCTGGCGAATGTTCCTTTTCGTCCTACTCTTAGGTTTTTTCGGTAAAGTCACGTAGGTAAAAAATTATAAAATAATAAATGAAAATAAATCAAAATTTTTTCGTTCTGTTTTTGCCAATTGCATTGCACATTTTTCCATTACTAACAGTTTGGGGGTTAAAAATGCCGAAGCTGTGTGTTACGGTGGTTGTGGTGAGATTTTTTTCACGTCGCTCTTTTATGTTCAGGAAAGAAGGTGTGCGGTACAATATCACCGAGCAGATGGAAAGAGTGGCCAAATCGATTGGTAAGTGTGTGTGCGATTCATTCAGACTGGTTTGTAAATATATCTAAGATCGAATATGTATGTTGTACTTCTTTTGCACCGTACATAGCCAACCGTGCTTCATCGGGGGACGGACAACAAATAATACTGTGTTCAATAGCATTTGATTAATCTGTGTACGTGTTTAGAATGAGTTTGTGCATCGTGACCGAGTGGTTCAGAGGTTGGAGCCACTGAGCTTGCACTGTTCAGGTCAATGGGTCCGCGTCCAGGTTTCAGTCGCTCGTAATTAAACCGGTTTCTCAAGTGTGGCGAGTTGATTTTCTCAGCCCAGTCATTAACGACTGCTCACACACACAATAATACCCTGTGTTAAAATCAATGGTGTGCTTCATTTGGCTACATTGCAGCTCCTAGAATAAGGACAAATGTCAGCTTGTGGCCATCAAATGCCGATCTCAAGTAGTGTGTGGGAAAGTGAGCCCGCTATTGTAATTTTTCTGGATGAAGCCCTGTGCAAAATCTATTTTAGAGCCATTCTCTAACCCATGGGTTGCGACTGCTCTGAACAAAAATTCAAATTGATTCTTCGTTTCACGACACGTTGCCGATAAACCAGCATCGGGAAGGCGTATTTTGTAACGTTTAGAAGTTTATGTACAGTAATATTTGTTTTTCATTTCTTTCAGCGACCTTACAACCCACTCACAGCCAATTTCAGCCACGTCTCTGAAGACTTGTCAATGATCGTCTCGCAGAAAGAAAGCCCGTTTACGCACAAATGAAGAGCTTGGCACAGTGTTGAGCACTGAGGAGCGTTCATGCACATTTTGCTTGCCATAGTGGTGGTCGTGGAGGTGTTGGCTGTGTTGACGGTAGTGGCGGGATTGATGGTGGTATCGGTGGTGGTTGTGGTGGGCGGCAGTGGTGGTTAGTGGTGGCAGGCCACAGTCGAGCTGGCTTTGGGGCCATCTCACACGAACTCTGGTGCTGCTGCTGGTTTTGTTTTGGGGTGAACGATAACGGTGAGGGTTGTTGCGCAGTTAATATCACTGGGTGCCTTGCACATTTCCATCGGCCTAAGCTGAATTAGTCCTCTCTAGGCTGGGTAGGAACGACTCAGTACGGGAGCAGTAACTTGTGCCCATCTGACAGATGCTTGTGTCGTAACCCTCTGGTCTATGAAATGAAAATATGACAAGTAGCAATTGATTGGCCCAAGGGCAACGCGGAGATGTCTAATGGTTATTATTAGAAATGTGGAAATTCGCCGATTAATTAAATCACCGGTGAGGTGGCCGGGTGGCTCAGGATTCGGAGAAACCCGCTGAGAATCCTGATTTTAATTCTGGGATTTAAGCCACCTGTGACAAAAACCGGTTCAAGTAAGTGTAGCAAGTGAATTAATCTATAGACTCATAACCACTATAGATTGCACATGCACTAAAAGGGACAAGTAATTTGTAAGTTACGTTGTGACCCTGAATGGTGACAATTAATCGAGACGTTGCATCGAAATTCACCGCGTCGTCGCCGGTTTTTATGCTACCATGCCGAAGTGCGGTCATCGTGCTTAATTGTTTTGATCGTGCCTGACGGGCAAACAGATTGACAAGCTCCAACAGTTACTTGCGTGCACATCTTATAATGCTATGCTGCTATGTCGTTAACACTTCGCTGACGTTTTCAGAACTCTTTTCCCCTTTCTTGGGGGGTGAGGGCTCGGAAGGGATGTTTTTTTGCTAAATGTTGCAAAATGTAAATTGTCCGTCTGATACAGAGCTTGAATGAAAAAAAAAATCTGTTTTTGATTCATGTTAAATGCTTGAGTGTGTACTTTGGCCTGTAAGATGGATATTTTAATGCGGTACAGCGGATTTTTGCTATAAAGAAGCCTTTCAAACCAGTTAAGAAATCCATTGAGACATTATTTTTTAAGGTTTTCTGGGATTTAAATAAGAGTATCGTAAATAAATGAAACAAATGGCACGATATTAAAGTCAAAAACATTTTATTCATGTAATTTTTTAATGTAAACAAAAGACAAGTAGTAATCTTAAACATTTAACAAGACACACATTTTGCACAATGCTCATTTAAAGGAGGCTGGCTACATTGATAAGGCTTTCAGTTTTTTTAAGCAAGACGTTTGCAAATTTAAAATCTGTGTATAACACATGTACATTAACAGTGTTTTAATGTTAACTGCAAAACAATTGTACACGCTTAACATGCTTGATTTAATACAACAGGGGGTGACTCACCATGAATGTCTTTCAAAGTTGATCAATTATCCTTCATTCAAATATAAATTTAAGTGGTTACAATCGGCACATGCCCCATGTTTATAAAATTCGGTCTACATGGCGTAGACGGTGCTGATTAATTTGAATTGGGGCTGTATGGTTCATGTGGGACACACAATAACATGTGTACGTATGTTCAGCATGGCATATACAGGCCAATTCAATTTAAGCAGTGCTCTACCTCACGTGGTACTCATATACACATAAGAAATATGTCTCAATCGACATCCTGTACATCATACGGGCTACTGTTTCGTAATCATCAGGCATATGCAATGTGTGGAATGAATGAGACGACAGAGGAGAGATCCCACGAAAATGAGAAAAATAATCGAACCTTGCATTAAATCGTGACCCCGGTTCCTGACAACTGTAATTCTGGTGGTGAGAGGGATGAATCGTAACATGCCGAGTTAATACTACACGTTGTCACCTTGCACCTAAGCATTTTTTGTAATCTAAAGTACAATTTCTCACGGGAGGTAGTATATTCGTCCTGAGTAGCTGGAAGCTGGCCGCACCGGTGATCCTACTGCAGGCACACATCAAGGTGATTGTTGATTTGCGACTCTGGGAGGCGCTGTTGACAAATGGGGCATGCAACCAGAAGCCCTGCAGCTAGGGACTCTCCCTGCCTCTCAGCCGGTCTGGCTGATGGGACAGCTTCTTTCTTCATCAGCATCTTGGAGTCATGAGTTCCCAGACTCGAAGGCTCTCGCCCAGACCCGCCACTGCCTCCTGCGTGTTTCTTTTGAAACATTTCGGTAAGCGTGGGAGTCCTGGACGTATGCTGCTCGGTCTTTTCACGCTTGGCGTCACTGGCTAATGCATTATTTCCGTTTCTGGAGCCTTGTATGCGAGAAGGAGATGGGAAACCGCCTCCGTGTTGCCTCTTTAGTTTACTCGGACTCTGAGCAGTTGGTGCTCCATTTCCGTCTCTCAAACTCTCTCGACCTTTGTATACAGCCAAGACTTTTACACCTTCGGGATCACCCTTTGGTTTTCCCTTCAGAGACACTCCTTTGCTAAAAGCTTTCGGATTGCTGACAGACTTCCTGTTGAGAATCGAAGCGTCGGGGGAACTTCTGCTCTCGCTTTCCTTGGTCTTTAAAAGCCAGCTGTCCATGTTACTCATAGAGCGACCACGATCGTATCCGTTTTTGCCCTGGGACGAGCTTCCCATTGCAGGCTGTGAGCCGGTCGGAAAGACAGGAGGCACTTTGAAGGAAGAAACTGCTGATTGGGAGGCTGAGGTCATAGTTTCTCTACCCGACACGGGTGTTTTTACCACCGTGGTTGTGGAACTGGCTTGTACAGCACTGTGTGGTCTCCCATTATTTTTGCTGCTGCCACCCGCCGCCACCAAGGAGAAAACCATTTCCTGAGAACGGGATGAACGTACGAATGTCTGTCCCGTTCTTGTCTGTGGAAAGAAATAAAATAAAATGCATTTTAAAACAAACTTGGGTGCAAGAGTTAACTCACACAAAGGTAATTGAGGGGTATCCTAAAGCGAAACTTGATTATCCACAAATGTTAACTATCCGGAAATTATGGCTTTGTTGAGATTATGGAGCTTAAGTGGAGTGAGTGAATTATTAAGTTCAACGTGCGGGCATCTATGAGGGAAATTACGCGATAAAATAAATTCAATGATGCAATACAATTTGGATTTATCGCATTAAAATGTAACTGCATTAAAATAAATGGATTGTCATGTGTTTTAATAAAACCCTTTAATATGCCCTTCAACTGTGCACAAAAACAAGCGGCACTGCATCTGCTTCACCTTTGGCCGGCGACTTCTTGTCGGCACGTCCCTTCACTCCGCCCGCTTGCGTCTGCTCTCCTTCGGCCGAAACTCTGCTCTTGCCAGCCGCCTTCTTCTTGTCTTCCGGCTCCCGCACCTTGACGTAGGAACCGTTGCACGTCCGCTGGTGCTCGTCCCACCAGAAGTCTCGCGGTGACGGCGCTCGGTTCATGGCGCGCTTCACGTAGCCCATGTACGGCGGGCGCAAGCGGCACGGCCCCGTGCAGCGCCACCAGTGCTGGCGGTAGACATCCACCTCGTCGTGAAAACTGTGGTAGATCTGCCGTAAGCAGAGCAGATGAGAGTGATGAAGTTATTGAACATCCTCAAAAGTAGAACGTTTTGTTCCATTTTCTGAAACAAGTCAGAAAAATGCAGAGGTGCACGCTTGGAATTACACTTGAGGAGGTGGACAGAACATACGAATTCTACTTCGATGAGCGACGTGTCCTGTCCAAGCAGGAAACATTGGCCAGCGTCTAGACCGTCGTTCTCTGGCACAGGGTGACAATGCACCACGAGCTGAAGAGTTCGAATGGAAATTTCTTCGGCGGCTCCTGACATACGATGCCGATGCCGACACCGAAATTGTGGAGGGAAAAAAGCAAACAAATGAAAACCATGGCCGGAGAGCGGGTGCTTGCGCAGGCAGAGCTCCTCCTGGGTGAGAGTGTACCGTGATTTTAGTTCCCGTCTCCTTGTTGATGCGGTCCATGTGTTTGCAGAACTCGGTGCCGTGGCCTTCACGATCGCGGTTGTTGTGCGTCACAAAGAGCAGCGCGTGGATCATCTCGTGCAGCAGCGTCTGTAGTAGCAACAGCGCGGGTTAGACCAGGGGGTCGGTGGCAAACTGTGGCTCTTTAAGGACTGCTTTGTGGCTCCCGACACTATAATTACAAAGTAAAAAAGAAAACCTGAATTATTTTTGATGAACGGTGAACTTCTAAAAGCCCGAAACTGATTTGTAGTCCGGCATTACGAATCATTGTGTGTACTGTTTTTAAAATAGTGATTACAAAAAATGTGGTTTAATATTAAGTACCGCCTTGTATTCACATGCATTGCTGCTCTCAATTTTTTTTTTATTTTGGTTGCCGAGCCCTGGGTTAAGACCATATGGGATACGGTACAATTGCTCTTTTATCACGTAATCTTCATTCATAAATGCTGTAACAGTAAGTTACTGTTTTACTTTTAAAAGCAACTTCAAGTGATAATTACTATGTTTCCTAGTCGATAATAGTATTGGGGGAAACAAAATGTGTTGTACATTGTGTACAGCCCTTTGTTGTCAATCCACTGCCTCACCCCGTGAAAGTCATGAGAGGCCCTCATCCAGCATACTTCACCACGCTGGTCAGAGTGGGTTGGTGAAGGTGGGCAGCAGAGCATAGATGTTTGAGCTTAGTACAGTACAATAGGGTTTGCCGCACTGCCCTCTGCCATAAATGTCGGCCCGCAGCAGCCAATAACACCTGTTTTATGAATGGTGGTCACCCATCCAAGCAGTATGCAGGAACAACCCTCGCTTGGCGTTCTAGATATGTGGAGATCGGGCACATTCCAGGTGAGTAGTCAGACTGCGTATAAATACACCAATCAATTTATGGCCAATAGGCAGGGTTTTGGACTCTCGATTAACACGGGCGACAATCTCACCGCGATGAATTCGCACCGAAATAGGAAGACTCCTTCACAATTCTGGCAAATCGCCTGATGAAGCTGGTTGTAATCAGCGAAACGTCGTACTCGAATTGTAAATGTGGGTTGACTCCAACACACCGGTGTGCTGAAGCAGTTACTAATTGCCACGTTTTGTTACGTGACACACATTAAATGCGCTGTATCGCGTGGTGGTGGGTTGACAAATTTATACTTACGCGATCTCACCCATTAAAACCTTAATCATAAACACTATGGGTCTCGAAAGCCTACCACGGGTTAAACTTAACTGATGGCAGTGGGAACCTTGAGCCATCAGCATTTGCTCACCTCAACCAGGTCCTTACGGGGCCGAAGTTTGAGCAGGGGCTCGCTGAGCTTGATGGAGCAAAGGCCGCCTCGGCCCTCGTAACAGCACACACCTGCACAGCTACACCATGGGGGGTGACACACACAAGCCAGTTTACATGCTTGAAACACCAACGGGCAACACAATCGTTTGTACCGGACTTCGAATGCGCGGCTACAGCCCAGTAATTGTGCTCTATACGCAGGGAACGAACTTGTATATGGAGCACAATCTCCACCCAGCCAGGCCAGAAAGAACAACTCGTAGCCACCGCTAAGCGAGATAAATATAGTTATTTGGATGCAATAATCCAGCATCCTATCAAAAACCATCCTCCAAGGCATCACTGACGGGACTTGAAAGAGTGCGCCCACATAAGCCTTGGATTTAGAGCGTCAGGCGGACGGGTTTAAACCACAACGAGCGAATCCGCAACCAGATGACGATTATGTTGGCCTCACATCTGCACGTAGAGCAAAACAACACCGTCTTGTCGTCACCCGACACAACACTCCCCCCCACACACCACCACACCTTATAACAATACTTCACCCACCACCGTAACCACCATCACAACAGAAAATGATGTACATTTCGATTTAAAGCTTTCGTGACTGCAGGGATTCATCTTCTTGGTTCTTTCGGTAAAGTCACGTAGAAGGGAAATAATAAAACATAATAAAATACAATTCTCACGACGTTTTGGCCATAACGCAAGGAGGACGGCTGCTTGCGTTGTGGCCGAAACGTCGTGAGAATTGTATTTTATGTTTTATTTTATCATTTCCCTTCTACGTGACTTTACCGAAAGAACCAAGAAGATGATGTACATCTCAGATGACCAATCTCTCAATTCCAAGGGGTGATACGTTACTGAAACTATTAACAATGTCAAGTTAATGTCAATAACTTGTCCGGAAATACCTAATTGATACCACCATCACCATAGCCATGACGGCCAGCGCACTCACAGGGTCATTCTCTTGCTCCACTTCACTTCGACGCCCTGAAGCTTCCCCCAGAAGAGCGCCTCGTTGTACTGAGAGAAGAGCGCCCACACGTTCGGACTAGGGTCGATCAATTCCCAGGCAGAATCGACGATGGAGAGAGGCCGAGCCCGGCGCTCGGAATCGCCGGGCCGGGGGGCCACGTCACCGGGCAGGGCTTTCAGGAGAGACCGAGGCTTCGGCCTAGCCCACCCGACCTCATCATCGGCCAACTTCGGCCGTCCCTCCGCGCGCTCCTCCTCCTCGCAGTCAAATTGATTTTGCAGCTGCAGTGCGAAGGCGAGGTCGGCGTCCATATCGATATATTAACGATGTCAATGTTAGTTATGTCCGGGCTAGATACTTGTTGAGACGATTTGCTCGTTGGGTAACGGGGCACATCATTGGTGTGTGTGTGTGGCTACGGAAGCCGAGCCGTGTTGGTGAAAACGCGTTTTAAAACATTCGCATCATGACCAAAACGCGATTTAAAAAAAATAAGTATAAAGTTGATAACTTAGGTCATTGGGAATAAGCTACATACGTTCAACTTTAGAGAGGCGCGGGGAAATCATGTGGGAATATAGTTGTTACGTATTGCATACCTGTCAACCCCTTATCATTGCCGACCTTATTTATTTTGGTGATTTCGAAAAAGTTTTTTGGTTTGGCCATGTTTTGTTTGTTGTAGTACGGAGTTCGACTGATGGCTTTAATCTAAGTTGTCTTGTGGTTGTTGTTGTTGTTGTTTGACTTGCATCCCACTGGGATTTTTGCACACAGCGTCGGTGTACGGTGCTTTTTCTGGAAGTTTTTGCTGTTTTTTCCTGGATTTTTTGTTTGCGCGTAGTCACTTTAAGATGTTTTCTTGCGGAGGGAGCTGGTAGGAACGTTGGGTTGCTCGGTCAATGGCCAGGGTCAACGGCGGCGTGATGTATTCCGCAAATATGCCCGACTGTGAGGGCGGGCACAAGCCGGCGTGAGTAGGTTAAACGTTGAGTTTTATAAGGGCACCACGGGGTGACCAGCCCCTCCCCACCCAGCCCCACCCCTCCCACCCCCCAGCCAGCCCCACCCTCCCCACCCAGCCCCACCCCTCACCCAGCCCCACCCTCCCCACCCAGTCTCTCCCCTCCCCACCCAGCCCCTCCCCTCGCTCCCCACCCAGCCCCTCCCACCCTCCCCACCCAGCCCCTCCCAGTCCCTCCCCACCCAGCCCCACCCATTTTTGGATGCACGACTAACGGACGGACACAATAAAATCCCCTGTGGGCTGGTGTAACCAGGAGGTTCGGTTCCTTCCAGTATAAGCTCAACGAAGTGGCTTATCGTGTGTAAATGTCTATCTGTCGAATAACTCTAAACGCACGGTGATTGCAAATGTGAAGGGAAAAACCGGAGACAATTCCACGCGACCACGGGGAGAAGGGACACTGCAAACTCCAAATATTCATGCGGCAGGGTCGAAACCCATGACCTCCTTGCATACCAGGCGTGGGAGATGACCACCTGCACACCAGTTGAGGGCGATCACATCCCACCACCGCAAAACCCCGAAGTAATGTGGTGTTCAATTGCCCACACGTCCTCTCTTCATAGATTGTGCATGCGCAGTTACGGCAAAATCGTCACCCCCAACCCTCTCAACTCCCCCGGTCGCTTCGTTTGCAGCTGGGCAGACTCAGAATCGCAAGGCACGGTGACCACGTGCACTCCCCCATATTAACGCAACGTTTTGGTTTAGCCATGCTTGTTTGTTGTACTACAGTGAGCCTGATACATTTAATCTACATTGTCTTATGGTTGTTATTGTTTGACTTGCATCCCACTGGGATTTTTGCACACAGCGTTGAAATACGGTGTTTTTTTCTGGAAGACTTTGCTGTTTTTTTCCAAGATTTTTCTGTTGTGTGTAGTCACTTTAAGATGTTTTTTGTTCATGTTTTTGTTTTGTTGCGGTTGCACCCGAATCAACAGCCGCATGGCTCACAGGGTTATTTCCATATATATAAAAGGCAAAGTTTTGATTATGTGTGTCTGTTCAAAATGCAGTGATACCTCGGTTCACGAACGCTTCGGTTCACGAACAACTCGGTTCACGAACAGAAAATTTCATAAAAATATGCTCCGGTTCACGAACTCCGCTTCGGTTCACGAACAGGAGCCGCGGCCATTTTTGTGTTTAGCGTACTTCCCGACATGCAACAAACTGGAAATTTGTCATTTGGGTACTTTCCAGACTGTACACTATGCAAAAATTATAAAAATATACTTTTGGTTTTTTGGGGGGAGGGGAGCTCAATAATGCAGATATTTTTGCACGGCAAGTGAGCTGTGACGTCAACTCTGTCACGTGACCCGCGCACGTGGAAGCGTAACGCATTGTAGTGTAGAGCGCGCTATGGTACGAACCCGGAGACCCGAGTTCGATTCCCGCTCACGGCCACCACCGTTGACGATTATTTGAACCGGTCCTGGGCCTCCCCGAGGTCAACTCAGCCTCAAACGAGTAATTGGTGTGGTGTGTGAACATCGCCACTGGAGAGACAAAGGCGGCCGGGCGTGGTGAATCCAAGTTCCGGGCGATGCCGGATAGTAAAGCCAGTGTTTATATATGGGAGAAACCCGGAGCGCTGAGTAAACCACGCATGCGAGGGAGGGGGGGCAACACTTCTCCCAAATGGATGGAACACAGAGTCCACGTTTTTCTGCACCACGTTCTTCTGGCAAGGCAGGGTTACAGCTTCACGTTCACGTCCACGGGGAGTTTCACAACATTTTTGGTCCACCAACCCACACCTCCACACGTGTTCGAGAATCTGGGTTTCAGCCGCCCGTTATTAAACCAGATTCTTTGGTGTTGTGATCACAAAACGGCTCATTCCAGCTGGGAATTTAAAACACCAGTATGACTCTTGCAATAGTCTCCTAAGTGTGTGTAGGAGGGTGTGCTACTTGTATGTAAATTACGGTTAGACACACAGAAGTCTTGGGTCATTTGTTGACCACCCTTGATGTCCTCGTGGTATCAACACTGATATAGTCAAAGGTATTTTTGGGTGAGATTGCGTATGTGTCGTGACCAATATTATCGTGTTGATGATACTTAGTCCATGAGCCCTGAACAGATATTTCACTGTCAGTACAGTACCATGCGATGGCATAACTGTAGTGGTTCAAATTTATGAATGTGGCCAACAATTGTGAAAAGAGTGGGTTAACACATTCACTCTGATTGACCACACATATAGGTAGTCACATTTCTGATCATTGGTGGTACCAAAGTTTGCTCTGGCCCATGGACTAATTACGCCTCAACACCTCGTGCCCTCACAATTCGATGAACTCTCACAATACGGCCACAACGACGTCAATATTTTGGTGCATTGTAGCGCCTATATATGTGGTTGTAGAGCAGTGTTTTTTCACAAACTTTTAGAGGGGGGCAACTTTCGCCGATAAGACATCAGTGCGAGGGCCGCCACACCGCCTGCAAGGGGTGGTTTCACATTTGTGTATTGTCGGGGGCCGCACGTCAGGGGCCACACTAAAGGTCACCAGGGGCCGCCAGTGGCCCACGGGCCTTGCAATGAAGAACACTCAAGAGGGTCATATTAATTGCAAACCATAGGCAAATTCAGCAGCCATCAATTCTTACGCAAAGTTCGATGAGTGCATCAATTAACAAAAATGTTAAGCTAATCGATGTATTGTGTGGCCATCACTAGAACACAACCTTTTGGGGCTTAAGCACGCCTGGAGAGAAAACAAGGAGTCTTATCTAAATCATAAACCCCACCCAACTCGACCTTGAAGCTTAAAAGTGCATATTATAAGAGTAAGGTCAAGTGCATTTAAGTTGCCAAATTCCCACCGAAAACCCCTTAGGCTTTTAAGTGGAAAATAATCTATAACACCACTCATCTTTGCTAATCTCTACTAGTGTCAAAATGTTTAAATATAGAAAAGAAAATCAATGAAAAAATAGTTTCAGATTTCACATATCAACATGTAAATTCCAACACAGTGATTGTTTTCAAATGCCAACTAAATGTTTATTAAATATCTGAGATATTTTTTTTTACAATAAGACACAGTAACTTGAAATAAGTTCCAATTATGCATTACATTTTTTAAAAAATGCTTCCTATTTTAAATGAATGTAATAATACAATTCCCACATCCAATTTTAAATGGGAATGAAGTGCGCAGCCTAACATCGTGTTGGTAACTAGGTATGCGTGCCCTGTGGACATTTTCACATGCATAGGAAGGCAAGGGAGAACCAGAGCAAACACAGGAGAGAGGTCCAAGACGTGGTTCATTAATCATTTCTGGAGGCGTCTTTCATGTTCGATCTGTCATTTATTCTACCATAATTGCCGAAGACCACAGCACCAAAGCACACAACCAAAGGTGGCGGGTGGCCGCACACAATGTCAAACTGAAAAACGCTAACAATGAGCCACTATGTTAAACAGACATTCCCCCTCCCACCCCCTCATCGAGTCATCATCGTGAATAGATGGCGGTGCCATACAAGTTGTATTCACGTGCGTGGGTGTGCCTTTACTTTGGGCCGTTTGACACAGGCTGGAGGATTCATTATTTAGTTATCTTTTCCCTTGTAGTTGAAGGCATCACCGAATGGCAATGAGGCCGATGTCGATCAGCTTCTGGATTTTTTTCGCAATCCCTGGGTTCTTCAAGTGCCTGCAAGAGAGCCAAGTATTTACACGCGTTCATTTGAACAAGATCACTCGGATTTTTTTTTTTTTACAAAAGAACTTCTGCCAAGTGTAGCAAGGTTCACCACTCAATACAAGTGAGGACTTGAAATTGAGCTGTGGGGCTGGGACGGTTGAGATGTGTGGGGGAGCGGAGTATGGGTGGAAGCAGAGAGTGGGGGGGGGGGGGTGAGTACTGCTGTAGAGTGACGAGTGCACTGGAGGTGTACGTGGCTGAACCTCGAATAAATTAACTGTACTGGCATCACAATGCACGCTGCCTGGACATCCGACGTGCATCTTATTTACTGGAGTGAAGGCTCGGGAGGATTCCCAGATTGTGTCTGCGCAAGTGTCCCGTAGGACAAGGCAAGCACCAGAGACGGGACAATGTTTCGAATCAAAATGGAGCAGCAGAGTATACAGCAAGTGTAGATGGACGCATTAAAAGCTAGAGGTTTTGATGGCATGGCTGCATAGATGCATATGAAGAGTAAAAGTGGGCTTGGGCACGACACATTACTATAAAGGGATTATGGGTGTGATAATCACAGTGGCAGCCAAAGGAGTAAACACGTCCACCACAAAGGAGCAGTGAAATCAGCTCGAATGTAGATTTTAGATGGATTATTACATCACAGGACCATGAGAGAACTACTCCGGGAGGCCTTCATCCAACTGCGAATTACGATGGCCACATAACTGTGAGTAACCCATGTCCGTGGTTCTGTGTGGGACTCACTCTTGCAGGGCCCGCGGATCCTTCTGCATCTGCTCCAGGATGATACGCATCGCAGGGTCCGACATAATCTGCTGCACCTCAGGGTCAGACGCTGCACGTCTCTTCACGGCTTCCGGGTCATCCTCTCGCGTGTACTGCGAGATGGTGCACCGTTGGTACCCTTCTGTCGCTTCCTAAGCACGACGCAGAGGGGAGGCAACCGTGTACGAAAACCACAGGCAAAAACGCCACCGCGCACGAGTAGCACAGCAGAAGCACGTGCTTGTGTGTGTGTGTATATATATATATACACACACACACAAGCACCGTATATGTAAGCGATCCGGCCAGGTGGCTCTGTGGTAGAGTCAGCTGCTCGCGATCGGAATGTTGGGAATTAAAATCCTATGATTTCAATTCAAATCCTGGCTGGGGGTTGACTCAGCCCATCATTCCTCCGGGGTCAATGCAATTAGTACCAATCTGTGAGGAAGTAAAGTGGTTGTCCCGTAGATATACTCGCCCCTGCCGTAAGAGAGGGGCACCACCTCAAGGCTTACTTGAGCAGGACATCGCTTTTACTTGACAATACAAGCACAGATCTGATATAAACAATACATGCTTACATTGCACTAGTGGGGGAAGCCAAAGGGCAAGATCTGATCTAAGCACACCTCATACATAAGCACAGTTGGCCTCGTTCCCAAGGAGTGTGCTTAAATACAGCTTCTACTGTATTATAATTCATGCCTTTTGATAAGATGATTTGGGTAACGATTCAAGACTTTTTTATTTTCTCAAAATTGTTATCCAAATTATGCTAAGTCAGACCTCTCGCAGAGAAGTGCAACCCTTCGTGTTAAAGAATGGTCTGCAGAAACGGATAACACAGATCTACCGTTGACATGACCTTCAAGTGACCTCTGGTCCACACAGTAGCAATGATCGTCACGTGGTCATCAAACTGATATTTTGAATTCACAGGGATAAAATTAGCTTGCGTGCAGGACCATGGTTAATATCATGGGTTCTTATATCCTGTCATTGGTGACCAAGCTGAGATCATTAACTCAGTGGAGAACCCGGTTTAAGCATAGGGCGGCTGGGCCTGGATTTGAACCCAGGGTATCCAAGCGTTGACAGCTCAGCGTTCTGACAAGTCATCCAGCCACCTCAAGTAAATATCTTTTTCATTGTGGTGAATGTAGCAGCACCACCTTGTGGCTCCATAGGTCACATTAACCCATTACACAATACAAATACAATTGAAAACATCCATTCTCAGGGCATGCGACCCAATGCCTGAGAAATCTGTTTTAAAATTATCAATCAGTGCATTCCGTGTTGGTGTCTGACTCTATCAGACACCAACACGAAGGAGAGTGTGGCAGGCAGTACCTTGCAGTTAGGGTCGAGCTCGATGGCCTTCTGATAGACATCCATGGCTTTGGCAAAGTCCTTCATTGCTTCCATGGCAGCAGCCTTCCTGGTGTAGCCCTTAACTGGAAAACACAATTTGAATATTCCCACATTGACTCTAGTTTTGAATTCCAATGGCTTGGAGGGGGTACAAATGGGGCTTAAAGCAGCCAATTACATTGTCAATGGCACTTGTGCAAAGGAGCATCTCTTGAAACACTTACTGAACGTCGGATCCAATCGGATGCAGTCTTCACAGTCCTGTCGGCGCAGAGTCAACAGTCAATGTTTAGCGTTGCCATTTGGAGGAAGAAGTTACAAAATATGAGCGCACTGACAAGGGGATGCAACAAAACAATGCAGGATCTGTGGCACTTCCAACAACATATTACAGATTTGCAAATTTCGGCAAACTATTTACAGTACAACCTATTCAAACTGTTTGGTGCATGCAGAAATTATTTTTCACCGCACATAGTTAACCACACTAATCGGAGGTGTGTACTAATGAAGCAGGTATATGGTTCTAGGGATGAACACCTGGACCCCCACTCCCTCCCCACCAACCCACACTGACCACCATGGTGAAGTATGGTCAAACAATCGCCACGACCGATAGAGCATGGGGGGTCTTAATTCAGGAGCGGATTAATAAAAGGTTACCAATTATCTAATGTTTTGCCTGCATTTACATGGTTAATCTATGACCAAATCACCCTGACTTTGCTCAATATTGTCCAATCTCTGAAGCCAAGCAGGATCAAGCTTGTAGTGTTTGGACAGGCAACTGCTGTGCACGATAGGGTTGGTGTTGTTAAAGACTGCATTGGTTGGCAGCAGAAGGCAGTGCAGCAGGATCTATTGTTGTCCCGTACTTTCTCGTCAACCCGCACCTTCCAATACATCGAGACAAACCCAGCGCCGCCTGTTTGCCTAAAATCACACCACCCCTTCTGGATCAATGCAGCCCGACTCCACTCCACAAATTAAAATGAAGGCAAGAAATGGAAGCAAGTCTGGACTGTGACCGACGTCAAAAGTAAACATCTCATACAAGATCCTACCATCGAACCTTCCACACCGGCAACGGTCGACCATCAACCGAATCAGGACCGTGCATGGCCGATGCAGTCACCCGATGCGCAAAACGGCCACAAATCCCAAACCATTGACCGCATCGTAAAAACTCCGCTACTGCTGTCTTCAACTCCTTTAAAGGAGGAATGGACGAGATCCACTCTACGTCTGAACAGGCAATCGAGTGGATAAAACATCTACGATGACATCTTTAATCTATGAATACACTTTTCTGCACCTTCGCCAACAAACCCACACTGGCCAGCGTGGTCAAATCTGGTCACACACGGCATGAACAGGTCCCTTGTCCAGCAGTGGATTTGACAATGGCTGTACATGTTCCGCTCATGTTATTCAGAGCGCTCAGAACCTTTAGTGCCAGTTGGAACTCCGCCAGCTTGGTGTAGCATGCAGCGCGGTTGCTGTACAGCTTGGCGTCGTTGGGATTGCGGCGCAGGGCTTCCGAGTAGTGCCTCATGGCCATCGGGTAGTCCCCTGTGTGGAATCGGGAACAAGGACGGTGGCAATAAGTGCATCGGTGTGGCATGTCGCAGCTCCCATTACCCACACGGCACCGGCTGTCCTTGCGAAGCTTCGCGGGAATATGCAGGCGGATGCAACCGAAACTTTTTTTCCCCAATCAAGCGCTGCACCGTTGTACAGTATTCCCTCGTTATTTGTGAGGGATACGTTCCGAGGATGGTCATGAATAGCAAATTTCATGGATAATGATATTGACCAACGGAAACCTTAAATATATAGGCTATTAAATACATAAAAATATCATATCACCAAAAAGTTAAATTTGGTTTATAAAAATATTAAATTATAAATATTAAAGTATTGCATCACTTTCTCTCTCACCACTTTCTTTCTCTCAACGCAGTAGAGTACCAGATGCGATTCGCGTATGGCCAAAATCGCGGATAGCAAGTTCGTGAATAACGAGGATAAACTGTAATAAAATTTCAGTTTTATTATCGCATGCGTGGTAAGAGTTACGAACGGTTAAAAGTTAACAATGATTAAAAACAGTGACGCATGACTTTCGTTTGTCTTAATCTTCATTAAATATACTAGGGCGGGCGGGCGCTGTGAACACGGGAAATACAAGTTCGCTAACATCAATGGCACGTGAAGTCTGAACCAGTCCCTGGGACCCCCCCCCTTCCATTTTTCACCCAGCCACAACTGACTGGCGTGGTGAAGTATGGTCAAACAACCTGCATAACTGACACGGCGTGCGGAAGCCTTCAGCCGGCAGTGGATTGACAAAAGAGCTGCACATTATATAAATCCACAGGGAGGCACACAGCTGGAACACGGCTATTGGATACGCACTGCAACTCGGGCGGTTACGCAAGCACATATGGCAACCATTACTACTGGCTGCGACAGGTGCCAACTATGAGGCTGGAACATTTACGTTGTCAAATGGGTGAAAGGTTAATCAAGCCAGCATCCATAAACACATCTTGCTGGATGAACAGCTTTGCAATGAGTGTCTTGTCAGGGCTCTGCAGGGACAGGGTGTCGAAGACACGCACCGTTAGTGAAGCTCTCATTCCCCTTGGTCTTCTCCTCCAGGGCCAGTTCAGGGTTGATGTATAGCAAGCGCTCCTGCTCTGCCAGAATTTTTTCCGCCTGTGCAGAGCGCATACCATTTTGGTGAGCCAAGGCTAACCAACAGCAGACGCCGAACACTTTCTTTTGGGCTAGCTTACCATGCATTTCTTACATTAAACCACGGATATGCCAATCGATTACATGAATCCTTGCAAAAATACTTCTTCTAAATGTCGCTTATACAAAAGCTGCAGGATCTAGCAAAAGGAATGAAGCAATTACGAAGATGTGGCGGCATCATAAATCAAGGTCTGATGGCCTCTTTTCTTGACACAGGGCATGCAACCAAAAACCTTTTTCCAATAAGGATACACAAGGTCCACGATATACTCTACAATAGCCGAGGGCCAATCATCACTGCCAAAGTTTACTGCTCAATTATTTGTTTTGTAGGGAAGCTGCGATACAATTGGGATTTAATTAGTGTCTAAATACAACCAAATCTCAAGACGCTCTACAAAAAAGGTGGGCATCATTTATATTACCGAAAGAGACAGCTATAGGCAGAGGGAAGAGGTCTTGAGCCTGAACTTGAACAGGGGTAAAGAATCAACAGCGAAGCGTTCCAGACTACAAGGGCAGCAATGGAGAATGACCAACCTCCCACTGAGTGAAGACAAAACCACATCACTATATGCTATTTCTGCCATGCTCTAAGTGGATGCATCGCTGGCGACAACTGCCCTGAGAAATTGCCCTAGAGTTCTTCAGTTAGATATTTTCCAGCAGGCCACATCATAAAATTAGCTTGTGCTGGTGGCCCACGTGATGTCATGTTTTGACATCCGTCCATGACCGCCAAAAGTCTCCCAGTTTTTTGCTTGTATCCCAATAATCCTTAGCACTTGTCTACAGCTCTCTCACCTCCCTATCGGTTCTTTATTATCGCTTTCATCTCAGAAGTACCCTCAATATTTACGCCGGTGAGCCATGGTCTCTCGGAACCACGGCTCGAGAATAATATAATCCTTGGCTGCATTAAACAAACACCAGCTGTGTGGGGATATCTCACCAGCTGGCACTTCTTGAGGACGTCAGGTGTGCGATGTTCCGTAAGGGCCTTGTTGAAGGACTGGATGGCCTCCTTGTACTTCTCCTCCTTGAAGTGAGAGTTTCCAATGCGTGCATATGCTCTGTGATGTGACAAATCATGGACAAGTCATATCACCGCTGCATCCTATTAATTCAAGACAACTTCAAAGCTCGTGCTTATTAGTTGCGTTATTAGTATTATGGCGGCGAGATGTTAACTACCTCGCCTGGCATACAGGACGTTGTGGGTTCGATCCCAAACTCCTGATGCCTGTATATTTGGAGTTTGCATGTTCTCCTCCTGCTCACGTGGATTTTTCTCTTTTCCCTCCCCATTTAGAAATAGGTGTTTTAGAGTATTTGGCTGCTATAAATTTCCACTTGCTAAGCCACTTCGTTGAGCTGTCATTTGTGATAGCCAGGTTGCTTTTGAAAAAGATGTATACATTTTTTATAGTTTATAGTATTATGCTTGTTTATCCAAGAAAGTCTCACCGAGTCTCGAGACTCTTTTTCAGGAGGGTCCTGCCAAGTTTTTAGCTCTAGGGGGCGATATTGCCGAGTGCAATCACAATTGATCAGCCCGCAGGCACTGGGACGTTTGGCCCAAACAACTGACACCATCACGTTTTGTCTAGCCACGGGAGGAAACCAGAGAACCTGGAGGAAAACCCACGCAAAACGGGGAGAACATACAACCTCCACACAGAAAGGCAGCGTTTGTACATTATGCCCATGTTCTACATGGTTTTCCTACAAAGCTTAATACATCACAATTGTTGTTGTCCATTGTAGATGCATACATCCAAATGTTTGACTCCTAGTTCAAGGTAGTCTCATGATTGTAAAAATATCCCCCTCCCAATCAATTGTATCCCAATTGTGCTATCGGTGTCACGGCACTATATGAAGATTCCATCTGAGCAGTGGAAGCCACTGTGTTGGAGAAAGACCCACAGAAGCGGATACCAAATTAGGTGCACAACCAAATTTGATGTGGAATTTATGTACAGCTATTGATGCCGAATAACTACACTTCAGAACCTGATTTAATCACAGGCAGCTGCCTGGATTTTAACCGAGGATCTCAGTGGTACCCGACTTAGCGCTATGACCTGAGCCACCTGGCCAAGTCACGTATAAGGTAGCTTACATTTTTTAAGGTAGCTATTTAATCACGTATAAGCCTCCCTTACAATGAGAGCCCCAAGCATCTGTAAGTTTTTCTCACTCCTGAAGCAGACACTAGCACACTCACTTGGCCATGACCTTGTAGTCCTCGCGATTTTCTCGTCCCACCTCAATGGCTTTGTCGCACTCCTGCCGGCACTTTTCATACTCGCCTTGCTCAAAGTACACCGCTGCAACGTACGTACAACACGAACCAGTGCTGGGTTATTCTCATTCTCCTCCGAGAATGTAGATTAATGTCACCGGCACTGCAATGTCACCAATACCACTTTTCCAGCGGTAAATGCTAGCCGAGTCAGTGCAGATCCACTGCGGTATGGGTGATTTTCCACTGGCTACTTTCCTGTGCCGAGCTGGAATCAAACCCTTGATATGCAACCCTCAGAAGACATCTGGATCGGGGACCAAGCAGGGCCATTGTAATGATGCATTTCAGTGCACGTGACATCAGTAAGTACACCGAAGACACGGCATAAATTCACATGCATGCGACTGTACTCATTCGTTACAGGGCGTAACCATTAACAGTCGAAAAGCATTCTGGTGCCTCTTGAACAATGCCGGCTGGCTTGGCAGGGCCCTGGCTCGGCTTGGTTGTGCAGTGGACGGTGGTCTTACCGGCCTTGTTGGAGAGGTAAGTCATGTTAGTTGGGTCCAGCTGAAACGCTTTGTCGTAATGCTCCAAGGCCACATCAAAGTTCTTTTGCTTGTATGCGGAATTGCCAAGTTCTTTTTCTTGCAGAGCCTGAAAAATGTGAACAAGCTCAACTATCGCTGCTTAGAAATACACTGGCCGATTTGTTGAGCTGCTCATGACCGAGTCTGGCACGTCAATTACTTTACTTAAAAATCGGATCGCAACCTCGCGATCACATTTTATGGATTCACGGCTTATTAAACAAGAGTCTAGTGGAACTGTATGAGAAATAATATATGAATATAGACAATACAAATGTAAAAATGGGACAAAAAAAGAATGGATTCTTGAATCGAATCGTGACACTAAATTGAGAAGTGTAATTTACGACCAAGGTTGGGTGATTTGTTGCATGCCTACATACAACTGTCATGAATAACAAAGGGGAGGCCTTCATCCAGCAGTCAATGGGACAGTTCTGTAAAATAGGATTTTTTATTTTATTTAATATGCTTAAAACTTGACATATCCACAAACCAAATTTTCCAGTTATGGGCTGACCAAAATTGCAAGTGGAAATGTTAACCTTCTTTATTTTTTTACTTAGGCTTAAGGAACTTTGTATATGGACGTTTTTGAAGAGTGCTGAAACCAAATGTTATAATCGGATTCTCGATAATTCCATATTTTGGGTACTTTTTGTTTAAAAGCGTGCTCAAAAGCAGGTCACAGTCCATTTCTCCAGTTGCTACCACCATAAATATAAATCAAGAATGGTGTCGTTAATCAAACAGATATATTTTTTCCCCCCAATGCAAACCTGGCGCTTGTTCTCAGGAATGTCCTCCTCCATGGGCTCTGGTTTAGGCTCCGGTTTGGGCGTCGATTTGGTTGGAGGCGTGGCGGGCGAGTCGTCCTCGTCATCGTCATGCATCTGCAGGTCGACTCCCAGCAGCACGCTCAGCGTCACCATCACCCGCGGATCTTGCAGCTTGCTGCAACGGCGGCAAAACACCGTCAACACGCAGCACGGTGTCACAATTCGAGCAGCGTCACAGCCCAGTTAAGCGTCACAGGCCATGCGGTGTCACAGCCCACAGGGGGAGCAGCAGTTACATGCACAGTAATACAAAAATATAATGTAGGGGTTGTTGCGACAGAATGAGTCGCCTCCTAATGAGACTTTGATTGCGGTAGCAGAAAATACGTGGAGGGAAGTAGAGTGAAATGAGTGGGAGAGGTAGGCAAGGGTGAGTCCGTGGAGGATTGTGAAGACAGTGCGATCTTTAAATTGATCTAGAATTGAATTGGGTGCCAGTGGAGGCATCGGCTGGAGTCTGGCAGCTGCACAAGATTGTGCCATCACACCTGGCAATGAGGTTGGGGTTGGCCTGCAGCTCAGTGATCAGCTGCTGGTAAGTGGGGTCTCCCAGCCACGGTCGCGTCCGAGAATCGCTCTCCAGCTTTTTGATGAGGTCAGGACTGGAGAACGGGTTGGACAGCGATGATCGCGTCTTGGTGGCTGTGGAATTATTGCAAGACAAAAGTCAAGTCAGGTGTGGGAACAATACCAAGACAGTGTGTAGTAGCATCCACCCTCTCATGCCATCCCCTAGGAGGTCCCTCATGGAAAATTCCCAAGTGATTCCCCCCAAGCGAGCTTTCTTAAGAGTGCCTCTTTGCAAATCCCCCCCAAGCGAGTTATCTTCCAAGGGGTCCTTCCTGGCAAAGCCCCAAACGAGTTCTATTCAACCCACCAGCTCAAAAAACCTGGTGGGTATGGGTCAACCAAGGGTGAGAGCGAGAAGCCACGTACTCGGTGCTATAACTGACATTCTCTTTTTCATGCGGAGAGCAAGTTTCGTGTTACGTTTTCAAAAATAAAAAGCCATCTCTATATTGATCCAAAAATCTATATAAAAACTCCTGCATAGGCAGCGGACATGTCACAATTTACCCCCTCCAGCAATGTAATAAAATGCCACAATGAGGAACCAGGATTAGTTTTGGCGATCAATATTTACGTCGCGTTTTTGCCATCTTGTTCATATTTATATTTTGACTGTCTTACTTATACAATTGTATTTTATACGTTGACTAAAATGCAACTATACAATGTAATTATAATACAGCATGAAATGTAACTAGTGGAGATAAACAAGCAGACTGCCCACAACACCAAATTATTAGTCTTAAAATGTAGTTGAAGTTCCTAAGGTGGAGCCAATGGCAGAGCCAGAATTTTCAGGTAGGGGGGGGCAACCCCTCCAGCAATGAAAAATGATAATTGTTAGTAAGGACTTGTGCCTTGCTTTTTATTCGACGCGTGTGTGGCGATGGCGCAAGCCATCCATCAAAGGTCGAATTCGAACCTTGCGTGATTGGCATCGCGCTCGCTGAAGGTGTTTGCCTTCAGGGAAGTCATGTACTGTATACACAACTGCGCACAATTCTGTAAGTCACTTATAACAGCTTTGCCGTTACTTATTGTCCAATTATGGACTCAGACTATTGTACTATCATCTCAGTCCCTGGCACGTAATAATATGCTACACAGTGGCAGTGGGGGTCGCAAAATGCCGATGTATTACTAATAAACCCAAATGATCCGATTGAAATTAGGGATTTCGATCGGATCATTGGGGGGGCCCGTGCCACCCCACCCCCTACACTGGCTCCGCCAGTGGGTGGAGCCAAATGAAGACATCTTAACAACTCGGAAAGTAATAAAGGACCAATTAATTGCTTAAAATTATTTATTACGCTTCTACACATCGAACTACATACGTAAGAATGAATTATTAACGATATATGCAAATAACATATTTAATGTTACATTTCGGCTCATGTGGAACAAAAGTGCACAAATAAGAGCTATTTTTTTTTTACTGAAAATAAGACGGTACAAAAAAATCTGATAACCCAATACATCTCGCTCTTCAACTTTCAGGCAGATTAAGTGGATGACAATATTGAATTATTAAGTGAATTGTGGGCCAGTTGTTTGGAGATTATTCAATTAGAGATATCAAATTGGATAAAAAAGCATTAAAATGAAGCTGACATGGGCTAACTTGTAAACATACGAGTAATGTATTTTTTCTATGAGAACGATGAAATGATCCAAAAAAATTAAGATTCTTGTATAAAATCAACAAACCCGGCTCATGATAAATCGTCAAAGTGTTGGGAAGACGGAGGAGTGAATAATTACCAAGTTACTAACACAAGTAAAACCAAATTTCTTACAGTAGACAGGATCTTTCAAGTATATGAGCAGATACCTTTAACAAACTTTTTTCCCAAAAGACTATGGGAAGGAAGAGGAATACATTCAGAACCATGAATGACAATCACAAATTTCACATTTCATTGTCGTGTGCCACACTTTGCATCTGGTTCAAATTTCAGGTAAAAAAGTTTATTTGTTTACAGAAATTATAATTCATGAGATCAGGACAGTCTCATCATCAAGAGTGTCACCTGTGTCACCAAAATGACAAAGGCAATAATAAAATACAATGAAACATCATTCTTTCCAAGTATGTGATGGAAAAAATTTATGAAACGGATAAAATAAAAACCAAATTGACAGCCACAGTAAAACTATAGCGTAATAGAAAAAATATATAAAACAATGCATAAATATATATCAACTAGCTTTTTTGCCCGTCAAAGGACGGGTTGCATATTGCAGAAAATGTGAAATATTCAATCGAAAAAGCAATTCAGCTCCTGATTATTAATGAGGGGGGGGGCCTCATGTGGAGTGACGTCACGCAGGGAGTGGGTCTCATGTGGAGTGACGTCACGCGCGGAACACACAACACATTCTGGCTTATTTGATTAACTTTTTCAATAAAGAAACGTCCAATTTAAAGCGAATTTGTGTAAAAATATTTCTTTCCGCTCGGCCTTCTTCTGCAGGAGTGTAAAAATCCACCCGCTCATGATTATTAATGACGGGAGGGGTCCTCTTTTGCAGTGACGTCACGTACGGATGTAGCAGTGTACTGCGTATATTTATTATTTACCGTCACTTTCTGTAAAGAAACCTCATATTTGAAGCGACTTTGCGTAATACATTTTTTAAATCAGCTCGACCTTCCTCTGCGTTTGTGTAAAAATGCACACATTCATGAATATTAATGAGGGGGGTTGGGCCTCATGTGGAGTGATGTCCCGTGGGGGAGTGGGCCTCATGTGGAGTGACGTCATGCACAGGACACACCCATTCTTGGCTTATTATAGTAGGAAAATGAATACAATTAACAGTTGAGCATCCACACTACAACATTGGAACCTCATTTGCCAGTAAAACATATGACAATTGTTTTTTTACCCTTTTATCTGGCAACAAAACTGACACCTTTTTTTACAAGGAGTCATGTTTGCATAGACCACAATACCTGCAGTCATAACCCCTTTTGGAGTCATCTGGTCCAACCACTGTGAGACTAGGCTCTAAGGAAAGCTGTCTCGGGTGTGGACCAATCAACTTCAAGGACAGTGCATACATTATCAGTTATGTTTTTTGTTTGCATTATGACTGCAGGTATTGTGGTCTATGCAAACAGGACTCCTCGTAAAAAAGCTGTCAGTTTTGTTGCCAGATAAAAGGGTAAAAAAAACAATTATCATCACACTACAAATTAGGAATTCCAAACACATGGGCTTGCATGCAAAACTGGCACCTGATATGCGTTTCTCAACGTTCTTGAGTCCGTCCTTAAGCTGCGTGTTCCCAGACTCGTGCTTCAGCCCTTCCGTGTACGTCTTCTTGGCCTCCTCCAGCTGCCCCAGGAACTCGAGAGCTGCCGCCTTCCGAGAGTAACCCTGCACAAAGTCAAAAGACAGATCACCAATGAACGAACGGTTCCATTAATTTATTCAGCACCAATTTATAGCAAGGTAGCGATACAATAATATTTACAAAGGGCAAACAGCCGTACGCAAAAAATATCAAACCGATGCTTTGCCAAAAGGCACACTAAGGGCATCGCCACCAGCAGTTCATTCAAGTCACCCGTTAACACACGTAGGCTTACGCGACCAACATTATTCATAATGAAGTTTTTTTTGGGTTGGATCGCATAAATATAAATGTGTCGTTCACCCACCACTACCCGACACAGCCAATTATGTGACAAACCTTATTAATTGGCTGTGTCTGGTGATGGTGGATGAACAAAACATTTATATTGACGCGACCTAACCCAAAAAACACCTTTATTATGAAGTCACCCTTTGTTCGCAGCTCGCTGAAACCCCAACATTGTGCTGTGCATGCACCAAACATCGCTGAAGTCACCTTGCCCCAGTCGGGCTTGAGCTCCACAGTCTTGCAGCCATCCTCCAGCGCCTGTTTGTAGTCGCCCTTCTTGGCGTAGGCAGCCGAGCGGTTGCTGTAGAGCACGTGGTTCTGGCTGTCGAGGGCAATGGCGTCCGTGTAGAAGCGCACGGCATCCTCGACGTTCCCCGCGCTCAGCGCCTTGTTCCCCTTGTCCTTCAGCTCGTTCACCTGTGCGTGGAGCAACAACAGCAAGGAGCAAATGCATGAGCAGAGGAACAGCCCCCGAGTCCAGGGGTTGGTCAGTACCAACTTGAGTGACAAATACTACCAGTATCACCATGGGAAGGACGTATCCACCCCGAGCTGAAAGCTGTGTGTGTGTATATAGTCGATTTTATAGGCTTCCTATTTATTTTAATATTCCATGTACGTTTTGTCACATTCGTTTTTTTACAAAATATTCGCTATAAAGCATATTATAGTGCCCACCTTGAATGATCTCTTTCTCCTAAAAAGCTACCAATGACCTTAATATCATACATTTGTGATTTGTAAATATATTTATTCAAGACAATTGTTAGCATGTGCCACTTGAGTGGTATGATTATCCTTATTTGGGCCATTGTCTTGAGCACTAAAAGATAACGGTGAGCTGATGGCGAAATATAATGCGTCATCCTTGTCAGATGTCAATTTACTAATGTAGTGTGTGTATTAAAAGCATCTCAAAAGCCTTTCTTCGCACCTCTGTGATCCACTTTGGCAAGTCTACAAGCATTCTACATTTAGATTTAAATTAGCTGATGTGCTTCATGCACCTTTGTTGATTAGCAGCATGTAGCAGACAGCGTAAGTGGGATTTGAGAAAAGGAGTATTGTGGTGCTACTGTTACTAATGGCTCTATGCCACCAAAAATAAAATCTATTTTTTCATGAAAGAAAATTCACCCAGCCCAAACACATCATGAAAAACATATATCGCATAGAATATGGCCATTACTCTGGTAGTGCATTACAATAATGCACTCATGTGCATTGCAACATCCACCACATGACGGAAACATAATCCATAACACAGGTTTTTAGATCGCGTAAATAAGGGTATTCATATTCTTGGTTCTTTCGGTAAAGTCACGTAGATAGAAGATAAAAATAATAAAATGAAAATTAAAACATGTGGCAACCGTGCAAGTGACATGCCGCATTGGAATGTAATGCAGAGGCCTAACACTGATCAATACAGGGGCCCAAAGTCAACAATGGTGACTGGGCTGCCATGCCATGATGCTCGCAAGGTTGTGCAGATTTTGGTTGGAGAGGCGTTACATAGAGCTTTATTTGTTATCACCGTTATCATCTATCAGCAATAAATCCGGAATTCACCCCATCTTCTCAAATCTATATCGTGCTTAAAAGGGGAACCATCACGCACAAACTAGCTGTTACAAGGCTTGATTGAGGGCTACGTTGTGGATAGAATCCCTGCAAAATACATCGTTTTACCGTCCTTCTAAGCTCCCACGTCTGTTCCCCGCCTTCAACAATATGCATTCACCGGTGTGTTAAGGTCAAACAACCCACATTCAGCAGCGGAATGAACAAAGTGCGTACATTGTGACATTTTGTCCCATGTCACTTGCACCTTCAATTCGCCTAATCATTGTCAGATATTGCAAACTAACAAAGGTTAAGCTTGGCCAGTACGGTACTAGGATGGAAGACTGCTTAGGTGTTGTAGATTTCGGCTACAAGGTGACCAAGAGATGCAGTACAGCAATGGTTTATCTTAATTCCGTGGCCGAATTTTTAGTGTATAGGCGCTCCCGTTTACTCCAACATGAAACACGTCAATGTCACTGGAAAAAAACATCACAATGGAAAGCACTAAGGCTTCCCTGGATAAAGAGAACATTATGCTCATAACCATCACCACGAGTACCAACGTCCTAAAAAAAACGTTACGATCGTGTCATAAAGAACATCATAATCACATGTTTCTGACCCGCCCCTACTAGATATATGCGAACAGATTTCACAGCTCATCGGATTTCTCCAGGATAAATACACACATTCGGACATCCATTTTGTCAATCCATTGCTGGAGAACGGCCTGCGCCCGGGTGGCGAAGTATGGTGATTTCACCATACTTCACCACGCTTGGTCAGGGTGTGTTGAAGGCGGGGGGACCACCGACATGGAAGAATTAGAGAAGAGCGTTTGATTGTGCGCCACCGCTCTCCGATGGCCACCATCGATCCTTTGCAGCAGTCTATAACAAGCACTATTCAGGCACCTTTCACAGCCTCAACAACATGACTTTGCTTCCGAGGCCTCACGAGATCGGCGCAATCCAGGCGATTTGGTCATAGTCCATTTCATTACATAATCATCGTCACCACCATGTACTACCCTCACCACATCGCCAAGTCACCAAAACCATTGTCACCCATCATCCACCACCACCACCACCATCATCATTACCGTCACTCGCATCTCCAATTACCGGGGGGCCTCATGGCCCAACTTTAATGTCTAGGGCCCACGCAACCAACGCAGCGCTAATCAACAAAAGGAATGACGAAGTCGGCCCTCAATCAAAGCAAGCTCACAATCAGCACCATTCTGAAATACACACGGTAGTAATATATATAGAAAAAACGTTTTTCCCAAAACCCCGTAAATCCTCACTCGACCTAAGCCCACACGCGGTCAATGGCCCACGCCGGCTCGGACAACGGATCTAGGCAAGAGCGTAGGCTCGGTGAAGCCTCGGGGTTGACAACTTACACCAGGCCGCGCAGTTGAGCCGTCGTATTCATTAACCGCACGTTAAATTTGCTCGATTAACTCAATTTCGTTCGGTTGTTTATTGCCTTGTAAGTCAGAGAGCCGTACCTTAGCTTGATCTGCCATGGTGCACCTTGCCGATCGTACGCTTCTCAGACGCAGGCTTCTGGAACTTTCGTACTTCCTTCCCACGGGGCCGTCCACTCTGCACAGACGGGGGGAGGGATTTATCGATTGGCTGCATTTTTTTTATTTACACGCTAAATAATAGTTAAACGTTTTTTTGGCATGAATAATGTGATAGATAATATTTCCAATATTTTACTATGTTTTTTTGTTGACGTGTTATATTAAGTTGACATCGTTATGGTCTAGATCATTATACCTCCCCCCCCCTCCGTTATGGGGAAGTGAACCGGTCCGTGGCTGGGCGGTGTTGAATGGAGGCGGCGTGGGCTCAGAACATGCGCGAATTTGTCGTCACTCGTCCCAGTCATTTATAATTTCTTTTTTTTTCATATCAAAGTTGTTGTGTTTTGTTAAACCAAAATCGCGTCAATTAAACGCATACGACAGTTGCTTCCTGTTTGAAAAAAATCCACAACTTGTATGCGCATTCAGATGTATTTTGTAATTCTAATATTAATAGCAAACACATTTTTTTGTGATACCGCGTTGGCAGTGGCGTACAAGCAGCAAAATTAACAAAAACTCACATTTGGATATAACACTGCCATAAATGGAACAATATATAAGAGGCGACGCTTCAGGCAATCGCCCTTCTTAAAAGCAGAGATCAGTGATAACAATATTTACAAATGTGTAGATTTTTTTAATCGAAGTGTCTTGCCAAAAACATTTTCGGTAAACAAATTCAACAAGCAGACGATTCCGGTTTGTAAAAAAATGCACCATTGCTCACGTAAATATCTAAAAAAAAAATTGTAATCAGGAACTTAATCCTAAAGTAATGGCATTCACGTAATGTGCTAGACCTTGTGGATTAGTAATACTGGTAGGAACCTGGTTACACCAGCCCACAGGGGATTATTGTGTCCGTCCGTCGTGCATCCAAAAATGGGAGGGGCGGGGCTGGGTGGAGAGGGGAGGGTGGGGCTGGGAGGTGAGGGTAGGGTGGGGCTGGGTGAGGGGTGGGGCTGGGTGGGGAGGGGCTGGTCACCCCGTGGTACCCTTATAAAACTCAACGTTTAACCTACTCACGCCGACTTGTGCCCGCCCTCACAGTCGCCATTGCCCACATAAATATGTTTAAAAAAATATGGTTTGCAATCAGGAACTTAGTCCTGGATTATTAATTACGGTACATCGTAGGATTGTGAGCGGTGTCGGCGGCATGGATATACAATGGCTGATGATGATTCTCAATCATCAAAAGGGTACTATTAATATAGGGATGTTTGGACCAATTCCATTCGTGAGAGTTTCGATTCTTGCGGGAGGAAGCCTGACTTGAGTACCCAGAGAAACCTCACCAAGCATCATAGGATGGGGTAATGCTGAAATGGTTCATATACCCGCTTGCTGTACTGCCTGCATTGCCACCTCACATTCTATGACCAGGCAATGTATTTAAACGTCCCACGACCTACATAAAACCATTCTGAATACAAGGGAGAGTTGTTTTGCTTCAACGAGTAACCCGCACGTATGTTGGACGGTACCGACCGTCCCTCCACTCCTCCTTGTCAGCCAGCCAGTAACACTTTTATCTTAAATAACTATTATTACTATTTATTAACTTTTTGTTATTTTACCAGGTAAGGCCCACTGAGATTTTTTTAAAACTCTTTTTCATAAGCGACCTGGCCACAAATGATAGCTTAACCAAGTGGATTATCATGTGGAAATGTAAGCAGACATACTCGAAACGCATGTTTCTAAATGTGGAGGGAAAAACCAGAGGACCCGCAGAAAAATCCACACGACTACAGAAAGAACATGCAAACATACAAACTCTTAATATACATGCATCATGGCTGGGATCGAACCCACAACCTCTTGTACATGTCATGGTAGTTAATATCTCGCCACTGTGGCAGACTTGTGTGCCAGCCAGCCAGGAATCCAGCCAGAAAAAAAAAACTTTTTTTCTAATACAATTTAGCATCACATAACAATGAAAACTTTTTGTCAAATGAGAACGTCACTCGACCGAACTTCTCGTTTGCAATTGTGTCCTGGAACCTGTGTATCAATTGATATATATATACGTAACATGACTAGCATCAAGTGTATATTTTGTTTAGCCAGGTGAGAACTCAATTAAGTAATAGTAATTTATTTACCGTGCCAATATCTCCCTCCAAATTAATAGCGCGACCAGTGTGGAGATGGAGCGCTTAAGTAAAACCCGTGTGTGCAAGTGCTTGATGCATTTAGATATAACTCAAGGGACCAGGATTAATCTTAGTTGACATTTCGTGAGTCTAGTCTTTTATTTCCACTTGTGCACAAGATGCGGATATCGAATTCACAAGTGAAAAATAAAATACCCTTCTCTCTACTGTGAGCGACTGCAATTACGAACAAAATTGACCGTGCAATCTTTGCACTGCCCCAAATGTACATTTTTGAGTGAGTTTGTGAGTGATGGTTAAGTTGGCACAGTCGGGGGTACAGCTGGTGCATCTACCAGTCATCTCAGTCAGCCAACCCATGGCACCTGGAGACCTCCTGCCAGCGAGCCTTCGACACTTGACATGGCCTCAAAGTGCACCCAGCCTGGCACAGGCGCCGTTGTGACGTCACCGTCACTTAGTGACGAATGGTATTGGTTAAGTGAGTGGATGGGTGGGGTGTATAGATGGGTGAGCGGGGTGGCTGGGTGAGTAGGTGGGCGCTTGAAGTGGGTGTTCGAGTGGGGTTGGGTGGTTGAGGTGGGGGGGGAGGAGGGTGCATCTCAAATTCGCCAAGTCTCGGACAAAGCAATCAAACAGCTGAATCACTTCGAACTGAACCCCTTATCGTTTGCTCCTTCGTTTGTCCGCAGCAAATCACCACCGACCAACACCACCACCGACCATCATCATCATCTAGCCATGGTCCACCACCACGCGAGACAAAGCCCCGCCCCCCGACGGTGTGACGTCACCTCGTTCCGCTTTAGAGACAACGACAGCCCCGCCTTTTTATTTCCCACTGCGGATAGGCGAGCGCGTGCCCCCCCCCCAACTCGCAGTTCCCGCACGCGATTGGCCCAGCGCGCGGTCACGCGGTGGAAGGGGGCTGGTAGAGAAGGAGGGGGCGGGGGGGTTGCTCTGTGCGCCGCGCGCGCGTGTGCAGTGGGAAATGTGATCGCCGCGTCGCCCGCCGCTGCCATTGTCTGAGCGCCATTTCGCTTTTCCCTCCCCCCCCCTCTTCCCCGTCGGGCGCCTTCCGTTCTTCCCCACCCCTGCACCTCGCGGTCACGGCATCGGCGCCTCGGAAAAACGCGAATAAGGCGAGGGCCACGACGACGACGACGAGGGCCGTCGCGGACGAGGCGAGGTGAGCGCAAGTCGCCGTCGCCACCGTGATGCGTAACCGACATCGAGTGTGGGGAGAGGGATGAGGGGGAGGGGGGGTGGTGGCCGCCTGCGCTCTGCGGGCCACTGCGCGCCTCGCTCGGTACCGTTGCTCAGGCCAGACCGAGGCTTTCGCCGTGCAAGGCCGCGATGCATTTTTTTGTTTCGATTTTTTTTGTTATCGAGGTGGTTTTTAAAAACATTTTTCTGGCGATGCGGTTATTGCTTTGGGGTTTTTAGAGATGTTGAAGGCTGCTGCTGTTGCTGTTATTGGACGACGCAACATGGTTCAGATCTACCCCCCACCACCACCCCCCACACTTCACTGCTTCTCCGGGTTAGCGGGGAGCGGCAGCCCAATTTGACACTTGGCCAGATCTGCGTGCCTGGCCCCCCAGAGATCACTACCGCCTGTGTTCGGGCCCCCCTTTTCGCTGCTCTAAAAGTTAAGCGAAGTCCCCCCGCAGGTAACTCCGAGCGAGGCTGCCGGGGGTGTTGTAGGTTCAGTGGAAGTCGCTACGGCTCTTTGAGGCAAGTGACGGCAAGCCCAATCGCTCACCCCATCCTTGCCACGGTACATGTAAATAAGAATATAATAATCGTCGTAATTGTATATAGCGAGAGTTTGGTGGAGGCGTGGGATGTGTAGCCTCTCGAGGAATCTTTAAAAAAAAGTTTTTAGGTTCAAAAGTTCATCACATACTTTGCCCGGCTGAAATCTAAGAGAAATTTACTTGACAAAAAAAGTAGTTTTACTGGGTAAGTTCGGTATTTGTAGAGGCTTTCAGTTTGTTTTCCAGTTCTTATTTTCAATGGCCCGTTTGGATAAAACACTAAGATGGTTTTGTTATTTGAGAGTGTATAAGTTGAGGGAACAAAAAATAAATCGCTGGAGGTGTTTTGCCACTGGCCACTTGATCGCAAATTCCTCCCCGTCTACTGGTCCAGCGGATCTTAAAACAGTAATAATTCGAAATTAACCACGTGCTCAAGGTGGTCTGTTTAATAACTTAAATTAGCCACGTGTGATACGTGGCCAGTTCAAAATAAAGTTGAGGATCGTACATATCACGTGCGATTAACATTTCTTCTAACATTGCACCAACCTTTAAATTCGTTAAGGCACTTTACGAAATGTTTGTAATTGCATGTAAAATCTAAGCCTTATGTTATTTTGACCAGTATTGTAATGTCTGCGGCGTTCTCAGGTACGCTTGACTCACACCCATGGATAAGGTTGAGGAAACATTGGATGACTTGAAATCGCCATGTCAAGCTATATCTGCAGAGGAGGAGCGGGCCATGCCATTTGACGGTGATTCTTCCGACCCCAGAGACACAGACGAGCAAGGCAGCCACCAGCTAACCGTGTCGGAATTAGCTCCGCATTTGGACAAAGGCGGGAATGACAATGATGGGACCCACAGGGAATTCCCATCCTCCTCTGGCTCCCAGGTAATAGAAGTTTGTACGGACGCTGATGAAATCGACCACGACGCCATTCGCCCATACGCAGAGGTCGAGACAGATTTGGAATTCGTTTCTAAAAGCCCTGAAGAGCTGGGGGCCAAGCCAAAGACTAAAGCCGCTGGCGTGAGCGCACTCGTGGACTCGTACTTTCGCTTCGCGCCATGGGCTGGCAAGAAGAAGCGCAACGCATGCCGGAGGTCAGACGACTCTGCCTCTGCCGATCGGGAAGGCTCGACAAAAAGCCTGCGTGAGCGGCGTCACGGCAGCGCCGTGACCTCTTTGGGCGACGTGGGTTCAGATGACGACCAACATGCGCCGTGCACGGAGCACACCCTGGCGCAGCAGCAGCGCACCATGCACAATCGCTCTTTCCGTGAGCGGCTCAAGGACACCATGGGCCACTGCTTCCCCGTGCGAGCGCCGCAGCAGAGCAAGAGGCTTGCTACCGCGGGACCTGCATCGCCGCCGTTGCTCTCGACATCGCCGTCCCGACTGCAGGGCTCCGCGGGGACGAGCGGGCCTTTCTCCAACAAACGAAAGATCCACCTCTCGGAGCTCATGCTCGACCGCTGCCCATTCCCGGCCGGCACGGAACTGGCACGCAAGTGGCACTTAATCAAGCAGCACACGGCGCCAGTCGGCCGCTCGCAGAGCCTCTTCCTGCCAGGCAGTTTTGACTCACCGGAGGACGAGGAGGACCTGCTGAGGGAGCGGAGGCGGCTGAGCATCGAGGAGGGTGTGGACCCACCGCCAGATGCCCAGATCCACACGTTCGAGGCCAGCAGTCGTGTCAATGCACTCTACAAGCTGGGCCCCAAGCTGGCTCCGGGGATGAGCGAGCTTGTGGGCGACGCCAGGGGAACCGCGGTGGCCGCAGCGGTGGCGGTGGTGGGGGCGTCTGGAACTCAGCCAAGGCCCACCGGGGAGTGCCTCTCAGAGGACGAGGAGAACACGGCGCTGTGTCTTCATCCCCGGCGAAACCGGACCAAGGAGGAGCCGCCCTCGGTGGTGCCGAGTGGCATCGGCGGCCTGGGCCAGCTCCTGTACCAGCCGGGCGCGATGGCCGCCGCCTCAAAGCGCGTGCACACGCAGATCGACTACATCCACTGCTTGGTGCCGGACCTGGTGGAGATTACAAACAGCTCGTTCTACTGGGGCGTCATGGATCGCTACCAGGCTGAGGCGCTGCTGGAGAACCGTCCCGAGGGCACCTTCCTGCTGCGCGATTCGGCCCAGGAGGACTACCTCTTCTCGGTGAGCTTCCGGCGCTACGGCCGCTCGCTGCACGCACGCGTCGAGCAGTGGAACCACAACTTCAGCTTCGACGCGCACGACCCGTGCGTGTTCTACGCGCCGGCCGTCACCACGCTGCTGCGCCACTACAAGGACCCGAGCGCGTGTATGTTCTTCGAGCCGCTGCTCGCGACGTCGCTACCCAGGACTTTCCCCTTTGGGCTGCAGCGCCTGTGCCGCGCGGTCATCTGCAGCCGCGTCACGTACGACAGCACGGAGGCGCTGCCCATTCCGCAGGCGCTCAAGGAGTACCTGCGCGAATATCACTACAAGCAGAAGGTTCGCGTGCGGCGGCTCGACGCGCCGCGTGGTTGGCTCAAGTAGCCCGTCGCGCGATCGTTCTCGCTCGTTTTTTTTATTTTATTGGCGACGTCGTTGGTGATTTAATTTTCGTTTGAGTTTTCTTTCTCTCCCCACACCCACTCTTTCTCCCATTCTATTCCCCTCTTTCCCCCCAACCCCGCCCCTTCTCTAGTTGGGGAGCTTTTGCACAGTGTGTATGTATGTAATATGTACGTTTGTTGGTTGGTCGCCAAGTTGACACTCGGCAGGTTTGCAGTACAAAAAAAGAAAAGAAAATGCATCAAAACTGAATGTTTGCTTCAGTTCGAGTACGAGAGGTTATCTGGGCATGCCAGCTTATGCATTTTTAAAAAAAAAGCTATATTGTTTACAGCTGTCCATGGAAAAGGGCATGAACGAGCACTTCACCATACAGGCTGTCCATTTCACTTGAGCTTAAACCGGGGAGCGTTGGATGGGCTGTGTGCAACCATTTGTGTACAACAAGTATGAACGATCATTCGGCTCTCAGCGATAAATCATAGGGCGCGCCGTCACCGAGAAACCGATGACGCCGTTCGTCAATTTTATATGGGGGGGGGGAAGCGGCGGTGAATTTTGGAAGAAAAATAAATAAATAAAAATCCACGTGGTCAGGAATACTAGCATGTGATTGGCTGCATGCCTCCAAAGAGAGTCGTGGTTTAACGCTAGGTATGACACATTTAGTTTGCTTTGTGCTCTTGCTGTGATTGCTGCCACCGCCTTTTCAAAGGTACATTAATGCATTTATTTGTGTAAATTCCTACCTCAAGATGTATTTTACTTTTTAGTTCTTTTTTTGTTGTTGCATAGTGCTTCGTTGCTATGTAAGCCAATATGTTTATATCAAATTATTTTTTAATACAAAAATTGAACTTAAAAAAAAATTGTAGGATATATATTACAACAAAAAAAGAGAAGACGTTAATTGCTTGACTAATATTTAGTAGCTGCTGCCGCTGAATGCATCACTTGCATGCATCTTGATGTGAATGGCTTTTTGTCGAGTTCACTATGTTTGGTCAAGTGCCGGTTTACGCCCGTCCGTAGGTCTGAAAGAGCCAATCATTTTTTTTTCTGGCGCACAAGTTTATGAAACCTAGCGCGTTCGAATTTGTATTTGCTTCAACAAGTCTGGCGTACACACAATTGTGCACAGGTTTGTTGACCAACACTGCCGGTTTTGCTTTGAAATGACTTTGGCTGAAGTCGTCGCTGGGAATTGTTTTTCTTTTTTTCTCTTTGCACTCTCGGTCATGTGCTTAGAAGTTCAGAGGCACTACAATGATTCTCTAAGTACGTTACGGAAAAAAAATGTTGCTTAATGCAGTAATGTATTATTTCTGCAGTATCGAATGTTGATAAACAAAGTTTATTTTTCGTTTGGAAATCGGGGATGACATTATTTTTTTTGCGGTTACGTGGATTTAGACTGCCGACCGGGCAGGATTGGCTGTAAAACGAGCCAATTTAAATTGTAATTGTTTTGTTTTTTGCTCGTTAACGGAGCTTAAACATGTATCACCATAACTGATTTCCTGTCCTTTCATTGTAATCTTTTCATGCATCAAAAAAGGCACCCCCTGCTTGTGTATATTTCTTGTATTATTACATATAATGGTGCTAAATAGATAACTTAGAAGAAGAAAAAAATCTCGCACTAAAGGATCATAGAGTAAATGGTATATAGCTTTTACGTAAAAAAACCTTTATTGAGACGTAGGTTATTCCATTCATCATCGCAGAATGCTATTTGTGCTGTTTTGACAAAATAGGCAGCCGCTTTTCTTCCCTTTTATTTGCAACATTTCTGAAAATATATGCAACAAGAGGAGAAAAAAAACCCGATCGGCAGTTTTTCATTCAGTGTAGCTTGTATATGCTGTGCGACAAAGTTATGCAGAAACACTTTCAATGTGTCGATGGTGTTTCCTGTACTCTGGGGTAAAACAGCAGCTCTTACTTTGGCTTCACACAAAGCCATATATTACTGCAAACAGCCATTCTCTATCGAATGCATCTCCCCTTTTCTGTATAAGTAGAAGGCGGCGAGCCTTCGCTGTTTTTCACAGCGGCGTTTGGAACGCTTTTGGTTGCTGTGCCCGGTGGCGCAGTGACGGGCGGTGGCGAGTTGTCACCGGAGTAGGTGAACGTGGCATTAAAAACGAGTCCCCCCCCCCCCCCCCGTAATGGGCATCGCTCGGACGACGATGATGATGATGATGACGACGATGATGGTTTCAGGTTGGAAGCTGTGCTGCAATATGAAGGGATTACGGTCTAACCCAAAAACCCTTTGCTTTAATGCCACAGGTTTAACAACTAAAATGTGCACTTCCAGTCAAAAAATAATTTCTTACACTGGTGCTAATCTTGCCTCTCTTGGTGGCTGTGATGTGTGTGTTGCTGACGTGGGGTGAGTGCAAGGAGATTCAAAAGGAAGCTGTGAGTTCAACGGTACTGTGCCTTGCGATGTGACCTTTCAACAGGCTGGTATGCCACTGCGACGTTATCGAAATGGCTGATTATTATAAGAGTGGCGACTAAAGTAGCATAGTTCCTATAGACAGGAAATGCCATCTGCACCGGAGCATATTTCAATGTTATATCGAGAGAAATTATTCTTCTAATTTGTTTGATCAATACATAACATGTTAGCTGCAGTGTCAACCATTCATGTTACTGAGAATAAAAAATAATTCACTTACCTTGTGGGTGATGTTTGCGTGCATTTTTACGCGTATACTGTGACGGGCGAGCAATATCTTGTCGCACTTAACTATTTGGCGATTATGGTCTGTATCGGGTGTTCGAAACCTCGTGCGTGTGCCAAATTTATGTTGAATGTCTATCAGTCCTTTTCTGGATGAATAAATACCACCCCACGTATTTTCGGTCAGGGGTTGTTTGACCATACTTCATGCTGGTCAGTACGGGCTAGTGAAGGGTGTCAAGGACCAGTTCATATATCACTCGCCAATATAGCTAACCGTGGCTGGAAATAAAGATAATATTTTGGGGTTCATAGCGCAATGCTCTACCATCCATCCCGCTCCCCAAATTGATGTTGGATATTTTCAACTGCTTAGAGTGAGCAATGCACTTAAGGTTTTGTGTACAATCACAGCGCCATGTGCTGTTGAACATTTATCGAATGCGTGTTGGGCATTTAACTTGGCATCGCAATTCGGTGTTGCACCACAGAGATTCTGCTCTTGGACCGATGTTTCATACACATTGGCGACCGCGTGCGCATCCGATACGAGCTATGTGCCCAAGCACTCGCCACAGGATAAGGAAGGGGGCACGAATGTTCAAGCAGAAGAGAGACCTCCAGAAAAGGCCATGACCTCCACGCTCCGCTGCAATCCCTACGGTGGGAGACGGGCTTGGATGCCACTGGACTCCAAAGACTGCAAACTGAAGAGTGAGTGTTGTCGTTTGCATATTCATATTTGGGGGGGTGGGGGTAGCCTTGCCGTGTCCGTCAGGGAGACTGGCAAACACCCACTCGTCCCCATTCTGTGCGTTCAACTTGAAACGGAGATGGTTTGAAAATGTGACAAAAAAGGTATCTCGGGGAGTTGTGAGGTGTCCAGTCTGTTCTCCTATAACGCGGGTAGTTAAGTTATTGAAGAATGGCCCGTTATATGCAGGCTGAACAAAGACCAAGGTGCGTGGGTTGCATCTAGAAGCATACAGCATGCTGCCTTCTGTGATGCTTCGCCCGAAGCAGCCATACAACCCCTTGGTCCTCCTTGCGCGACGTAGTTCATTCAATTGCGTTATAACGAATTCGCATCTGCGTTATAAAAAAAAGTAGTGTTTCCTAATACATGAATCGTGTTGTGTCCAATTCGCGTTATGAAAACATGCGTTATGGGAGAACACACTGGAGTAAAAAAAAAACCCAATTAACTTAAGGTGGATTCAGAGGTTTAGTTTACTCAGCTGACACTACTGAGAAACTGGGTTCAATCCAGGTAACTGCCAGTCATTTAATTAGTGTCGTGAGTGGATGATCTCAACATGGTCACCAATGGTTGCACGGAGAAAGCATGTCATCAAGTTTGATTCTGCACTAAATTCCAGCTCAGAATAAAAAATTGTCATTTGACTTTCAGGCGATGAAGGTTGTGAGTGGCAGACCGAGTAGGGAAGTGATGCCCTCCTAATGTGTGAACCAGTGGTCATTTAAAGGGATCTCAGAAGTTGCTCTGACATCCACTTTCGTGGGCTGTACTATAACATGACACCAATAGCAAAATGTAACTCTTAGACATCTGAATAGTGGGCATGTGGTGATTTACCACTCCACCCCTTAGCAATCTGGTGCATTGTCACAATTTGAGGTCAAGATTCGATTCAACAACCAGATAATGTTAGTCTTGTTTTTACCATTTCATTGTTTATATGTTCCTCCTGTCTCTTTAAGATAATTTAGTTCAATCTGTTGACCTAAAAGTAACCTTACCACATCATACAAATTACACAATTCGTAATTGATTCTACAGTTCGACGCTTGTCTCGTGAGCATACATAATTTGATCGATTCTCTGCATCGTTACATACTTTACTCGATACAATACAGTATGTGATATGACTGCGTCTCCCGATATTGTGTCAATAGTTGCAATACTTTCACATTAAAGGATTCAATTTCTCCAAGACCCTGTTACATTAGATGTGTTTTAAGAAGCATGTTGTGACATTGTATTTCACGAGAGGTAACTTGGTAAACTTGTACAGACTTAACATGGTGGGTCACAAGGTATATAGCATTCACAAAAATATATTTTAAAGCTATAAATTGGTGAGCATCATATTCATTAAAACACCACCACCGGTGGAACTATGCACTGAACAATCAACATCGATTCGATGTTTGTGAGTGTTGACATTGTCAACTTGTGCAAATTATATGCCAATTTAACACGTAGGCTCATGCCAATGTTGCACTCGGGCTCACGGAGCATACAGACGAGTTAGGAAAAATCATTGCATACGCACGGATTGCGCAACGCTTTCCAACACGCGTTTGTCGGAAGTATTGCATTCGCAGACGACAAGCTGGCGGGGGACACTGCCAGGGCAAAAGGCGTTTGCGCATTTTTGCAAACGGACCTTTTCGCTCCGGATAGGGCGACAACGCGTTTTTTTTATCAATACGGTCCATTTTCTTCTGTAGGGTCAGTCCCTAATAGTGTCACGACATTAGTCAAAAGTAGGATTCACATTGGATAGGTTTTAAGACGCTTATCATGCCTCCTCATGATGGACGGGCAAACTTGAAAAGACTTTTATTTAGGTTGGAACGCATTAAAGAACAAACTATACAAACAATCGCTACTGCCCTGAGAATCGGGTACCCGCCTCGGCGTACGTGAATAATTTGGCTTCAAGTTTTGAAAGTAAAAAAAAAAGTTGCAGTTTCACTCGGCACCCTCTTAAAGCCGCCTGTTAACGCGTTGCCCTCTTTGTCGCAACGTGCCTTATTTTATCAGCAGGGGTGACCACTAATAGTTCATCGGTCATCCATCCCGGGATGAAAAACAGATGTCACGTTACCTTACGCTTGCAGGGCAGAGGTCGCACTTGGGTCAGCTGAGGGGGGGGGGGCAAATGGTTTCGGGCGGTGGCTGTCGAGTTAAATTACGAGTAAAACGTGTTTTGAAGTGTAAAAAATAATAAAGGTGCAGCCCCGCAATTTCTTCCTCGTGCCACTGCTCGTGGAAGTCGCTTCCACGAGAGGGAGCTCTAGAAAGCCCCCTCCCAGAGATTTTTGGTCTCCTCTTCCAAGCTGGCTAGATGTATTGGAAGAGGCGGGGGTACCTAAACTAAATTATTTTAACACGTAGGCTTTCGCGACCAATGTTATTCATAATCAACGTTTTTGGGTTTAGATCGCGTTTATTTATAAATGTGTCGTAACCCTCCACCACCCGACACGGCCAATCAGTAAAAATGTGTCACGTTGACAAAGACAAATAGTTCATTGCTTTAGCCCACCGGTGTGTTGAAGCCACAACATTTACAATTTGTGGCTTCAACACACCGGTGGGCTAAAGCAGTGAACTATTTGTCTTTGTCAACGTGACACATTTTTACTGATTGGCCGTGTCGGGTGGTGGAGGGTTACGACACATTTATAAATAAACGCGATCTAAACCCAAAAACGTTGATTATGAATAAATTATTTTAGTTTTTTTTTACCAGGTAAGGCCCATTGAGACTATATATGCTCTTTTTTCAGAAGCGACCTGACCACAAATGATAGCTCAACGAAGTGGCCTATCTTGTGGACATTTATTGCAGCCAAATACTTACACTTTACCCCACCACTTTCGACCTGCCGATCGACAATTATTTGCGGTGGGACCCATTTTATGGGGTGGACAGAGGCAGGGGGAGATGAATGTAAAACAAATAACCTTCCCCATTGTTTAATCCGCCGCTCCGGGAGATTGAACGGGCCATCTCTGGATTACAAGTTCAGCGTGCTTATCATTAACCATATGGCAGCATCCGTTTAAGTGCACGTGAATCGTACTCGCTTTGTAGGTCGTACCAATCGGGCTGCAATATACATCTGCTTCCTCCTCCTCCCTGGCATTCTCCTACTCGTTTGTGGTCTGATGTGTCCTGCTCCCCTTTCTCCGCTCATTCCTGCCCTGGGCCATCATCTCCACGTCCACTCCACAGTCCTTCCTATCCTGACTCACCACGTCAAACCACTTGTATGTGTTGAACTTCTCTCGCACCGTACGTGGCCAGCCGAGCTAATCGGAGGTGCGGGGGAAGGACAACAAACCAGGCCTGCCACTCTGTCTCCACCGTCATAATTCCACGTTCGTCTCCCTTCTCCTGATGTGGATTTACCGCACTTCGAACGATATGTCTTGGCCATCTGAATCACCTTTCAGCTTCTCTTGAGATGGGTTCCACCACACTTGCAGTCTTCCTTGTCGCCTTATTTCGTTGTATTCGGAGCAGGAATTTAGCCAAATTCAGTGCAGAACACAATTTAATCTGATGTGTTTTTTGTTGTTGTTTAGTCAATGGGTGACCAAGGTGAGATGAATCAACTCTCTACATGGTAATCCCGCTGCTGCCTGGATTCGAACCCAGGATCTCAGCAGTGCCAGCTCAGCACTCTGACTTCTGAGCCACCCGGCCACATCTGTTGTAAAATAACTCGCCGGGGTGGCGGGGCGATGTTATCTCCCTTGCCTGGTACGCAGGAGGTCGTGAGTTCGATTTTAGATACTGACGATTCCTGTTGTATACTTGGAGTTTGCGTGTTCTCGCTCCCCGTAGTGCCCTTTTGGTTTTTCCCTCCGCAATTTGAAAATACACGTTCAAATAATTTGGCTTATATGATAAACTCTCACGCGTGATGGTGATGCAAGCCACTGAGATAAGCTATCCTGTGTGGCCAGGTTGCCTCTGAAAACGAGCTAAGAGTTAAGTATGTTCTTATCGCTGTATTACAAAGTGTTTATAAAAGCCGTATAGCCGTAGCATATTAAAATACTGTACACACCGGGGTAAGATATATGCATATGACGGTGCATTGATTTGTCAATTAACTTCAAATGGGATTCTCTGTCCATTGCGAGGACCGTGAGGATAAAGCGCGCAAAAGAAAAACCCCTTTAAAAAAAACATGACTTGTCGAAAGTGCAAACTTATTTTTAGCGC